GAGCCAAAGACGGCACGGCCTGTGGCAGATCGGCATTAAGGGAAAGAGGGGCCCGGATCGGCTTGGAGGGGTGCGGGGCCCCCCACCTCCCCGTCCGCCACCCCCAAGCCCTCCTCCCCCCGGCCCTCCCCCTCCCAGCCCGCCGCCTCCCAAGCCGCCGCCACCCAGCCCACCGCCACCTAGCCCCCGACCACCCAGCCCACCGCCGCCGCGCCCGCCGCCACCCAGCCCTAGGCCTCCAAGCCCTCCACCTCCATGTGAGGTCTGCATCACCATTACGATCACTATCACACCCCCGGGTAAACAATTCACGTTTGACGAAGGCCTTTGCACTCGCATGCAAACGCTTATAGCCAAGGACGTTCGAGAGCAAGCCATGTGGGTTGGTGCGCGTATCCTGACGCCTTTTGCGCCGGATCTGTACGAGTGTTATCCAGGGGAGATTCGCGTATGTGGTGTATTTTTCTCGGACGCGGACGGCCAGCTGCTGCAGCCCTGGATATCGTCCGGTGCGCCGTTCATCAACTGGTACGACGCACTGTTTCCCGGATCTTGCAGCAGCCATCCAGAAATTGCTGGGTACACCTTCACACTCAAGGTAGGTGCAACCGCACCTAATTATATTGTAACACGAACTATGCTGCAAATTGGATTTTTTAAAAACTACAAATTTCCTACCTTCTCCCTCGTGACTGCTTTTTAATTTTGAATTAAATCAAAGTTATGAAAGGATGTATGTAATCGCACAATAAAACTCTTGGGACCCTTCTTCCTCTTTTTTGTACTTCTACCCAAAGCACTAAGCCCAAGCTCTGTTGCCGCCTAGGAGAGGCCTAACTATGCTTTACATGCCATTTACTCAAGTCCCCTTGGAGATCCAACGCTGTTGCTTGGACCTACTTACTGCCCATGAATGACCCCACAACCACCTGCCGACGCTTTCCGTACTTTCCCTTACGTTTTCGTACAACCGCAGGCCGCCAACTACGACGGCGTCCCTGGCTGCCTCACGGGCAACTACGTCTCCCCAGCCTGCAGTAGCTTCCCGCCTCCTCCACCCCCCCCACCGCCGCCTCCACCTCCCCCACCGCCGCCTCCCCCCAAGCCCAAGTTGCCTCCACCTCCTCCGCCGCGCACCCGCCCGCCCCCGCGCCCGCCCGTCGCCACCTTCCCCCAATGCGAGTGCGACAAACGTCCTGGGAGTTCATCTCTTTTCTTCTCCCAATCGAACGTCACAGATCTCGATACGGGCATGCGCATGTACTGCTTTGTCGTGGGCATTACACCGTGCCTGCGCCAATCACCTTGCTGCACTCAAGACCTTCACAAGATCGAATTTTCGGTTTTGCCTGCTTGCGTCGGCTCTGTTGCATATTCAGCCACGGATGGCGAGCTGAGGCCTGCGCAGTTTCAGCTGAAGCCGTATCCAGCCATAAAATTCAATAATTTTGCCAAGGCCTTCTCAGACGCCGACGGAACGGAGGTGTGCCTGCTGCTAAGGCCGCCTTGCGACACGTTGGAAGCTCTATGCGGGGGCCCCACCTGTCTCTACTCGCTCTTCAACAACCGAGTTTCAAACCAGCCGAAATGCTGCCCCGTACGGAATGTTCTCGATCCGTTGTTAGAGTGAGGAAAAGAGTGAGGAAAAGAGTGGGGAAAAGAGTGGGGAAAAGAGGCAGCGCGGTTTCCTGGATGGCGGGGGATGTGCGGCATGGTGCGGGGAAGGAAGGAAGGGAAAGAAGATATGGGGCAGGGCAGGACGGCGCGCCGTGAAGCTTGGGGTGGGGGAGGGGAGGGGAAGGGAAGGGAGTCGAAGATATACTAACCTATGTGGATATCTATATCTGAATGTGATGAAAAGAACCATGGGTCAGGGGGCCAAGGCCTGTCAGAGACCGCCTTGGTCGCGGCTGTGTCGTCCCATCCCCCCATTGTCATGTCCAGTGTTGCCTATGTGTATAGCATGTCGTTATCCTCCTCCTCCTCCTCCGCTGACGGCGCGGCCGCCGCCGCCGTCGCCGTCGCTGCCGCTGCCGCGGGGCTCCTGAAAAGAGCCCTTAGCGGGGCCTGGCGTGCAGAGTAGGGCAGCAGGAGCCTTGTAGCTCAGCTGCCGTCTGCTCGACGATCAATGCTTGAACAGGACCTTGAGGGATCCGCACGCATATCCTGGGAGCGGAAGCGGAGCAGGGGGAGGAGGAGGAGAAGTAATAGGGGAAAAAGGATATCCTGGGAGGATTGTGGACGGGAAGATTGAAGCTGCTTTTGAAGCAACCCGCAGCTGAGAAGCTGATGGAGGCGGTATTCATGGTAGGTTAGAGAAGTAGATCCGGAAATGGATCCGGGAAAAGAGGAGCCCGGGGTTGGGGTGACAGGTTTGACTGGGACACAAAAAGGGAAAGAGGGCGGCTTGCGGGCGAGTAACATAGGGTCCGCACATGTGCGTGACAGCATCAGGAAGTAAAGTGATTGGGTGAAAAGTGAGAAGGCCGTAGAAGTGCGTGCGTACAGCGAGGCGGCGGAGTAGTGCCTTGACGTTTTGACCGACATGACCGGCGTGTGCGAATTGAGTCTCTGCATTCTTTTGACCGTCTGACCAAATAGGATAATTGATGTCCGTTTTGTTTTCATCATACGTATCTCTCTTATTGTCTTTTGTCTTTTTCCGCCGTCTTTCTGTAGTGTGCATTTGATCGTCTTCTCCCTTCACTTCTCTTTCTCTTCGCACTTTGACCTTGTCTTTCTGCGTCAGTATTCTTCCCTGTTTTTTAAGCGGGAGCGGGAAAGAACCGGTTTGTGGGGCAAATGGCAGCCAGGCATGGTAGACAGCAAAAGGATGTGTCACGTAAATGCTCTACGTGGCAACTTTTTGCCCGTCTTAATGTTCTCCTCGGAATCGACATCCAAAATGCTGCATCTTCTCTTCTAGTTGAAATCCCTCTTCCTCTATGTACTGTTTTTCTTTTGCGGTTGGATGCGCTTTCGCGATGTCGATGACACCTGCATACTTGTGATTGTACTTGACTTTGGCTGGCAACGTCAGGTATGAACGCAGGAAGCCCCAGAGCGTGCGCGTGTGCGCCTGCGTTGAAAGCGTTCTGCCTCAGGGCGTATGTTACAAGTTTCGCACTAGTGTGGGGGGGTCCGTCAAAGCCGGGAGGCCATGGACTATACATATTCAAAGCTGATTCCACCGTACAACCGACGGGCGTATAGGGTACATTTTCATTGGGGTGTACTTGTGATCATTCGCGCGCGTGGCGCGCGAATGCCGGTGAAATTTAAACTGAACTCCACGTCTGTGTGTGTGTGTGTCTGTGTCTCTGTGTGTGTGCCTCTGTGTGTGCGTGTGTGTCTATGTGTGTGTTCTCGTATATTTTTGTGAATATGCGTGTGGTCATGCATGTGTATGCTGTCGCGCATAAGCTCTGAGGGGAAAACCATCCGAAACAGGCGGATCTTCAGGGGTAGCGCGTGGTGGTGCGAGATGCATGTGTCGCATGGTGATGGTAGTTGGTATGCACGGCGCCGTCGACCCGTTGGTGGGCCAGTCGTGAATGTGATGACATGACGCTTCATCAGGCAATGCGTTGAATCAAGAAACGGCCCATCGGTCGGTCACGCGTGTGTCTGTATGTAAGCGGGTGTGCGTGTCGAGAAGGGAATCCGGGAGTCGCCTGCTCTATGCTTAAGGTTTGGCACGCACAAACTGTGTTATTGTGTCGTACTCCTCACGTACATCGCCCCTGCGTTTACCGTACCCTCGTGCCGAACCTGGAACACGAGGCGCCACCGGCAATGTTCCATCTCCCCCTGCCGTGTGGGTGTGGGTGTTTTCCGTTTACACACATTTGTGGGGTTTGGTGACTGTCAAGGCTATCCGGCAGCACTGCCGCCGGATCTCGTACCTGATCCGTACCACATTCGCCTATACCTGATGTGGTTCTAACTGCACCTGGTCGGATTCGATCCGGTGTCCGACCGGTCTGACACCCCTCGGGGTGTGCGGAGCCGTCCAGTTGCATATCCCTTAGTCGCGTGCCGGTACAGTCTGGCAGGGTAGGCCGGATAATCGAGGGCGGGTGTATCGGCCTGTGGACGACTGCAGTACATAGGAGATGTACTGCCGTACAAACACAAGCGCGTGCGGCTGCCTAGGCGTGCGTGCGTGGGAAGTGGGGTAGGAGGCCTTGAAAGGCCGGAATCAGGGTTTGTGTACGGGAAAAGAGAGTTTGCGTGCATGTTCGCTGCATATATGGTGCGTGTTTTGCTTACCATTACCGTGCATGTTCGCTGCGTTGCGGGCGGATGAAGAGAGAGTGTGTATCGTGTGTCTGACGTTGCTCGCTGTGCGCAAGTCGAGAAGTGGCGGGCAATTGCATAATTGTACTGCGTTGTACGGAACCGCTGAAGAAAACGAAACGGTGTACATGTAAATCCAGAGATCCCCAGTTTCCCGTGCCAATGGCCTAATCGGTTTATATTCCAGTACGGCAGCAGTACATCCACGCACCGGTATTTGTGTTGTACCTCTTCAGAGGTACAGCTGGGATTTACACGGTCTCGAGGACTCAGTCAGAAACATGTTTCAGCCTTCGGCCTCCAGCCTTCAGCATTTTTTCACATTTTTTCACATTCACATTCACGTCACTTAAAGGAATGTGTTCAGGTGGCCCTGAAGCCTCCCGCTCTGTAACAATTCAATTCAATTTAAAGGAAGCAGCGCAGCTAGGGAGCTTCAGAGGCGCTGTGCCCAAAGGTGCCCTGTGTTGACCGCCCTGCGGATAAGTTCTGAACTAAAGCCATCATTCAAGTCAAGGAGACGTGACCTTTTTGAAACACATCATATGGATGGATTAGTGGGCAGTAGCTGGGTGATGCGGGCAGTAGTTGGCAGTACCTGTGTGATGCGGGCAGTACCTGTGATCTGGCCGGATTAATATCGGTAACCTCGTTTGTGCACTGGTCCTAAGTCAAAAAGGCCTTTATTTGGGATTATATTCTCAAACGTTTTATCGGAGGATTAAAAAGGCTCTGAAGGACTTCGCCTGCATTGGCTTCGCTGAGGTGGGGCTACTCAACTGTTTGGGGGTACCCCCAACAAGTAATCAACTGAAGGGTTATATCGATTGTTAGCTGGTTGACAGCAAATTATATGGAATTGTTAGGAGGGTTGGGGAGAAACTAATCGCCCTTGGGGTTATAGGCGACTGGGAAGAGGGGACAGAGAGGCAGCTGAACTGGTCACAGCTGGTCTGAGGTAGGGCTGGCGGGCTGGTAGAGTGTTCTCTTGAATTCTGTCGAGGACAGAATGAGGTGTAAAGCAATGGCATGGGCTCTGCGTCATTCCAAGTTCGCATCAAGTCCCAGTGTTGAGTACCGGTATTACCGTCTGTTCCGTGTAATAGTTGCGCGTGAGGTTGGGTTAACAAAGGCATTTCTAGGTAACTTCAAGGCCAGGTACAGTACAGGTACTGGATGTAACGCCTGAAATTACAGGAATTTACCAAAGCCACCGGAAAGGGACAGCTAAGCAGAAGAAGCCAAGATTCATTTCGTGCTAGTCCTACATAATGAATCTCCCTAATGATTGTAAAATGTAAAGTATCTCGTATGACCTAGTCATTGACGAGTAAGAATTAGAGTGGCGCTGCAGGCCCATAGCGGATTGACGACAGTTGTACCGAATAATATGAATACAGTATCTTAAATCCCTCAACTTCATAGCCAGCTGAACCCTGGATATGTTATTTACAAGTAAGCTATAGCAGAGAGTGCGAAGTCAACATCTGTACAGGGCGGTCGTTTACCCACTGGCTGTAATAAGACGCCTTCGCGCGATACTCGCTTGTTGTTATAAAAGTACGCACGATATCGTGCAATGTTAAAAATGATGAATAATGCAGAAGAACGCATCTTGTGATCATATGTTTCCGGTCAGCATGGCCAGCCAAAGTCAAAAAACGGAGCCTGGAGTTGGCGGCGCTCTAGCACCGCAGGTTCTCAAAGAGCTGGAGGAAATTCGCTCAGAACAGGCAAAGACCAATGAACTCCTCAGACAGATCCTGGTTCCGCTGGCTTCCCTCTGCAAGTGCGTACAGTAGCCACCGCCATCCTAGCGCGAGATACGGGCATCCTTTTCGTTGCTCCCCATTGGATTTCCTGTACACCACCATATTCATAACGCCAAGTATCCCACCCGGATTTTAAGCTTAGCCCGTTCCCTGAAGCTTCCATGCTGACTGAACATGTCACGCATCAGCGTGTACCTGTACCGCGCGGCCTGGAACAGCTGGTTGTTTCAATCACGTCCTTTGTACCGCACAGACTGGCCTTAGCTCCGCACCATTATATTTTGTGGTTTGCGCACATGGCTGCCTATTCGTCCTCCCCGACCAATCAAGGATGGACGACTCTGCCTGAAACCTGGCCAACCATGGTTACCACTTCAACACACCAACCACCGCAATCGTGATCAGCTGTGAAACTTACCAACTCCATCTAATAGCACCCAAACTTCAGCCCCAGCCAGCTAAATTAACACCCCTTCCTCTCGTCCCTTGCAGCCGCTGCACCGCCATTCTACTCTACACTCAACGCATCGCCGCGTCCTGTAATAGGGCACTTATGCTGTTAGAGGTATAATCAGTTGTAACCGGGATCCCAGTCGTGTCGTTTATCACGCTATGCTATTGTGTAACGTGTGTGGGTCTGTTTGACGGCTGTTGTGGCGGTCCGCCTGGCCCCTGCCTGGCCCTTATTTTGCCCTTGCGGCGCTCCCATCAGGGCTCGATGGCATCATAATCAGGCTCGTATGCATGTGAGAAGGCTTGCTCGATATCACCATTAAAGGAGGGCAACACAACTTTCCCAGAAGGTGTAATACACACAGCGTGTGCGTGTGCGACGCCTCCCCCCTACCCACCCATCCCCGGGGGAGGAGCGCGGAGCTAGCAGGCCGGCGGCTCTCGGCTGCATAGGAGGGGTCAGGGGCCCCTCACGTCCCTCTCCCGTCCGCGGGAGAGAGCTTAGGGGCGGTCTTTCCGTTGGGGCTGAGCAGCAGCAGCCCCTAGCCAGTCTCCGGCCCGGTCAGATACTTGTAACCTTCACACACGTACACATAATACACACACAACACACACGCATTTCCCCTTCCGATTCCACACCCGGCTTTCTGTCTCTGAAACCTGGGGGCATTCTCCTTGGCTAGGCTGCTGGCCTGATCCTGCTCTGCCTACTTGATATGGCTCTTCATCAGGTGTTCACATGCCGTTCCCGCTGCTGTGCTGTTCATCGAGTAATTTTGTTTAAGCGACTTTGCCTCAACACCGTGTGTACATCCACATTAGGTACCAACACGTTTTACCTTTTCCTTCGCTGTTCGACATCGCGATGCCGAGAACATGCTCCCCTTTTTAACGCATCCGTGCAGCGATGCTCTGAGATTCTACGTGCCGTACACATGACCATGACCCACATCACGACGCTACTCTCCGCCGCCGCGGCAGCCGCCGCGTATGAGGGTCTTATGGACGAGCATGCCGTACATCTCGGCCGTGGCATGCACGCCGCTGCTGCAGCGTGCGTGCTGACGGGCGCTGTCGTGTTATTGCCGTACCGTTGGAGAACTTGCCGTCCTCAAGTCCGTCAGATTCCCCTCTGGCGCATGCGATTGGTTGAATGGCGAGATGCGAGGCAATGGTGGCGATGGTGGGGGCAACGACACCGGCAGCAGCACCAACATAAGGATGTACATCAACAGCAAAGCCAGGCTACGGTACTGCAATGGAAAACATTCGGCCACACCACTGCCGCTTCTGCCGCCGCTGCCGCCGGGGGGAACAGCGGCGGCATGCTGGCGGCAATTACAGCGGCCTGGCGGCGCGGCGCCGCCGCCGCCACCGCCCCGCAGCCGCCACCGCCGCCGCCGCAGCCACAGCCAGCTGTGAATCCTGGCTGGTTTTCTTTCCAGCCAAGCGGAACGTGGCCTTCTCCCATCAGCTGGCTTGGGTTTGGTTCCGGAGCCTCGTCATCAGGTGGCGGCGGAGCTGGGGCTCGTACGGACGGCCGATGGTTCCTTGGCATTACCAGCAGCGGCAGCGGCAGTAGTAGCGGCGGTAGTCGTGGTGGCAGTAGCGGGCGGCCGTGGGGTTGGGGGTGGTGGTGGTGGTGGTGGTGGGGAGTCAGCGCACGGGAATCGTCATCTTCCCTATTGCTTTGTCGTACCAGGGCGGCAGGTGAGGTGGACGGAGTTTGCAAAACACAACCCGTTGAGGAGAGGTTTTGTTCCTCCCTCGCCATGTATGTATATCTGGATATCGGGATCGTGTGCAGGTTCATATGTCTTACTTTTTATATTGCACATCATGCCACCCTTCAATTTAAAAACCCCCGCACACACACACACACACACACACACACACACCGCCTAGACCATTTGAATTAAATGGTTGCAACTTTTCCGCTAACAGTCATCAACTACGGTAAAGAGAAATGGTTTAACACAGAGACAAAGAGAAATGGTTCACCTCCCCTACCCCTACCCCTCTTCACCTCCCCTGCCCCTCTTCACCTCCCCTACCCCTCTTCACCCAACGGGATCTTAACACCTCAGTCGGCTTCCTCGCCGGGGCTCTGATCCTACTGCTGTGGACTGCCGTACAGCTGTACTGGGCGGCGACGGCTCGCCGGCGCCGCCAGGTAGCGTCGTCGCCGTCGTCGTCGTCGGCATCTCACGCCGGGTCATTGCTTGGCGGCAGCCCCGCTCTCGCTCCCCAGAAGTGGCTGTCGCCGCCGCCGCCACCGCCGCCGCTACCGAAGAGGAGGGTACGGCCGCTGCACGACCTCCGAGACTTGTCCATGTACTTTGTACGAGAGTGTACGACAATGTTTCCTTCCGGAAGGCCTTTGGAGCTGATCCGGTCGTGGCGGCGGCGCCAGGGAGGATTCCGGAAAGTTACTCCGGCGGAATTCGTCTGCAAGAGGTGTACGACAGCAATGTGGCGGAGCTCCGCTTGGGTGCTGCTCGTCCACTCGCCGGCCTGGGTAGTAGCGCTAGCGGCGATGGGCGGCTCGTCCATGGTCTGGCTGGCGTTACAACTGACGTGGCACGCTGCACTGCCGTACATTTTCGTGGAATCGATAGCTACAGCGGAGGATCTTACTGTCGGAGCCGTTGCCGTACAACCCGCCGTCGCCGCTGACAATCAAGGTGTCGATGACGACGACGTCGCCACAAAACCTGGCAATCGAAATGTTAGCACCTGTTGGCCGGTCATTTCGAGCACTGCTGTACAAGAGTACGGGCCGTACAAGCGCGGCCGAAAACGACAAACCATCCTCAGCTCTAAACGGGCTGACGATCCCTGTACGAGGCAATGCGCCTCCGGTGAAGATAACCCTAATAGTCCGTCCGACACGAAAGAGGGTTTCCGCGTCGCGAACGGTAATGACGACGGCAATGTCGGTTCAGTACGGGAAACTCGTATGCTTGGCTGCGGCTTGCTTGGCCGCCGACCACGGCTAAGCCCTGGATCCATTCTGTGCCGTGGTTTTAGATTCATGCAACCCGCTGGTTTTGGATCTGGATCCAGGTCCAGGGCTGAGTACGGAAGGTCAGAGCAGCCCAGTACGACAGTACATCGAAGCTCTGATTCGTCCATGCATTTGGATGCCACCGACGGCAGCGGTGGCGCCGGCAGTTGTACGGCACGCGTCCAGTCCAGTACGGCTCCTTCATGTACGGCAACTGCATCGGCGATGGTGGGGTCCACCGCACGGTTCCTTGGGTCGCTGCCGTCAATCACGTCGGGACCGCCGCTGTCGCTGCCAGCAGTCCCTATGCGGCAGGAGTCGCTGTCGTATTCAGGAGGCCCTGAGGCTCCGAAACCTCTTCCCGCGGCGCTTGCGACCGCATCGATTTGGGTCAGCGTGGCATCGGCTGCGGTGCGGCGGGCAAGGCCGCTGCTGGCTGCGCTGTGGCTGTACGGCGGTCCATTTGCCATCGGCGCGGTGCCGGTGCTACCGCGTTCCTGGCTGTGGGACTATTTGGCTGCATCGCCGGCACAGCTGGCTATAGGCTTAGTGCTAGCCGTCATAGCGGTGGCTTGGGTGGCGGCCCCGGTGGGGGGACGGGATGTAGCTGCCGCCGGTACAACACCCTCGCCCAACACCCTTGGTTCTGCGACAGTGCAGCTGCCTTCGCCGGCACCGCCCTCAGGCGCCGCGGGGACATTGATTGCGGCAGCGGCGACGGCCAGCCGACCCACGAACGTTTCTCCAGGCTGCTAATTATTGTTGGCATGCGGTTATTCGTCTTTTATCACGGCTGATCATCCTTTTCTTCCCCCACAGGCGTTTTCAAAGAAAGGGAATGATAAAACGGTCAATTTTTGTATCGGCGCAATGCTCTTTATGATCGCCGTGTTTATTTGCGCATATGGTTCCTGTCTGATCATGCCTGGTGCTGTAATTGTGGGTCTTTGATGCCAATTGTGCGTGATGACAAAAGGCACATTCAGACCTCGAAAATGCTTGTAGGTCAGAACTGCAGCTCACGCAAGGAGCAGAAAGGATAGCAAAAAAAAAGCACAAAGCACGGGTGGGTAAGAGGATGCAGCACATGCAGCGCTTAAATCGCGCCAGAACTTGCCACAAGACCCAAAAATTGATACGTGGTTGAGCTTTGACATGCAAAATGCAGTGGATGGTGAACTTGCTGTGCAACTTTCCTACCAGATACATGCAATATATTGGGGCAGCTAGATCCGGTCATTCGTCATGGTCAAGATCAATAACATGGGTCCCTCACTTATTGATCTAGAACCTTATCATGGAGTGTCGATTGAAGCCGACGCTGTATCATGCGACACGGGCGTGCACCTGACGGCGTGTGTCAGTACATCATGGCTGCAAGGCAAGGGGTTGCAGATGTCCGGTGTGCATTCCAACCTGCGGCACCCATGAATTCTTTCTTTTCTGTTCTTACCTTAAGCTTGCGAACTCTCGGCTCGTTTATGTCGTACAAGTACGAGAAATTCGGTAACTTGCCATTTTGCGCAAACCTGGCAGAATCCGGCATGCCAACTCACACACAATTTTTTTGCATACTTATCTATGCGCAAGGGATGTGGTTCCTGCTCTCAAATTTGTTGAGCACGCTGTCCACCTGTTCACACGCACTGACGCGGCCAATTTTTTCGCTACGCCTGGACAACCGACGATAAAATTTATATGGTTCTAATTAAAATTAATACATAACTCCAGAAATCCGATGTTATAGGCCACAACAGATCACCTGCATAGGAACCTGTGGGTTTGGCGACGAACACTTCCCAAGGGCGTCACAAGGCTTCCATCTTGCTACATGCACACAAAAGCAGCACAGGGATTACGTCAATGAGGATTGCATGCTCTTTGGCCTGGAGCTTGCCAAATAGACCAGCCCTATGCCACCCCGTAAGCGCTTGTGAAGACGTGCATATTTCAAGCTTGTTGTAATATAAGCGTTTTTACGGTTTGCAGAGCTTTTTCCCAGAGCGGATGGCCGTGCACGGACAACGGAAGATTCCTCTTCATGGTTCAAGGTGCTCATGGTGGTGGAAGCCTCGATAGCATGGATGCTTGTATCTTCGGGGTTGATCATGCTCAACAAGTAAGGGATCCTGGTGACGTCTTCGCTGGCTCTCACACGAGAGGGTGACGAGGAGGGCGGGCGCACAATCGAATGCACAGTGCGCCTCCCAGGCAGCAACCTAAAGAGAGCTGTTTTTACGCGAGATTGCTGTTAAGGAGGATTTACGGAGGGGCCTAATATCGAGCTGCATGCATGCCTTGGTGTTCGCGGACGCCCGTCTTTATCCCGCGTGCAAGGCACCGATAACCATCCGCCCAAACCCAGAACGACCCCCACCCAAACCCCCTAACTACAAATACGTACGACCTCAGATACATCATGGTCGACTTGGCCTTTGACTACCCTATGTTCGTCACAATGATGGGGATGGGCATGAGCGGCGTTCTCGCCTTCCTGTGCTGCTACATCTTTCGCCTGGTGGACGTCAACGAGAAACTGGATCTCAAGTTCTGGTTTCAGCGCATTCTCCCGATCGGGTGCGTGCCAGCTGCCGTGTCGGCCCTTGCGCGCACTGCCGTTTTATTCGCCCCACTGTGCTGCTGTACCGGCAGCTTTGGCGGTCCTCCGGCTCCTGTTTGCATGCTTCCCTCGCCTCTACCCACTTTGGCAAATGGATCACATAAGGCCCAGTTTTGTGACAGCCAGCTGCTTGGCTACCTGGCTGCTGGGAAGCGCATGCGATTGATACAACCGTCCTCTGTTATTGGACGTCGCCCCCTGGACAGACTGCTCATGGCCATCACCTTGTGGACCGGCAACGAGGTTTACTTGCACCTGACCGTGGCGTTCATTCAGGTGAGGTTAAGGACGATCCACACGAATCCACCGGAGATAAACCGAGCGGGTGACTGGTGAGGAGGTGGCTTGTTCCCGGGTGGTAGGTGCCGTAAAAGATGAGAAAGTGGGCAGCAGCAGTGCCTGGTGGGTCCATCGCGGTTTTTCAATCGCTGGTATCCACCGCTGGACCCGCCCGTCGCCGCTGCCGCTGCAACCTGCTGTTAGGTCCTGCAGCAGCAACAGCAGCAGGAGCAACACTGCGACATCTACTTGCTTTGCCTGTTCCTCGTCGTACTCCACCCGCGAATTGGGTCTGTGAAGCCAGCCAGTCTAGCTGGATGGGCGCTTCCCAACAGGGCCGTGTGGCCGCATAGCAGCGTTGATTTTTCATGCCGCATGCCAGGCTGGGGACATCACCCCCTTCAGTGGAATGCCCTGTGCTAAGACGTGTGCTGCAGTACACATGGGCGAGGGCTTTCCGAGCTCAGCACGTACCGTTACGCACGCGCACAGGCACTCGCACATGTGCGCGCGTGCACGTGCACACACGTACATCACAGATTCATCGTAGAGTAAACATGAGCGCAGGCTCTTCATTCTGCCGTTCTCCTTGCAGCCCTGCTCTACTGTTCCGTCCTTTGCCGTGTGTCGTTTCGGCCCGTGTCGTCTACGTGTTCTTTTGCACACGTCCCCACCACCTCCGGAACCGGCTTTGGCCTGTGCTTTTTACTGACCCACATCGGGATGTTGCTGGATCACATCCGGAGCTCGCGGTGCTGCTGCTGCCCCCCTTTCTAGGACTTTTCCACCTGTCCGTTTCCTCCTGCATCCTTTTTTCGTCTGCGTTTTCTGCGACCCTTTCCCCCCCTCTCTCTCCTGCATCCTCTGCGACCAGAGGTGCCGCAACACCACTGGGTCCCCTTACCACCATGAAACCGAAATGGCCATATGTCTGCGGTGTCTCTTGCTGTCGATACCTGCGGTACTTTGATCCCCTGAAACCCCCGCAATCGTCAGTGGTTCGTCTTAATCCCCGCAACACTTCCCCGGCAACCCTCGTTCAAACACTATGTCGTTCACCTTCATTTCTATCCAATGTCCTTCACCTTCATTTCCATCCACTCTTCCTGACCTTTCTCCCTCCCAACCCCCGACGGCTATAATCTACGCGTTCTCACCCAGATGCTCAAGGCGTTCAACCCCGTGATCACGATGGTCTGTCTAATCGCGGCTGGGCTGGAAAGCCCTACTCGCCCCATGGTGATTTCGGTCCTGCTAACCGCGTTGGGTACGGCAGCAGCTGCGTACGGCGAGATGAACATGAACATGTACGGTGTGGTGCTGATGCTGACATCGGAGACGGCCGAGTCAATTCGGCTGGTGATGACGCAGTTTTTGCTCGTGGGTCTCAATTTTCATCCCATCGAGGGGCTTATGTACCTGGCCTCCACGTGTTGCCTGTGGCTGATGGTGGGCTGTGTGGTGGTGGAGTTGCCGAGGATGCAACGGAAGGGCGCGTTGGGAATCGTGTGGCAATATCCCGCAGTGTTCCTCTGCGCGGCGATCTTGGGCTTTGGCGTCAATGCGCTGGCGTACGTCGTGATCAAGGTACGGCGGGTGGTTGGGAAACCAAGGAAAGCGCTTGGGAAAGTACGAAGATTAAAAACAGTTCAAACAGGAGTTGGGAGGATCAAGATGGGTTGAATGTGATCAGTAATTTTAGGGTTCCTAGTGGTGGATTATTCGCGGCCTTACAGTTAAGGGATTTCGCCTAAAACCCTGAGGGTATGTAAGGGCCAAGAAGGAGCCTTTAAGTCCAAGCGTTTGGGTAAAGGTGTTTTAGCGATAAAGGAAACTGGGAGAGGAAGGTTGGATCGCGGGGGTAAGAGTGACGTGCTCGAGGGGGGGTGATCGAAGGCAACCATCCGGTGGTGACGCGGCTGATGTAGCTGATAGCTCTGCCGACACGGTAATATGAGGGTGGGGACGTTCGCTAGCCAACCGGTGCACCACATCACAGCTTCCCGTCCCTCATTTCGCTTTCTGCACCGCTTCATACAATTCATTAAAATCCCCGCATTTATTGTGGCCCCTTACGTGCCTCGTTCAATCAGTACATTAAGCATTCCGTGCCGCGGGGCACCCGCCCAGCATTCGATTTCCCCACAGCCAAATTCCTTCCCGCCAACTTTACACTCATCCTCACCGAGCCATTTCCGTCTTCTCTTCTGCACCCGCACTCGTCCTTCTGCTCGCTGCTTCGTTCGACACGTGTTCGAGTTGTTTCACAGCTGGCTTCAAGCCTGACGCTCAAGGTGCTGGCGACCGCGAAGAACACGTTGTTGGTAGTGTGCGGCATGCTGCTGTTTGGTGAGGTAGTGACAGGGCTGCAGGTAAGGATTAAGGTCTTTTCCAAGTTTTTCCAGGCTTAAACCGCAGATTTAGGACCTGACGCGCTGACGGAGCAAATGGGTCCTGACGGAAGAAGGAAAAATGGAAACAACTAGAGAAGGGAGGAGGGCGGAACGGGTCACAGACGTCTTGGGTCCTGCTCCCCCTGGTCCCCGTCCCTGCTCAACCTCCCTCCATTCTTCCCCCACTCCTTACAGTTATAGCCCCGCGCACCATCCGCCCGTCCTTCAATCCGCCAACCCTCCATCGCCAAGCCCTTCTCCTTCCCGTCCTCCATGTCCTTCACCTCCGAAAGCCATTTTTGCCTCCTGGCAATCACAACAAACTTCTAACTATTTCGATGTCCACCTCCCAAACAGGGTTACGGTTACATCCTGTCGCTGACCGGCTTCCTCTGGTACCAGTGGTTGAAAGTGAGCCAGCTAGCAGCTCCGGAAATCAAAAACCGAGCCGAGCCGAGTCCATCAGGTCCTGCAACAGGAACCCTAGCAAGCGCAAGAGTCTGAGCGGCTTTCGCTGACGGTGTCTACGAGTTCTTCTTGTTTACGGAGGCGCTGCTGCGTGCCTTGGACGTGACTGTGTGTTTCATTTGAGCCCTACGTTTGTGGAGGCTTTGGCGCGCGGATGTTATGATGTGTATGTGTGCGTTATGTGCGTGAGATGGAGGGTTATGGACGTGAGCGCGGGTGAGAAGCAGGGCCGTGACAGAGTCCACGTGCGGTACATTAAAATGTGCGTAGTAGTCTATGTATGTGGTTTTTATGCATGCATTTATGTTATGTTTGGTTGTATGGTTACACGCTGTGTGCGTTCGAAGGTCGACATTACCTGAGGGTCCTTGGCGTGCGCATATATAGCTGTGTGGGCCGTTGTTGATTGAGTTACGCGCGGTGCCCGCATGTGTGGTTGGGAAAAGGGTGGGGAGGGTGTCGGATGGAGGAGGCAGTGCTTGCCCCTCAACCTATCTGCCTTCTAGTCTGTCTGTCTGTCAGCTTGTACTGAGCTTTCAGTCCATTGCACGTTTTGGTAGCACAACCTGCCCTCCCTTTTCCCGTTTGGTAGTCGACTTCACTATGAGCATGGGTTGGTGACGCAGCAGTAGCAGGAGCACCAGCAGGAGCAGGGCACTTATGGACATACTTAGATTTACAGCGTGGTGGCGATGGTGGTTCATCACTCAGGGATTTCAGATTTTTGTGCACACATACAGACATACACAAATTGCACTTTCAGGTTTGGATGGCGCCCGTGTTTTCGACACATGACATTCATGGGAGACATCACTGCACTTGGATCTCGATGTACGGTGATGTACGGCTTCGGAGAGGAAATGAAAGGGGGACAAATGGCAACAGGATATTCTGGGACATCACCCGGGGGCGGGGGGTTTGGGGCGCGCCCCTCTGGGGTGTGTGTTGGAGGGAGGCTTCCGCTTCTTCCACTTCTCCTTCTCTTTCGACATTTCATGACTTTCGGGGCTCGGTCAGCCGGGTGATTCAGGAAGTGAGAGCCGCGGTGCATGGGCGTGGCCTTGAGGCTTTTCGAAGAGTTGAGGGCTTTGCAAACTCGGTAGTTTGGCAAGTAAAGCTGTGAGAATGAGAGGAATGAGCGACTGAGGGGCTCAGGGCGGTCAGGTTCTGAGATTCAGGGATTTCGCTATGTGGGGATGAGGAAAGCTCGTGGGAGGGGATTTCGCCAAGCAGGTTGCTTGACAAACGACTGCGTCACGCGTGCGGGCCCTGATGACACGTTAGCGCATATGCTGCGAGAGGACGTGTGGCACTTGCTGGGTTGGCGGATGGAAAAAGAGAGCGGAAGGTGCAGGGTGGGTTGGCGTGGATGATGGTGTAAGGGGGGGGAGGGAGATTATTTGGGGCTGCGGACTGAAGAGGGCGGACGTATGTATGTATGTATGTACTGTCACCTTACGCAACTTGCACAGAACACTGCACCTGCACATGCATGCATCCGGGAAGTTAGGTGGTTGGCTACGTAGCGCGTTTCCGACGGGCTTTTCGTTACCTTCAATTTTCCATGTATTGCATACGAGGACGTCTCCGGGGTGATAGCAGGAGCAATGTGGAACCAAGCGCGCCGGGTGGGGCAACGAGCAAAGCAACTGCCAATGACCAAATTGCGTAGCAGCGGTTTAACCAAGACGTGCTTGTACGGCATTTCGTATCGGGATTGACCAATTGGTTGGGTGGTATTATACATCTTGCAATTTGGGCGGCTCTGATGTGGGTAGGTGTGCGAGTGATGGATGTAGCTGGTCTCTCCCCCCCAAATTGGGTCGGGGGGCCCATTGTTATCCTTCAATATTCGCTGAAGTCATTGAATGTTACTGGCATTCCTGTAATCGAACGAGCGTCTTTAGCGGTTTACTCTTGATTTGTCTTGTATACTGGGGTCATGTTCAAATCTTTCTTGTCACGTTTTGTCAAAAGTCAAACATCTGACGGTGCTGCAAAACAATTTTCCTTCCGTCTTTCAACATGGTGCTTTGCACGTTATACAATTACTGGGCACTCTCCATATGGCTAAGGTAGCTGGTAGGTAGGTATTGATCCTGAGCGGTACGCAAGCTGGAGCGCATGTATCGCATGCAAGTCGGTGCAGTAGATGTATGGATTTGCGTGATGGGATGGCGGTCGACGGGTGCTTGTATGGCGCTGATGGCATTGGTTGGCGACCTCCGTGTATAGGGAACCCCGGACTGACTTTCCAAAAACCCTCAAGAGTGCTTGCATTACGTTGCAACGTAGAGGCCTGCTTAGAAGGAAGCATGGCTATGTGCACGTGTAAGAAAGAGAGGGAATGTATCTGTATTACACCAGGAGTTGCGTTACTCTCCAAAGGTGTAACCTGGGGCCCCATACATACCTGGAAGCCTGAGGGAGGTGAGGGAGGGGGCCCAAGAGCCAGCTGAGGGCTGTCGGAAATAGACCGATAGATAACATGAAAAAAACTAGATATCTGCACACGTTGGTGTGTGTATATGCATGTGACGCACACGGCCATGCTAGTTTGGTGCTGCTGATAATGTGCGTATGCGAAGTTTAAATAAACGTGTGCGAGGTTGAGTACAACATACGCGCCAATGGTGTTGTCGCGCCTGCGCGTTAAACCCCTTCCTAAATCGTTGCGCACCGAATTGCACCGAATGGAAGCGTATGTCAACCTTTGTCCACACATGTTGCCATGTAAGCCGTTCCTTGTTTGCCTGCGAGTATGTTGCGTGCTATGGGTGCGCTCCTGTGCGTTTCGCGAACCAATGACTCCGAAACGCTTAAGGTGTGGCACAGCAACAGACACCTTAAGCTCTCCAAGCCGTGACAAGCCGCTGTGTCATGTCATGGCGCGGGAACAAATCGAAACTACGCGACTACACTGATCGCGTCTTGTAATGTAATGTGTGTGTTACATGGTCGTGGGGTGCGTTCCCCGTACCTGCAAACCGCCCTTATACGAGCCGAGGGCTCAAGGACTGTCAGATCACCTGTAAGCGACTACGCTGATCGCGTCTTGTGGAATCGGATGATGCGGAAGGCTGGATCTGGTGGCTTTCCTTCAGCTCCGCTTTCGCCAATGAAGAAATACCTTCATGAGTATTTCTTATTGTCGCTTTTCGCGGGTCGTGAATGCTCTGTTCAATGGCAGAAAACATTACCGTGGAAATGGTGGCGCCCGAAAGAGTAGATTCGGCATGATTACCGGTGCACCTTAACTACCCGACAGTCGTACTATCCGACAGTCGTACTGCGTCGCACAGCGCTCCGCATGAAGCATAGCTTTAAACCGCCCAATACGAGCCGAGGGCTCAAGGGCTGCCAGATCGCCGATCAGCACCATCCTACCTCGCACTTCAGACAAAGCAAGTGATAAAGGAGACTAACGACCAAAAGGAACGATAGAGCTGCGGGGGGACCACATATGTTCCAGCATCTTCGCCAGGTGTTCAGGTTTCCACTTCATAGCGTCCTTCATATGCTCGAAACGTGGAGAAAATCCATATCGGATTTGATTTCGCCGTACACCGGACAGTCCGGCAAGATGTGCTTCTCATCTCCAATATGGCTCAGCGCCGCAGCAGGGGCATAACCGCTCCTCCCTAGGTACATAATACCGTCCCTTGCGCACTCTGTTCGCCGCCAACTCCCAACAGCAAAACCTAAACTGCATAACTTTACAATTCGCTGAACGCAGGATGACTGTTGTGATACGAGGCCCATCCGCCCCTTTTGGGGTTGGAGAGCGCGTCTACGATCTCCTGTTGCAAAACTTGGTGTGCTACAGTCCCACGCTGTAAACGGTTCCAAAACCTCTGTCCAAAACCTTAAAAACGTGGTAGTGTAGAGGTAGCCGTGACACTTCAGCGAACAGGAGGCGGTGCACTGGTCCAGCAGCTCCCACATTTTGCCCCATGAACGATACCTGAAGTTGCACCGCTCCATCCTTCAGACATGCCTCGAAGGACCCCTCCGCAAAGTTACTCGCATCACTCCGCCTCCTGAGCCTGTCCAAGACTTCAGCCAAGATAAATGGCCCCCACACTTGACAGGCGGCTGGCAGAGGTTAAGGCCTGGCTTCTGCCCCCGGCGCGTCCGGGTTGAAATCCGCCTGCCGACCTCTCAGGGTGTTTGAGAGGTGATGAAATGGGAGGTGGCACCCCATCTTGTGGACGGTGTAGGACGTGATAAAATCAACTTGCGAGCTGATCAAGAACTAAGTTGACGCGCCGTTGATCCGCTAGATTTGGTTGGATGCCGGTGTTGAGTTGCCAAACTCAAAAAGTACACTCTGAAGTCGGATGGGATGAATGGATTAGGGTGCCCCTCTAGCAGGGGAGAGCAGGGAACTGCCTCGGGAAGGAGGCCACTGGTGAAGCTATACCACCCTGTAACAACATCAACTGTACAACAGTATTGCTCATACCTTCGTATCAAAACACCTCAGCCTCACGTCCGGGCCGAACACCTTTAGCTTATCCAAAATCGTACTCAGCGGCAATATAGCTGCCCTAGCTGTGTCGTACAACTGCTGGCGGCAGGCATAAAATGGCCGTTCTGGCCCATGCACTAAACCCAGACATCGTGTACCCTCCTTAGCCGGTATGGCCTCTCCATTCAGCATGAGCTCATTACACGATGCTTGAACATGTCCACGATTTCGAGCAGCTCCGCCATGCGCTCTGGTGTCGTTGCCAGGAGACTAACGTCATCAGCATAAGGGAGGATGGACACTCGCTTATTGCCAACCTTCGATGCCATCCTCCTGCGTGCCCTGGTGTTAACACCGTCATGCATATTTTAATGGCGTCCGCAAGAGCTTCTATGGAAAGTCCAAACAATTCCGTCGACAGCGGACAGCCCATATTTCACAGCCTGTTTTGAATCAAATTTGCCCCAGTCTTGTAACCTTCGTCTTGTAACCTTGTCGTACGCCCGCATCAGCTGCAGCAGCATGGACCCCTAAACCCCTCTCCCCTGCAAACGAAGCCACATTACCTCCGCAGGCACATTGTCCTTTGTAACAACGCTTACAATCTGCCTTGCCTCGTTCTCCCTTTATGGACATGGATGTTTGCTTCCTTCAACTCAAGGTAACGCGGTACTGGAGGATACAGCGGTTATTGCCTAATTACGCCGTTCCCTTCTGTCCATACAACCTCTTCCCCGCCGTCGCATTTCTTTTTTGTGTCAAGTTGTTGCTTACTTCGTTCCTTGCTTCTTTCCTGTCACGTGCTGTCAGTGTGGTGGGCAAGGAGGACCGGCAGACCGCAGAAAGGAGGCTTGTCGTAAACCCATATGTGGAAAAAGGCCATTTCCTTGCAATTTATAACTGACAAGGAGCGTGTCACATGCAATCTTCCTGTAAACCGCATATCAGGTTTGCGCGTCTGAGCCATTAGTTATGATTAAAAGGCGGACCTGATCATTGCCCTCACTTGTCCCCTGCTTCGCTTGCCTCCTCCATGTACGACATAGCCACGCAACCTTCCAAGCACGCTTTGCCAGCGCGAAGCGCCCAGGGGGGCCCCGACCTATAGGATTGCCCATGTCCGTGTGTTCGCCCGGCTGAAACGCGCTATAGGTACTATATAGCATTCTCTATCGCAAGGTATCTCGCCTGTAGCCAACAAAAATCGTATGAGCACAAACAACTTTGGCTGCCTCAATTGACCGAGGCCAAAGTCACATTAACGCCTCTCGGGCTACATTTCATCTCAAAGGTGCCGTGTATCTCATATTTAAATTTCCGAGATGACAGCGTATGATTACTTGAACACCCAGCTTGTGTTACCATTTGCCCACACGGGCCTTCCGACTTGCCACCACCAAATTTGCTTTCATTTCTGTATGAACTACACAAGCTGCTTGTTTGTACATTTACTTTGGCCAATGCATGGGGCCTCCGAAGAGTTGCAGCTTGCCGTGATGAAGCTTGTGGCAGTAGAGTGCTTTCCTGTGGCCGCGGGTGCTTCAAGACCTAAACATCACAGACAGCACACAGGTCAGCAACCGATGGGTGTGCCACGGAATAGTCCCGAAATCGCTCGAAAATACATTCGTTACACAAACACTAGCTCCCACCATGTTGACATTACCCATCAATTGTCACACTTGCCACCCTAGCTACCGGCCTGTACGGATGCAGGGGGCCCCGCCTTTTTTCCGGCTTCGAGGAAGCCGACACCCGACTTGTCGCAAAGAAGCTGATATGAAGAAGAATCAGGGAAGCATGAACCACGTTTACCGACACCTGCGTATAAACCTGCCAGGACGTTAGCTAATAAATTGCAGTCTAAATCGTCGGAAAATCCAGTCGGTGTGGAAAAAACGTCACCCGAGGACTTCCTTCGGCCCAGAACCTACGTGCCTAAATTGGCAGCACGTGTACGTCATGGATCGGCAAAGCCAGTCACATGCAACATTAATCTGCGTACGATCGTACGATCGTACACGGGGTGTACAATGCCGGTTGACGTAACAAAAACATTGTTCTATGTTAACAATCAACCAACCGCAAAGCATGCTGCATTTTCTCATATGCTCATCCCAGTTCTGCTGACTGCATGTAACTGAGATATCGCGATATATTACTGTAACACATAGTAATCTTAATGGAATGAATGCATCACCAAGGATAAAAAAGACATGCACTTCAAGCTCAAGAGGTCTCAAACTCAAACGGAGGCTTTCCGCGCTTTGTCCCTTTCGCTCCCCCGGGAGCACCAACCACCACAACCACCACAAACAACTGAATGCCTTTCATCTAGCTGGAAACCACTTAGCGTATTGGCATGCGACTATGAATAGTGTAAAACATAACAGGAATGCATGTCACACACCTGGAGGAAGCAATTTCCTTGCCGTACATTGGATGCCGTACATTGGATCGCAGTTAGTTTGCGAGGTTTGGTGCACACGCAAGTGCAAGTGGAGTGTGTTAGGACATACGAATTAACAGCCGTCAACAGCGCGCGTACTTATTATATATGAGTACCATCAGGCATGCGAACGTCTTTCCCTGGACCGCGGCTCATCATACGGTGATTCGCCATGTATGTGGCCACATACATGACCTCTCGCTCGCGCACTCACGTACTCATTCACACTCAGAAACGTTTCCACACGCATACTCATATTCATACTTATACACACGCCCACTCTTCCAGGTTCAACACCCGTTTACAACATTGCATATCCAGCTGCATGAAGCCACCTTAATACTTCCCTGCAGGCAATGTGGTAGTAGCAGCATTGCTGCAGCACTAGTTTTTCACTCGCATCGGACATACATACAGTATCGGACAAATAAAACTAGTGACGGTGAAATCGAGGCTTAATTCAAGATCATGGAAGCAAAAGCAACTTAGCTGAATCTAATCATCCGCAATCACAAACATGCCTTGCTTTGCACAAGCATTGAGACTGAGATTCCATCATCGCCATCAGGCATTTTTGCGGCGGGATATGCCCGGATGTGATGATTGGATCCATTGTTGTTGCATGAGACTGCAATATATACACCTGCACATACAGACTAATATGCGGTATGCCCATTTAGTTCTCTCCACCATTGCAATCAGGGCGGAAATGCACGCACGGGGGGCCCCCCTCTTTCCCCCCCAGATACACATACACATCCACGTGCCGTGTTGCCCTCGCACGAGCATGTAACGCCATATCGAATGCGGTCGTGCACATACAACAGGCAACAACATTCAGACAGCAAATACACGAGCAGGAATGTAATAGGCGACTCGAATTCCCCTCGAGGACTCTTTGGAGCATATTATCATTATTATTATTATTAGCTGACACGTACCTGCAAAGTATCATGCAAAGCTGTGCCTAGTTAGGACATGGCACCCATAACACCCACACAGGCGGTACATACATACATACATACATACATACATACATACATACATACATACATACATACACACATACGTACTTCACAAAAATGAACCGCGATAACTGTTTTAAGTATTAGCAGCCTCAGTATCCATCCAAGTTGCTGCTGCTGCTGCTGCTGCTATTTGCACGCGTTTTTGCATAATAAGCCGCCTCATGTCAAACTCTCGCCATCACCATCATCGGGACTGCTGGTTTAGGTGCGGGTGACGGCTGAAGCATATGAGAGCTCTTACGGGCTCCACGGCGCGTCAATCACGTAAGCCCCTTCCTTTCCACAGTGGACTATGTACGGATTGTACGGCTTATGTACGAACTTCCAAAACCCACTGAATTCTATTGAATTTTGCCTAGATTTTGCGGATGGTAAAGAGCCGTGCCTTGGCTTTGCCGGCCCAGAAAGTCGGATGTGACTCGACGACCGAGTCCTCGACCCCATCAACTTCCCAACCGTTTGCAGTACAGAATACGGAACGCAGATCTGCGATTGTGATACGCCTGCAGTGCGTGGCAGCAGACAGAATGTGCATGGATAGGCTGTAAGTTAATAGCTGGTTGGCCGGTTGCCTGTTGGTGGTTTGTGCAGTGGGCTAAATGACGGACATGTAAAAAGCTGCATTCCTCATGAAATTTTTACGAGTCGTACACAATTACGTAATCACTTGGATTATATATTATACAGTTAAGACAGAAAACACATGACTTTGATTATCGACGGCGAGTGCATTCATTATCATTAGCGTGGTGTCGTGGAAAGATCAGATCCGGGTCTGGAGATAGAACCTATACTTAATACAGCATTAACACAAACACGCGGCTTTGAAGTATACGACGAATATGCGAAGTCAGTGCGAAAGCCGTACATGCTGCCATGCCGTACACCTACCTAGGACCGCCCGGTCTTGTTTCCTCCTCCGACATGCAGTTCATGTAGATAAGGCCCCCGGGGCGAAGAAGCCGTCGAAGCGTCGAGACGTAACGATCACGATGCGCGTCGGAAAAGCAGTGGAAGGTGGACGAGTCGAGCACGACATCGAAGGAGCCGGTACTATTCGGACCTAGCGCTGGTGGCAAACAGCCAGAGTCGTTTTCCAAAAGGTCCGCTACCTGAAATAGTGTAAGGCAACACCATGAAAGAGCAAAGGGAAAATGACTCTCCCGAAAATCATTACCATTGAACGTGCGCACTTATTATCTCGTCGGCCAAATAATTAAAGAAAGCGCTAACGGCGACGGTCGCCATCAGCTGCTGTATCTATTATACCAGAAGCGATTCTAAATATGTAGGCGTTGTAGAGAATTTTACACAGACGCGTGACAAGTACGCCACAACGGATCCGTCTAAACAAGAATCAACGAAGGAAATGCAATCGTCTAGGTGTATATATACAAATGCGCGCACACGTTGTTCATGGAAGGACCCGCCAGCATTTGCATAAAAGCAAATAGCTTTTAAAATTTGCTAAAAAAAGCAAAGGTTTCTTTCAATACTAATGCTTACAACACACCTCACATCTCCAAGCAATGCATATTTGCTTACCACGAGATCCAGCTGATTGCGCATGTTTCGTAGGTTGGCCTTGGCTGCCGCGAACTCCAGACACCTCGGCACCTGCGCAAGATGTAAAACGATGGGCGCACATTGGTGTACGGGAGACAGCGGCAATTGGAACGGGAAGAATTCTCTGCTACGTTGAGGTGACCAATATCTCCCAGAAAAAAGGATCTCTTTCAAAAATGTAACATTTATTTAATAGCAGCCTTCCAAAAGCCGCTCTCCCGCTGCACCCCCCCGCGCACCCCCGCTCACCACATCCACTGCCGTGACCTTCGCCCCCGGACACGCCTTGGCCACGTACAGCGCGTTGTCCCCGATGCCGCACCCCGCATCCAGGACCCGGCCCGAGAAGCAGCGCCGGAGAACCAAGTCGCGAACGAACTTCTGGGGCCTGTGCGGGATAGGGAGGGAGGGGGAGATAGGGGGCGAGGAGAGCGGAGGAGAGGGGAGGAAGGGGGGAAGGGATGGGATGGGAGGGAAGTGACAACAGCAAGGACCGAGCTGCAAGTTGCCAATTCTAGCAGTGCTGAGAACATGCAGTGGCGCTCACGATCATCTGCCGTACACCGTACACCGCGTTATCTTACGACATCGAGTGCGACGACATTTCGGTAAAGCACATGAAACCATTTTCCAAAGGAAGTTAATTCGAAGTGCGACCGCACACAGGAACGCGATCAACTCAAGAACTTGCAACCTCTATTTGCAACCGTAAACCTCCGCAATCCTCATCAAGCCTGGTAAAACGGCGCATTGTTTTTTTCAGTTTAAGACATGTACTTCCGTACTTCCGTATGCTCCTAGGACACTTAGCATGCAGCGCAAAATCCTCAGAAAGCACTCCATTCCACAAGCCCTTTCAAAATCCCATTCCCTAGCGCCCGGGAAAGCTGCGCGTCCCCACTTATCCGGCTGGCTGGGCACTCACGCCGTACAGCATATGGGCTAGTGCAAAGCCCGGTAAAAAGTAAAAGCCAAGAAGTCTCGGAGCCCGGCCTGCTTTGTCTCCCCACATGAAACACCCAGCGCAACCCCAGGGTATACGACATGCTAAGAGTCATGAATTGCGCGCCGAGGGACGTCCACAAGACATGTACACATGTTCACGGGCCGCGGTTGGGGGAAGCACAGAATGCACGGGAGCCGTTCAGGCTTCACGATCGTCATTATAACCATCCACAGAATGATGACATATACATCAAAACCCTGAGTGCCCCGAAACACCATCCATCTCCACGCACCGGTATGTTGCCGTTTGACGTTTTTGTGTTACAAGCTTTCGAGCTTGTACGGTCCAAACGAGCCAAGAGGCTCATGAACCGCCGAACTGGAAACAAGAACATATAAAGGTAGTAAATTAACCTTACTATAAAAACATATTTAATCATCAATAAATTGTAACCTGCATCTTCTGATATGATCCAAAACATGTGCTAGTCCGCGTTGGTTCTCAACGCCCATAACGTCTATCATGCGGTCCTCAGGAGACACTCCAAGCTCAAATAGCTTGGTGCGAATATCCGCGTACGCAGGGCACTCAAGCAAAACATGACGCTCGTCCTCAACTGCTTGACGGTTCCCACATACACGACACCACCGCGCTGCTCTTTCCCTGCCATGAGGACGATTCACTGCAAGCGGCCACACACACATCCTAAAACGCATCAGCGTGACATGTTGCTTCGGCGAAATATATCCAGTGCAGTGCTTAGGCAACCCCATCCACTGCTTGTACCGGCACATTTTCACCCCTGGTTGTTTGTTGTCGGAAACAAATGTCCTAGGATCCATTTCTAGTCGCTCACTCTCCCAATCGTCATCAAATCGCCCGCGTAACTCCTGCATCAACTGGCCTATATCCAACGAACATGACGTGAGCGCATCAACTCTAGCCTCAACATCCTCATCACCCGCCATGTTGCCTTTTTGCGGACGGCCCGTTATGGCCGTGTACGGCGGCAAGTGGCCGAGGATTGGTTGTTGGCTGATTTTCTACGCTAGTATGGAGTTCTAACCTAAACTCCTTTGCTTCCCAGACCAACCTGTGGATTTCCCAGGGCGCCAGTCCAGTGCCTGAAACTTGCGCAAGTATCTGCACAGAGGCGGGCATTTAATGCGATACCGTTTGCCGTCTCCCTCAAAAACGTCTGGGTTGTCGCAGGCAAACTACCCATCATCTGACGGACACGTAACTGCACATACCTTCGGCCTCGGCACGCCACCCGCCGTGTGATATCTCGAACTGCCAATAAACTTGTGAATGCTATCAACTGTTAGCTCTGGCACATCTTCGTCTTCGAGAAGGGCCGAGAGTGCTTCGTCGCCCAGGGAATTCAAGCGGGACGGTAATAGTGAGAAGCCTTCGAACGCTTCGCTGAAAGAGCTTCCTGGAGATAACGCGCTGCCGGCACAAATGGCTTCGTTGATTTGCAACCGTGACTGCACAAGCTTTGGGCCGTCGGCTTCTGTGCCCGAGTCAGAAAGCGCCCTTGCGCAACAGCTTGAAGTGCTGGTAGGAGATTCAAGGTCTTCGAGGTCCATGTTTGGGTATTTCTAATACAGTTGGTTACCTTCGAATTTGATGTTTTCAGTATGCCAGCCTCGAATCCCTTTACGCTTTTTAAGCTAAGTCAACTCTTTGTACCTTCGTGATTACCTAAAGTCTAACATGCCTACTACCATTTCGTGTTCAGGGTTCGTACTGTATGCTGTTAGCCGTGGCCTCCTCCTTCGCGACGGCCGAGGTTGGTTACGCGCTAATTGGATGAAGTAGTGTTCATAAATGCAACTTCACTTGGACGTATTTGGACACATTGAGCAATGCCCAGCTTGCAACAGTTACACTGTTGAATTGCCCTTTGGATTACAGGAGATGATTGATTGCAGCATTGATATATAAGACCTATTAGACCTTCAATACTAGTGCTTTAATGTTTTTCGTGTTAGCTATGTATCTTTTCACATGCATGCGTAAGAGTTGGCGCTCGCTGACCTCAGCCGCAACGCTTAGGAGCTGCCAGTTACATATGTCAGGTTCTTCTGTTAGAGTAAAATGCGTTACGTCCATAAAAGAAACGTTTTGACGGTGTTCAATGCCCAGCTTCTATAGGAATGCCCAGCTGTACGTGTTCGCCACGTCAGCCATCTATTGTACTGCGTTCCCTCGCAGAGCGAACAGGTTAGACCATGAGTTACCGTGCGCGTCCTTCTCTTTTCCTTTGCCACGAAGCTACCCCTGCTATGTGATGAACGTGGCTCGCACAGCATATGTACTTGCAACTGGTGAGCAGCACGGTAAGCGGGCTTGCAGTACATGACGAAGAATATTACGTTCTCAATTGCAATAATCCGCCCGTATCCCTATCCATGACGGCGCTCCAGCAGTAAGTCTTCGATTCGATCCATGCTCTTCCCTTCCTTTCGCCGAGTTAACTTTTTCGTAGCTTTGGGGAAGCTTCATGCAGTAGTAACGAAGTCATGTCATACATGTATGTGGTTTATGTTATAATTCGGGTAAGGAACAACCTATCGGCCCCTATACACATATGCAACTCTTTGTGAGTCTGGAGCCCACGGTAACAACCACACACACACACACACACACACACACACACACACACACACACACGTGCCCCGTATAGAATAACATGGAGACGAATACACGTGCGTGTGCACTTTCACGTGCGTCACCACCACACGCCCAGTTGTGCAAACCGCCGAGTGTCCTGCATACACAAGCGAGTGTGTGTGGTTGTTACAGTGGGCTCCAGACTCTCGAAGAGTAGAGCCATCGGGCTAGCTGGCCGTGCACTGCACTAGAGACTAATATACAAATTAGACAATCACCCAGATAGCTAATCGTCCATCGGTGAACGCTCCCGTGAGCATAGCAATTTGCCTGATATAATTCTCAAGAAGGGGTGATGTGCCCCAACCGAATCCCAACCTTTCCGTGGAACTCCCAGAGCTGCGAAACCCCGAAGGCGGCCCCAAAAGTCAACAACAATAACTCGACAAATGGCTCCTTCCGTAAGGGAAGGGCAAGCGAGTGCGCGGACGTAATGTACTACAGTACGTAGTACCCGTGTAGGTACCGCATACACCTAGTAGGTGTACAGCATACGAACGCACGTACAACTCCACACACATGTGTTCAGGTTCCCTTCTAACTGACCTGTGCACGGTATACCGAATACCCTACATTCCTCGAACGAAACGTACTCGCGATTTGTATCGTTGTTAACATGATGGTCTATTTACGCAACAAACCCTTTTCACGGGTCTGGAGTCCACTGTAACAACCACACACACACAAAACTCGCGGGCCAGTACAATTTGGCGGTCACCCGCGCAAACTGGCAATATCGCTCGTAAGTTGCTTAGTTTGGCTACCCCATCAGGCAGCGCTTAAACAGTACATTCGCACCTTAAGGACATACACGCGAAGATGAGCGGGGCTACAGTTCCATCGACATGCATACGTAACCCATATCAGTCAGAGTACCGTACATATACAACAGTATACACAACACTCAATATGAGAGGCGTTAATATCGAAGGTGTCGAATAATGGCCATCAGCAGTCACAATGCGGCATACGTCCATATATGCGCTGTCGTAATTTGTCGCATCCGTGTGAGTACGTGTGCTTATGCACGGGGCTCCGGTGCAGCAAAGCATCACAGTGGCAGTCATCAAAATATACATATGGGCAATTAATTTTGTTCTTGGGTGTCACTGCAACTCGTATTCCCCTTGTTACTGCGCGTGGTGTTGCAAACTGCGGAATCCAGACCAAGTTGGGATCCAGATCAAATTGGATCCGGTTCAAGCTGTATCCTTGATCATGATCATTTTGCATGGGCACGCAGTGCGAGAGAATGCATGTCTCCTCTTACGACCTCCTCCCACTTCCCATCCCTCAACACCCCAAATGCATCCCTGATTCCAATTTACATACAGTAGCATTACCCCATAAACCCATTAAACGTCCCCAAACCACCGTTTCCAACCACAGCTCCGTAAACACAAAACATGCATACACGCACGTTTCGCCTTGCCTTGGGAGCCTACGGAACTCCATCATTCCAGCCCTTCAGACCTTGGTTTAATAATCTGGCCATGGCCTTGATTTTTGATGTTGCTTGAAATGGCTGCCTTGCTGGCCAGACATGGACACACATTAGCGTGAAACACACTAGGCAGCTACCAACGCGCGTACCTGGCTATTCAAATCATTCGAGCATCGTCCGTCGTACTTCTTCAGGCCAGTGGGGTACGAATGCACGAATTACGATTAATTTATGTGCGAAGGGACAGATGCCACATCCACACCAAGTAGCATTACAAAAGGACATACAAATGCACCATTACATTGCACGCTTATTAACGCTTTGGCGTTACGGTGCTCAAACATTTGTTAGGTGCGTTCATATGTACGGCTCTAGACTGCAGCAAACATGCAAAGGCCAGGCACAGTGTCCCTGGAAAGATCCAGGGTCGATCCCGACAAACAATCGTGAAATATAACCTCAGGTTCCCCCACGCTAAAAAAGATAGTCCAGACGGTAATATATCAGGTTGTGTTGGCATACAAGTCGACCAGGTTGTTATCGCCTTACATCGGGCAGATGTATCCTTTAAATACTAATAATGGTGGATACTGGACCAGCAAAGAGCAATGAAGATGCACGCTGAGAATTTGAAGGAATTAATTATTCACCGAAGAGCCACTCAACCAGTTTGTCAGTTGAGAGCTGGGAGCGAGGTAACCATACATCGAGTTAGTCGTGGCCTTCCCTTGCACGCTCTGAAGATAGAAAGACGAGCTGTGATGTATTAGCTTCTGGTGCGTAGCTATTACTTCAGTGTTGTTATCTTCCCGCGAACGAATGGATGCCCCTCGGCTTCAACCATTTAATCAGTCGCGCGTTCGTTATATAATAATAAATAGTGCTCCCTTTGTTGCATGTTGCTTCTTTCTTTGTTTCTTCGTACATTGTTATGAAACAAAGGCACATGCAGACGTACGTGCATTAATGCCGGACATACAGCGGGTCAGTATGTGTCCGCCGCAGAACGAGTAGTCAGGAGCCAGGGGTTTACTGCGGCAGCTTGCGGATGGTGTAGAGCCTTGCTTTCGCCTTACCCCCCCAGAACGTGGGGTGGAAATCAATCATGGAGTCCTCGACGCCCAGTACCTCCCAGTCGCGAGCAGCGCAGAAGACGGACAACAGGTCAGGAACAGTGATACGCCTGCATGATGCGTGAGCAAGTGGATATCGTGAGCAAGATTCTGGGAAGGGAGAGGCTGGCGATAGTGAAAGAACTCTCAACATGCTGGCAGCACATGGCAGCACATTTTTGCGCGTGCTCATTGACTGTGCGTACGCCGTACTGTACGACACATACTCTTGAGGAAGGAATCACCGTTGGTTCCGGTCGGTTGCACAAAAATCGCTCAAGGGAAATACAATGTGCCGGCATAGGGCAGCACATGCAAGTTGGTTATTCGGTTGTTCGTTGAAGCCAGGCACATCGTTCTGCCCGCACGGCAGCATGTTATGGGTTTGCCGTGGGTTTGCTGTGGGTTTGCCGTGGGTTTGCCGTGGGTTTGCCGCGGGTTTGCTGTGGGTTTGCTGTGGGCTGTGAGCTGAAGCGGGCCACAGCAGGATGCCTGTCCGCGCGTTTGTACGTATGTACGTACACACCTACCTAGGACCGCCCGGTCTTGTTTCCTCCTCCGACATGCAGTTCATGTAGATAAGGCCCCCGGGGCGAAGAAGCCGTCGAAGCGTCGAAACATAACGATCACGATCCGCATCGGAGAAGCAGTGGAAGGTTAACGAGTCGAGTATGATGTCGTACGAGCTGTCTTTGGTAGGGCCCAGAACCGGCGGCAGCTGGCTGGTGTCCGTTTCCAATAGATCCGCTACCTGTAACGAAAAATGGACAGCAGCAGCAGCAGCAACAACAACAAACTACATAGCGTGTCTAAATATATGTATGTATGTATGTATCTACGTCTGTACGGCATGTGTATTGCGCAGGTCCGTATATATCGCAGGTAGGCTTGCAGGTAATGGGACCAGGTAGGAGGGGGGGCAGTAGACCCCGCGGTCGGTGACCGCCGCCTCTATCTGCCGGCGGGACCCGCACATGGTGAAGCAGAGCGAAACATGAAATAACATGTGCAAATGAAAAATTTGCAAAACCCTAAATTTTTTTTCAATGAATATGTATTCACGATTACATTGCTAGTTGGCGGGTGCGTGTGTTTTGGAAAATTGACTGGGCTAGAAGACGTTGGGAGAGGCAGATATATCTGTATATACGGGGCTGCAAATAATCAAGATGCGGCGCCGGTGTACTGGAAAGCACTGTAATGTGTTCAAGTGAACTGAGCCGCAAGGTTAACAATGTCATATGCAGAACTTCACCAAAGACAAGTTCTCCACGTTCATGTGTGTGTCGGGGTCGGGATTCGAACCTGCGCGCGTGAATGTGCTTGTGTGTGCTGCGCACGTTCGCACAAATTCTTTCATCGTCACATTTCCTCAATCTCACCTGCAAGTCCACCTGTCCTCGCATATTTCGGAGCTCCGCCTTGGCCGCCGCAAATTCCAGACAACGACCTACCTGAGGGCGCATGTATACACGTACATAGTACGTTGAAGTTTTTGAAGATGCACGTTCTGGAACGAATTAGGAATATATCGTCAATCCCTTCTGCTGACTCAGCTAACCCACGGACGTGTGTGCACAACCGCCGTTGCATGATAGATGCATAAGCATGCATGAGCAAGCAAGGGGTAATAAGGTAGCAACTGGTTTGGTGATGTGCGAGTGCTTCAGCGTTATGGTATCAGGCGCTGCAATCTTCAGGGCCTTCAGGGCTATATCCATCATCAGGGGTCATGGCGGCATGCGCTATATAGGGAATCCAATCCTAACGGTGAAATTGACGCTGTCGGCAGCCTAACGGCTTCAGGTGTGTACACGACCGATTTATTGCCACATCAGCTCATGGGTTGATGAAGAAACGACTGGCTATGTAAAGGTACTAGGCGCGGCAGAATGGCGTCAGAATATCCTTCCTAGGGTTATTTCAGTTATTTGCGGGTTGGCTGAAAGGGGTTGGCAGTTATAACAGTTGGGAGGGTTTTGTGCCTCCTCGCATGATTCCTCTATCCCCCTTCATGCGCTGCAATCCAAGTCGAACCTTGTTCTAAGTAAAAGCTACCTGTTAACACCCCCTTTCCTTGTCCCATCAATCTCCAACAGCCCTTCCTAAACTGTAAAACCTTTAAAACCCTCTTCCCCCCTTATCAACAGGACTTTCAACAGCCCTGCAAAAACGCGCATAGCTGCATCCCATCTTTCTTCCCCGCTCGTACCCCGTTTGCCCGTACCGACAGCAGCCCTCCAAAGCCCGCTCTCCCGCTGCACCCCCCGGCGCGCACCCCCGCTCACCACATCCACTGCCGTGACCTTCGCCCCCGGACACGCCTTGGCCACGTACAGCGCGTTGTCCCCGATGCCGCACCCCGCATCCAGGACTCGGCCCGAGAAGCAGCGCCGGAGAACCAAGTCGCGAACGAACTTCTGGGGCCTGTGAGGGATAGGGAGGGGGAAATAGGGGGGCGAGGAGAGGGGAGGGGAGGGGAGGGAAAGGGTGCAGACGACGAGGGGATGAGGGAGGGGTCGGTGGAAGGCAGGTAGAGGCGGCCAAGGTGAGGTCAGTAGAGGCCGACAAAGGACATCGACCTTAGGGACATGAAGGAAGAGAAACGAAATATTTACCCAGGAAGACAAGGTCCTGCGCAAAGGATAGGTCTACTTTTATCTGCATGAACGCAGGCAGGCGCGAATGCAATGCAACATACGTACTGGAGGTGAAAAGAGTGAAAAGTACATCTGCAAATGCGGTGACGCTCAAAAGCATCAAAGCATGGGAAATAAGTAATAAGGCACTACAACATAGTATCGTACGCAGTTTCAGGAAACACCGAAAGGAAAATTACGATGTACGTTCTTCCTTAGGACGTACTTAACCGAGATTCCCATTCTCACGAGCACAGATATCCCTACAGCGAAAACCATAAAGCTGTTCAAAGGACAAGGCATGCGATCCAAACCCTTCCAAACCTACCGATGTATCTCCCAGGGCGCCAAGCCAGTTCCTGAAATTTGCGCCAGGATCTGTAGAGTGAAATTATTATGGCTGAGAAATTTTAAAATGCTGGTCGCGAACTAAAATAGCCGTCCTTTGACAAACTTTTTAACCGGTCTACCTTGGGCCTTGGCACGCCACCTGCCATATGGTACTTCGGGCTGCCGATGAACTCATGCACGCTATCAACGTTTAGTTCCGGACCCTTATCAGAAACAGTAGAAGCTGAAGAGAACGGCTCCTCGCCCAATGAATGAAGTCTAGAGGGAATGTATGGCAGGCCATCCGGTGCGTCGCTGGAAGAGCTTCCAGAACATAATAGGCATTTTCCAACCATAGAGTCATTGCAGGGTAGCGGTTGCTCCGTGCGTAGCGACTTAGGGTCGTCAGGGTTTGCACCATCACATGCAAAGCCCAGGTCATGAAACGCGGTGATGCAGCCTGTAGTGTTCAAGGGCGAATGCATTTCTACGTTCTCCATTTTTCCCAAAGCTGTCGTGCCGCGGTTATCTGTACTAACCACGAACGGGACTGAGAAGATTTTAATGAAAACGCTAGCGGCAGGAATGTAAAGATTCTCATGAATCAAAAAGTTAAAGTCCGTCTTGTTGTGTACGATATCGCCAATATGCGCATAAGTGAACTACAATGTGAGTAAGAAAATAACAAGCATACGTCCATAAGGCCCCGACGAGGCAAGGGGCTCATGTGCCGCTGAGTTCGAACAACGTACGGCTGACCAATTCAGTTAACCTGAATATTTTGTCGCACAAAGGCAAGGGCTAAACGTTAATTTCAAACAAAATATGGTTCTCAGCGCCATGAACAAAAACTATTGTGTCATGTTGCGTGTAATGGTAGGGTTGAGCGATAGACACCGAAGTTTTGTGCTATGGTTCAAAGTTTAAGCACGTGAAATATCAATTTAGAAGCATCATGAAACAAGTCGGTCCGGTATTGAAAGTCGGCATCGGCAAGATAACGTGAAAATTGCGCAGCTCGTGACATAGGGCTAGCCGAGTTTCTTGTACAAATTCGACGGAACCCAATGAAATAATTTGCCGACTTCGGTTTATAGAGCAAAACGCGACCGGTCTAGCCTCAGTTTTGTGGAGATTGGCACAGCTAATCCATACGTTTACTACCTCAATTAAATATCGCCATCTTCTTAATGCCGCGATGTGAAAAGGTTTTCGTGGCCTGCTCCGGAATGGGAGAGTGGGCGGATAGAATCTCTCCTACAGACTTGGTTAACATGTAAAGCATGAAATATTCACAACCGTATGGAGTACCTCTGGACAGTCCTTCCGAAGAGAGTTACCGATCCTGAACCAAAGTCACCTTCACCTGTGAATCTCTGTGAATCTTGCCTGCGCCTTGCTGATGATATGGATTCCCGGGCACTCCCACACAGTAATTTTTCGTTTAGGACGGGTCTCAATTTATTCCAACCTAAGTAACAAAGTTGCTAGGGTTGTCGTAATTTATTCCTTAATTGTGTGGCGCTGGGGGGGGCTCCGGCCCCCCAGACCCCCCCGATAAATTACAACTCCCCTCGTAGACCAAGATTCACGCACTGAGTTGGCGCGTTTTCGTTCGTGCATGCACTCTTCGTGCACATGCGTAGATAGTTCTGGCACCTAGGCCGCCTGGAATGGATGTCCACAACATTTTTGTGGACGGCTGGATAACTTCATTCTCAAACAGATCAAAGTGCGTTGCACAGTCGGATTTACAATAGCCCTTCTCCCGCCCTCAAGCGACAGGGAAACGCGCCTGTATTGCTGTATGTAACAGGGCTTGCAAGCGATCTGGGTACGTTTCCACTTGCACATGAAGGCATCACCACAAGTGCGCATTATGTAACTGTGGCCTCGACAAGGTATGTGTGTACGGGAAAGCACGTGCTACGAGGTGTGACATCATTCTATCGGTGGAACAAATCCAGCCTCGAGCGCACATGATTTGCAACCCTAAAGTGTACAAGCTGTTGTGTTCTGGGCATGTCACGGGATCTGCATCCATCGACTGGTGCTTTTCTGAAGTCGGCACACTTCCTTTAGTCCTTTGCCTTACGCAAAAAAAGGTTACCGGGGAACCCAAGCGCGCCAGGGCTTGCGTGCCGAAGAGGCATTCCGACTTGCCACCACCAAATTTGCTTTCATTTCTGTATGAAATACACAAGCTGCTTGTTTGTACATTTACTTTGGCCAATGCATGGGGCCTCCGAAGAGTTGCAGCGTGCTGTGTGCTTGTGTTAGAGTGCTTTCCTGTAGCCGACCTAAACATCACATTCGTTACACAAACACTACCTCCCACCATGTTGACATTACCCATCAATTGTCACACGTGCCGCGCTAGCTACCGGCCTGTACGGATGCAGGGGGGCCCCGCCCTTTTTCCGGCTTCGAGGAAGCCGACACCCGACTTGTTTGCGTAAGGCAAAGGACTAAAGGAATGCGACGGCGTGCGAGTCGACCAGGAGCAGAGAGTTGACACGCCTTGTGGTAGGAAGATGGGTTCTACTCCTGCTTGCTGTTTCCTGGTTGTAATGGTTAGTGGTTGTGGTGGTTGTGGTAGTTGTGGTGGTTGTGGTGGTTGATGCTGCACCCAACAGCAACGGTCTAGGCCTGAAGACGGAGAAGGCGGTCCGCAAGGTAAACCGATTTGGCTGCCATACCCAGGTAAGCGGGTGACGGCCAGCAGCGTCTCGTCAGGAATTTAAGAGCGGCCACTCGCATGCAGGTATCGAGATATACATACGGACATACACCACGGCGTGTCCCAAAAAACACCGTAAAATTGAAACTGTACATTCTCGCTGATAAAGGCACAAAAACAACCCCTTCCACGCATAGGTAGGGGCTCCAGGGGGGTGTAATTCCACTTGCAGCTGTGGGGCCCTTACTGCCGTATTGCCGTCTTAGCCACCCATCACCCGCACCCCGTTGTCGCCGGTACAAATGAACACCGACCCGTGACCGATGGGCAGCTGACTTAGGGTTCCATCAGTCTATCGACCGTCAGATGGATAAATGGGGTTGCCACTACGACAGGCAGCACTGGTGGCCCTTCCCACATACATACATATACACAGGTTAGGCACTACCATTGCCTCCCGGACATCCCGGGATCAAGACCTGTCAGGGTCGAAAATCCTTCCAATTGTGGAAGGTAAAGTGCCCCAAGTCGATGAACGGTGGTGACCTGGGATAAAGTTGTCTCGCGAGTCGGCTAGGAATGGAGTTGGGCGCCGTCAATCCGGCTGATTCCGTTGGATGCTGTTGGTGGTGCAGAGCCTTAGCAATCCACTGAGAAGTTGACTAGGGTGACTAGATGAGAGTGCCCCAAAATACCGGGGACGGCAGGGTTTCGCCAGGTAGCGGCCACGGGTGAAGATACACCCCCCTGTCCCACGCATCGTACATACAACCGGATGACAGCCGTATACTTAGGTGGTCGGGGAAGGCCAGAGCATGGACAAGGTCCCCGGTAAGTCGAGCCCTGTAGCCGGTGCCGCGGCAAGGCGCACGGCCTGCGCCGAGCAACTGGAAAGACGCTCTCTCCTGCCCCGCATGTCTAGCTAACGAGATATTCGCTTCTTACCCCAAGCGTCTCCTCTTACACATAACACCCCCCCCACACACACACACACCACCAAGGGGACTTCCGCCTGGGTTTAAATGTACGAACCTAGCTTGCTTTACGTCTTTGACAGCTCAGCTCAGGATACCCACAGGTGTGCCTCATACCCACATCTATCAGTCTGGGACGACACAGCCTCCCCGTGTGATGGCGGTGGTGCCGGAGGTAGCAGAGGCTGCAGCAGTGGCAGTGGCGGTAGTGGTGGTGGTGGCGGGCTGTGTGGCTGGTGGACGCTCTGGCACTACGTGGCCATGTAGGCGCTGCATTGGGTGGGCTGATGGCGGACCCACGGGTCGTGAAGGTGAAACAAATCTGGGCCAGCACGCATCTGTACATCACTTTGCTTTGTACCGCATCATGGGTGGGCCAACCATATGCACGCGCTGTGTATATGTGCTCCACTTCAAGATACACAACTCCCGCAACGCCCCCAACCAACACCCCCAACCAACCCAACCAACTCAACCAGCAGTCCCTCATCCTTCGCTCAGGATACCCATAGATTTGCGACCCGGAGACAAGAGCACGACTGGACTTCCTTACGCTATTCGGCTACTTCGTGTTTTGCTATTTCCCTTCAGTTATTTGGCGGTATCACACGAAGTTGAATAAGAGTTGCTGTGATTCTGTAATCATTGCCACTTGTTTTTGCGTAAGCGATGCGTCTTCCCTCATGCATTGTCCCAACGCCATGGCACCACGTAAAAGGACAAAAAAATCACGACATTTGGAAAAATAGTTAAGAGAACGAAGAGAGAAGATTTGCACCTCACGCGCGTACGACGCAAAAATAACGGTTGCCATAGGATCCTCCTTTTACAGATTTAGATAGACTGACGTATAGACAGCCGGATTGACAGACAGGGCCATTCAGGCTCGCTCGTCACCATTACAAACAATTCGGTAAATACTATTATACTTTTCCCAACAACATAAACCGCATCCTTTTGTCCGTTCAAACCCTCTCACGACGACTTCTCAGAATGATGCTGCAAATGGCTCCGAAGGAGATCAAGCGACCGGTACCTGCGTACGAATATCGTACAGAAAATACGAACAAAAACAACCCACAAAAAATTCTCACATGCGCCATAAAACAATTGTTAAATGAATGCCACCATTTAGACCATTAAGGACGCCTCAATAATGCACAAGCTAAGATCCTGGCGGTGGCCGACCTAGCACTAACAACCTTACAGTAGTAGTACAGTACGGCAGTTCCGTTACGGACCAACCAACCTGTGAGAAATCTTGTTCTTCGTCTCCTTATCCATCTCCGCATACGTCGTTTCAAAGCCTGCACGCGTCAGCGGGGATTTTCCACCGCTCGCTCGCTGTTTAACTAAGCGAGTGGAGGCGTTACTGACAGCGTTCACACGTGTGCATCTCCTTACCCACGAAGACAGCACTAGTGGTTTCCCGGGCCGTTTGTTGTTATGGGTTTGTTGTTCTTATGTAAAGCCCGTAAGTCAAGAAATAGGTGCTGCATGCTGTCGGCAATTTTCAAAGTACGGTTGACGGAATGTTCCAACATCATTTTGGGGTCGATTGTGGATCGCATGAAACCCTGTAGATCTCCAAGAATATGGAACGCAAAAAATACAGTAGCGCCCTACTCAAACAGGAAAACGCCACCACAGCCACAGGTGCATCAGTAAGCGTTATCTGGAGATGAAAATCCACGTCCACATCGACATCCGCAGGCAGCATCCGCACTTTCCCCCGTCCCCACAAACCCCGAAGCCCCAACCCCTGCCTCGCTCCGAAACCAACCCGCCCCAACTCATCTGCTCCTCCCCACTCACCCTCCGGCTCGAAAATAGGGTCCCATCCGAAATCCGGAGGCCCGCGGGCCGCGACGATTCGGCCCGGGGTACGGCCCACAAACACAATTGGCTCCACCTCCGGACCTGCCGTATAACGTCCCATGTACGACATGGACAAGCCGTGCGTAAATACATGTCGTAACAAGGAATTCAGATCAGTTAAAGCCTGTAATCGCCCAGCGGCGATACTGGGGCCCCCAAGGGCGATTGAAAAGTACGCGACAGGCTATTGGAGGCCGTAGCGCAAACCTCCTTCCGTACTATATTATCGGATGGTTAGTGGTTGCTAACGACCAACTACTATACCATCAGTATAAGGCGGTAAAGCCAACCGCTGCAGAATCTGGCAACGGACACTTACCGGTTGTGTACGCAAAGATACATTGCGCATAAGCTGTCTTGTCGTCGAAACCCGCTGTGGTTTCCCGGCGAGCCCCCACGGGGGGAAGGAAAGTGGGAACAGGGGAAAGAAACAAGGGGGACAGAAGGGGAAAAGAGGGGAGGGAATTGCATCCGAAATCAAATTAACCAAGTGCCAACGCAGGAAAAAGGAAAAGAGAATTGCATGCAAGAAGCAAAGCGGCACCAACCTGGGTCACTCCCTTTAATGGTAAGTAAAAGAGTTGTATTACGGACGAATCACAAACGAAACCCTGGCCACGAAGACCATCGTAACTGCCAACAACCAACCAACCAACTACTTTTAAACCATCTTTCCAACTTCAGGCTCCCAGGCGACAGAGTCCAAAGCTCTCAACCAGAGTACGACTTGGACCGGTCCTGGTTTACCTAAGAAGCTTTTCCTTTCACTCATATACCCACCCAATCACCTCCCAACCGCCAACCAACCCAACGGACAACCCACCTGCAGCTAAGTACACAGCTACACAATACACATCCACCCGCCCAACACTAAAACCCTAAAAACCCCAAAGCCCTAAACCCCTAAAACCCAAACACTCACCTAACATCTTGTTCAGACCGTCGTGCCCTAGCTTCTCCAGAAACCACTTGATGTACGGCCCTGTACGGAGCAAGTTAAAATCAAATAAAAAGTAGTACGGAAGGACGAGCGGGAATGGAGGAAAATGGAGGACGCCCAACCAAGCCCAGACATGGACGTTGTCCATACACAACAATCCGCAAAAGCAGCTATGCAGCCTTGCTTCCCGTACATCGCAGGCCGTACAGAAGGCTAGGACAACAGCCGTACACCGCACACCAATACTCACCGGGAAGGCCCTTCAACGCGTTAAAACACAACGAAGTATCCTCCACCATAACTGCACCCCCCACCTAGGACGAGGGGGGAAGGGTACGACGGTACGACAATACGAGGGTACGACCCAGGCAGGTTATTACGGGAAGGGATTAGGTAGGATCAGTTTTAAAACTCTACAAGGGACATCAAAATTTTTGAACGATCAGTTTTCGGATGACCATTTTGAAAAAGGTGAATAATAATGGACCCCCAATATTTAGTGGGGTTTCGGAGCTTAGACACGAGGTCCGCCATATGCCAGGTAGGTAGGTAGGTAGGCAGGTAGGTAGGTAGGGAATCATATGAGAAGTCAAGGCGGTAGGTGGGGCGCAAGTCATACGTCATGTCAGACCAGGTGAGGACCGGGTTTAATCTTTCCGACGAAGTCCATACGGCACCTCAGTGCATGAGCTCTCGTATAGAGCCCGTACGGCAGGGGGGAAGGGGGGATTCGCTAATGGCGGCAACCCCGTCGTTAACCCCGGGGGAAAGGGGGGAAATACACGCTGGTGGCCGGAGGTGGATGCTAAGCGCTGCAGACGGCATGTGTGTGTGCGTGTGCGCGTGCGTGTGTGTGTGTGTGTGCGCGCGTGTGTGTGTGTGTGTGTGTGTGTGTGTGTGTGTGTCTCTGTGTGTGTGTGTAGCAGTGGGCTCCAGACTCGTGCAGAGTGTGAAGATGGTGTATAGGTGTGCGATAACAGGAGTCTTGCGTGTGTATCGTTGTGTAGTGCTATGCAAAAGGTAATGGCTTTTCCCCTGGGGATTTATTGGTAACATTCCTTGCCTCCCAAAAGAGAGGGGGCATTACTGCCTAAATGATGTATGTTGCCTAAACAAGCTACATCACAGAAAGCAGATGACAGACCCCCCACAACACCGCAATGCGCCTACCACAATCCAACCGAGCCCCACCCAAGATAGAACTCTACCGGCTCAAATAGAATAATGACAGGTATAAGTTTCTGTAACTCGGGCATTAGAAAACCTGTTGTTAGAGTTCAACTTCTAATATATAATTCGCAGTCCCGCTCAAGACCTGCTCACCAGCTTTGCAGCGATACGACATTTCTCTTTGGAGATTTCTTCGGGCTCGCCCTGGGTGGGTAGTTGGCAGTTGGCGGTTGGGAGTTATGGGCGGGAGGAAAGTAAGCACGAACAAACAATTGGAGAGTTTATACTGTTGTCGGAAATTTTCGAGGGTAGTAAAAATGTTTTTTTGAGCTGTTATAAAAAATTCAATGGCTGACGAGGACGAGTTAGAAGGGGGTTGTAGTTCCGCCCAAGGGGGTAGGGGAACCGTCCGTAATAGCTTGTGGGAGCACCGACTACGTCGCGTTTCGTGATTGCTGGGGAGGGGGAAGGGGGAAGGGGGAAAGACGAACCACACGCGATTGAAGCTGCTGCCAGGGCAAGATAGTAGCAACCGAAAGAACTGACCGAAAGGCGTCCGTGGCGACTGTGACGACTGTAACCTCGGGATGACGACTGTAACCTCGGGATGAAGAATTGACGTAGATGTTGGAAGTCCTACCTACCTACCTAAGCCGCCAGAAATATAATAGCCAAACCGTAAACTAGTAGGTGTAGAAAAAGTAGTGAAGGCGGCGAGAAAAAATGCGGCGAGAAAAAATGCTGACGTAAAAGAGGCGTAAAGACTGTGACGACTGTAACCTCGGGATGACGAAGTGACGTAGATGTTGGAACTCCTACCTACCTAAGCCGCCAGAAATAAAAAGCTGAATAGTATAGCCAATCCGTAAAGTAGTAGGTGTAGAAATAGTAGTGAAGGCAGCGAGTAAAATAGTGCTGACGTAAAAGTGGCGTAAAGTTGCTGGCCAGGAGAGAAGGCTGAATTGCTGATACTGAAGGGCTGCCGGTATGCAAGTGCTCCTCCCAACCCCCCCCAAAAATCTAGAACGCGCGACTGACCCGACCGACCCAACTAAACTATTCCGGCTAGCCTACCGACGCCAACGCGATAAACCAAAGAAGCTCGAACCACCCTTTGGACTCACCTGGCCAGGCAGCAGGAGCAGCGGGCAAAGGCACATGCAAGGCAGAGAGGTGGGAGAGTTGTGAGCAGCGAAAAAAATGAAAATAAAAATACAAAAACGCATGCAAATGCTGCTGAAAAAGAGTGTTAAACTAGCTGACCGGGAAAGCTGGAAACGAGAGGGGAAAGGGGGAGGGGGAAGGGGGGCCCCCTTCCCCATGGACGTTTTTTTCATTGTTGATTGCGGTCCTCAGCGAGCGCGCGAGTCGTCGTCATCCATTTCCCGCTAGCCTGGGCTTAATGCGCCTAAGCGCGGCGTGTGCAATGACCCCTCCGCAGACTTGAGAGGGAAAATGAGCCGTTCAGCCAAGTGAGCTAAGAGGCCGCTCGGATGCCAAAGTCGCTACGTTTGGATTTCGAAAATTGGGACTTTTTAATATTGGATACTGTAATGTAATATAATATTGCATTGTGAGGGTTATGATCGAAATATTGACGGCGCGTTCCAAAGACAGCTACGGAAGAGGGCTTGGCAAAGTCAGTGTTTGGAGACTTAGGGTTTATTTAGGAAGAGGTGCCGTATCTAGGGATCGACAGCCTAAAACACACGCGGCTAGCTGCCGTACTACCGTACAACCCGCTGTCCCACCTAGCTCCCTCATCACGGGGAGCTCCCTTTTATGTCCCGCCCGCTAGCCACGGCCCCTTTCCGTCCCACAACCGCCAAAAGGAATTAGTGCGACTCCGTACGCCCCCCGCCGTACGTACGTATATCAGGCGTAAAAGTACGGATAGAACTGCGGGGGGCAGTACGACAGCACACCTGGAGTTCGGGGAGGTCCAGCTTTACGGCTTCCATGACGAAGGGGAGTGGGGCGCCGGACTGCAGAATGGCGGTAACCTAAGATACACACACATACATACACACAGACATGGCTCGGGGAATGCACATTAACGGATTTTAGGTTGGCGGGGATACGACAACAGTGGCTGATGGAGGGTAAGGGGAACCACAACAGCGATGTGATGGAGTGGGTGATGCGGGTATGGGCGGTCCCGATGCAATTCCAACACGGCGGCGTCTGAGCGGCTCGTTGCACCGTGGGGTCGAATGGGGCATCCGTATATGAGAGAATACTGCCGCGTATGGGGCAGCGACTCTCGTAGAGATAAAAGCGGAGGGAGGAAAGGTTTTGGAAACTTTGGAACATGAGGCGCGAGGTGAAGGCTGCAAAAAGAGAGCGGAACTATAACGGGGGGAACTATACCCACGTACAAAGTGACCTCCCAGAAAGCATCCGAAAGTAAGATGTACTCATGCATGGAAACGGGCTGTGCTTGTATTGATATTTCACGGCATCTATTGGGGCCCGCGAGCAGCCTACTAGCAGGCAAATTGACGTAAGGAAGCAAACTTCGGGTGCAAGCTGCAGCAATTACCTCTTCTAACTTTTTCTTGTTCCCAGTTGCAAAGTAAATCTTTTTCGGTGTCGCCATGGCTGACACGACGAGTCGATGCCGATTTCGCAGCCTAGGGTTGCCCCAATGGACGTACGTAGGCACGTTGAAAGTTGCCAAGGAGGACATAGCAATAGGATGTAGATAGTTAAGACGACAGAATGTTTCTATGGCTGTCGTGGCTGCCGTACATGACGAAACGTGTACGGACTGGAAACTTAAAAGGTCGGATGCAACCCTGCTAAAAGAGTCACAGGCTTCATGAAATCTTGGATTGATAACCGATGCTTGATTTTACGCTTGCACATAGCTTAGTAGGCGACAGCTATATTCAGTTTCAGTTCGGGCAAACGTGTCCACAGAAAGCAGTCTACCCACTTATGCTAGCAAATCAAATCTCGCAGCCATACAACTGTTATCATTCGGCTTAAAGCTGGGCAATTTAGCAGCAGCACCAAGCGACATTGCGACACGTGGGCTGGCCACCTGACTGAGTGTCACTTGCACACATAGTAAAAAACGAGATCCTATGCATAGCTTCACAAGCAGCGGGTCTAACCCGCAGCGGCTGGGCGCGGCGCGCTCCATATCCGACTTGAGTCTCAAATTAGGCAGGCTACTACTGGCGCCTGGAAAGAGTCAGCAAGAGGAGCCCGCACAGGATGCGGACTGTTCAACCATGCCCGGAAGCTCAACCTGCAGTGAAGCCGACGAGAACTATTGGTCTTCCGTTTTAGGAAGTGTTGGCGAGGAGTCGATGGCGGAGGCGCATCGCAACGATGACCCAGACGATGTTCCGGAGCTGAATGTCGAAAGCATTCACACCTTCATCGGCAGCAATCGCCACCACACGGCGAGCGGTATTCCCAAGTCTAAGGTACAGAATTCAGGGTGTGGACCGCGGTCTTGCCTGTAGCTGCGCTTGCTCTGTATGGGTGCCTGATGACACTAAGGCAAGCGTTAAAAAAACTCTATTTCATTGTTGGTGAGTTACAAGGATACAGCCTGTTTGGAGGGGTGCTGAGAAGTTGTATACCTGCGCCGTAACCGAGTGCAAGGAAACTTGCATTACGGTAATGCCACATACCCCGTCAAAGCATAACAACAGAGGAATATGCTCCTAATTTGCTTGTGCGATTCATACACATTGCGAACTTTGAAGTTGCCTTCCAGTCGTCATCATACTGTTCAAACCGCTCTTCCGGGCTTCTTTCACCTTGCAAATCAAGGTGCAAATAGATGCAGGTAGCTGTATCAGTGTTTTGGACCATGGGACTGCGAAGACATTGTAACTGTGAGCTGGGCGATGATATGTTCCGGGGCCCGTCCACATATAGACAAGATGTCTAACACTTAGCGCCAGTCCCCAGGCATAGCCAAAGTACTGAAAAAAGGTCATTTGACGCCATCATAGATGCAGCGCTTGGGGTGGCCCATAGAGACCCAGCCCGGCCAAGAATTGCCTTGTGAAAGCGCTGCAGCATTTATGTATGCATACATCGTCCAAATCCATGTTTTTGAGCATGGATGCCAACGCTAAAAATTGGGTATGAATTGCCCCCTCCTAACAATTCACCAATTCCAACTCAGCACCCCACCCCACCGCAACGACTCATCCCCACCCTAACAGGTCGTGGCACAAGTATCTGGCACCGGATTGGCGCCCTGGGAGATCCACAGGTATGCCGTACTGTACGGCTGCTCGCCGTTCACATGCTTGACCTCTGCAGGTTGTCGTACCCTGGATGACGCATGGAGGGCGGGTTGTTGCCATGGGTAATGTCTCCCAGATGCTCGAACACATCTAGCGCTGCTTTTGCAGTCGAGAGGCGGTTAGGAGTGGCCTTCCAAATTTTGCGCCCCACCTCTTCCATCATCTCGCTTTGTACTCCTGCGGTTGGTGCCAGTACGTGGGACCTAACCCCTCCCCCTCCCCCTCCCTCCGTTCCCCTCCGTTCCCCTCCCCTCCGCTCCCCCTATCTCCCCCTTCCCTCCCTATCCCGCACAGGCCCCAGAAGTTCGTTCGCGACTTGGTTCTCCGGCGCTGCTTCTCGGGCCGGGTCCTGGATGCGGGGTGCGGCATCGGGGACAACGCGCTGTACGTGGCCAAGGCGTGTCCGGGGGCGAAGGTCACGGCAGTGGATGTGGTGAGCGGGGGTGCGCGGGGGGGGGTGCAGAGGGAAAGCGGGTTTTGGAAGGCTGCTATTAAATAAATGTTACATTTTTGAAAGAGATCCTTTTTTCTGGGAGATATTGGTCACCTCAACGTAGCAGAGAATTCTTCCCGTTCCAATTGCCGCTGTCTCCGGTACACCAATGTGCGCCCATCGTTATACATCTTGCGCAGGTGCCGAGGTGTCTGGAGTTTGCGGCAGCCAAGGCCAACCTGCGAAACATGCGCAGTCAGCTGGATCTCGTGGTAAGCCTCGGGTTGTGCGTGTGTGTGTATGTCCTTTGGTGTTGTCGTACATGTATGCATGTGTGCACGCATGCGTGGGGTCATGGATTGCAACGGGCGATTCATCCGCCTTTCCTGGCCATGGTACGGCTCACCTCGTGCATATTTATTAAGTATATCCCTGGTCGGCTCTCTCATCAGCTAAATACTACTCGGCGCTCCCTATATGACAGCGTGGCTGCTGCCGTATAACGAAGAGACTTGTGTATTTGATTAGGCAGATTTCCTCTTTTGCTTATATTGTTGGCACCATTGCCGCTAAAATGTACAACTGTACGATTGCCGTACTTTACGATTGCGTGGTTTCAGGTGGGCGATCTGTTGCAGCAAAACTTGAGCAGCATGCCGGCGGTATTGGGTCCCGACAAGAATGGTTCCTTTAATGTCGTACTCGACTCATCGTTTTTCCACTCCTTCTCCGACGCGGATCGTGATCGTTATGTTTCGACGCTTCGACGGCTTCTTCGCCCCGGGGGCCTTATCTACATGAACTGCATGTCGGAGGAGGAAACAAGACCGGGCGGTCCTAGGTAGGTGTACGGCAAAACTCGTATGGCAGTTTAGTTGGTGATAGGGTCCTTCCTTGGTGGTGTTGCGTTACGTTTTCCATCTTTTTTGAAAGAACAAGAACTGAGGACGGCTGGTTGCGCCCTTAGGATTAATATGTAATTCATTTAATGCAAATCCTTTATTTTAAAAAAATTGAAGTGATGACTTCAGAAGCAGTTGATGTTAGGGCGGCACGAAGGTCGGTAATTATTGGAACTCCACCTGCACTATTTCCTGGGAAACTAACTCTTCACTTGAGTACAGCCCTAAATCCTTTATCCATGCAATCTAATTCTTATAAACCCTCTTTCCCATCCTCCAGGCGCATTTCCGTACCGGACTTGCTAACCGTTTTCAACCGCCCTAACGGCTGGGAGGTTGAGACCATTGAGGACTCGATCATCGAACTGCATCCCACATTTTGGGACGGCAAGGCCAAAGCACGGCTCTTCACCATTCGCAAGCTCTAGACACGTGGTTTGAAAAGTGGGGAACCGCGGCGTCGAAGTGCTGGCAAAATTAACTTGTAAATTAGTTGGTGAAATCCCTATTTGGTGAAAGCAGGCCATGTTTATTAGCCTTGTGTGCCCGAGAATTCCTCCGCGCTCGGCTCAAGGTTGGCGTTCTCATTTAATTGCTCTCGTTTTCAACATGGGTGGGAATGATGGGTGAAAGAGAACAAGCAAACCGTCCGTGCGCGCAACAACGCTTTTGTGTGTGTGTATGTGTGCGTGTGTGTGTACGTAGGTGATTTTGGTCGACCCGACGTGTGCGCAGGTGTATGTATGTATTTACGTCACAGGCAACTGGCACAGCACGCTGCCTCCCACATGCGCTCGTGCACTGGCGCCCACGCCTGTGTTTGCTGTTCACGAAGATTGAGAGCGGTAGGGGTAGAGAGAGAGGCACTCAAGTATGGTGATGGGAATGAATGAGAATGCTTAAGTAGGATGGTGAGGACTGGGGAAAGGGGTGGTGGATTAATTGGTTACTTCCTGGTTGATGAAATCAAGGTTGGGGCGTGCAAGGATAACACAGCGAGAGAGACCCAACCTGATATCTCATTGTTTATTTTCAGAGGCTGAAATGCTGCAAGAAGATGATGCGCTGCTGGGTTGATGAAGCAGGTGATGATCGCGTGGTTAGCATCCACGGCATACACATAGGGTTTGGCACTACTGGTAACGCGCGACCATTGCCCCCGGGAGATCCCGGGATCGAGACCTGGGTCGAAAATCCTTCCGATGGTGGAAGGTATTGCGCCCCTAGTTGATGGACGGTGGTGACCTGGGATAAAGTTAACCTGCGAGCCGACCAGGAATGGAGTTGGGCCGCTGTTGACCCGGCAGATTCCGACCACGGACCGGGGAAGGCAGGGTTACGCAGGGTAGCTGCCAGGGGTGAAGATATATCCCCCTGTTTCACGCATCATACACGGCGCGGGCTACACGCAACGGTTCGGTTGTGCTGTTGTGCTGTACGACGTGCTCTCTTTAGAGCGAGAGAGGCGCATGCCTGCTTGCGTTTTTTGCGTTTGCATGCCTTTTCCTGTCCGCGATTTCATGGGGTTGGTTTGGGCAGATGCGTAGAGTGACTCTCCATGCAGGTGGCATGTGACGACTGAAGCTGGTGAGAGGTCACCCAGGGGGGGCATCATCCATCCGCCCAGATTAATGGGCGAAAATTATGCTGGAAACAAAAAACACGAATTGGAATCACCTCGACCTCAATACGGTCGCAACGTCATCCTGACAAGAGGCTTCTGGACGTCGCCGAGTCACGATGATCAGCTGCACCGAATGTTTAGGCTATGGAAAGCTTGGGTTTTTCTTTCAAGCAAAAGCCATGTTGGTTCTTGTGTCGCGCTGTCATGTCACCAGGCTGTCTGAATTGCTTGTGCGCTTGCCCAAAAGGCTGAAGATTTGCTGCTTTTCAAGTCGGTGGCTCCTCTCCGTGAGGTAGTTTAATGTCGTTTGTTGGTCTATCTGAGCCCCCGGTGCCGATTGGAATTACGCAGATCGACAAATCCATTCTTGGTGCAGGTGTATGGCGCGTTTGGTGGCGGGTTTCTGTTAATATGAAGATGAAGTTGGTTGGCTATTTGTTGGCGGGTCGTCGTTTTCTATTACGTGCGATACACGGAGCTCCTGACGCGATAGCGGTTTTTCGTAATGCATGCATCGATATCCGGAAATCTGCTCAGCATCCGCCGAATTTAAGCCCTTGTTCAGTGAAGATACACTGTTGGGGCAGTACGGATGCAATAATGATACATGCTGTCGTGGCAGGGGGTTGGGTTTTGTCGCTTTTTAAATAGCCCACAATGCTGCATTTTGGCTTGCTCCAATTTTGGTACTGTGTGCTGTGTTGAAGTCGTTTGTTTTTTAAAGTGCCGCACTATGTTAGGGCGGCTGTTGCCGTCGCTTCGTCGTGTTCTAGTTGCATCTATCCGACCCTCTGGGCACTGGATCCAGCCAGATCCAACCCTGTGGGCCCTAAATCCAATCCTCTCGGCACTGGCTCCAACAAAATCCAACTCTCTGTGCCCTAGATCTGACAAGATCCAACCCTGTGCGCCCCCGCTACAATGCATGGCAGCAGCTTAGTTCCCGTGTCGCGTGTACGACACGTACGACATGGAACCCTCTTAAATGAATCAACCTGGATGCAGTTGTAGGTATACGTGGCGACCTCGAGAGCGTTTGGTCCACGTCATGTGCGTGTCTGTGTTCTGTGGTGCTTTCTGTGACGTTGTCCGAACTGTTCCCGGAGTCGCTGATGTTGTTATGCTTACTCCGAAATAAATGCTGCTGCTGCTACTGCTGCTCATGGCGTGCTGCTACGATTGCCAGAGCGCCGTACATGGCCTCTACTGCTGCTGCTGCAATCATGCATGGGCACAGCGTACCGCTGTCGCTCGCTGCTCCTTCCTTGCTTCGACCTTAAATGATAACTGATCATTGATGATGACATACATGGGGGGTTTCGTCAACTTTAAAAAACTCGCCAGCCCATTAATCGCATCAGACGACGCTTCTTCAAAGTTTGTTTTTGCCGGCGGGCTAGGGTACAGCATACGTACACATACGTACAAAGTGTGTCAGGGTTTTAATTAAGGAGTAAAGACGTTAAAACTGAATACGCTCAGAGTATATCCCGGAATGCCGAGGTCTTGTGCTGGCGTTGAGTGTAAGGGTCGAGTACCGGTATATGCACATACATGTGCGGATACGGATGTACGGATGTCGTGTGCATTGCCCGCCATGTCGAAGCGCCTACATGCGACACGCGGCTCCCTCCGCTTCCTTTCGTGCTTTTTTTGCATGTATTGCGAGTGTGTGTGCTGCTGCACCTGACCGGCCGCTTTGTATGATGATTGTGTGCGGAGTGGAGTGTGTCTGTCTGTCTGTATGCTTGCATGCATGCTACACGACACGTTCGCTGATGTGCACATTGAGCTGTGGCGGGTATCCCGCTGGCAAGCTTCCTGGGCTGGTCCCTGAACTCCATTCAAAACAGTGTTTTCTCAAAGCATTTTCATGCAGCTGTTTGCGACAAACTTGTCCAGCGGGATTTCCGAACGTGTGTGTATGTGAGGCATCAGGGCCCGCATGCATGCCGTTGCACACATACATACATACATACATAGGGTTTGGCACTACTGGTAACGCGCGACCATTGCCCCCGGGAGATCCCGGGATCGATACCCAGTAGGGTCAAAGTCCTTCCGATGGTGGAAGGCATAGCGCCCCTAGTTGATGGACGGTGGTGACCTGGGATAAAGGTAACCTGCGAGCCGACCAGGAACGGAGTTGGGCCGCTGCCGACCCGGCAGATTCCGTTGGATGCTGGTGGTGGGTGCGGAACCTGAGCGATCCACTGAGAAGCTGACTCGGGTGACTGGATGAGGGTGCCCCGAAATACCGGGGAAGGCAGGGTTTCGCAGGGTAGCTGCCACGGGCGAAGATATGCCCCCCTGGTTTCACACATCATACATAGGGATATAATCGCCGTCGCCACTAAACTTCCCCTGTTCAGAGCTGCGGGTTGGCTGCCACAGCAGCTGCTGCTTCGCTTTGCTTCATTTTATTCTGCTACGTGCTGCTGTTGCTGGTGGCGACGGCGAGGATGGAAGCCCTAAGTCAAAGGTGGCTCGGGTGATGATGTGCGGTGGTGGGGATGCGGTTGACGGGTGCAAGCTTCCAGACGAATGTCGCTAATAAAAAGTTACCAGAGCCGTCCATAAAAGCCAGGGGGGTATGGACAATAAAATGCGAAGGACTGCATGTAATTCCCCAAACAAACAAGTTGTTCACAAGCAAGCATCTATCTTGTGGTGGAGGATGCAACCCGGTTGATGGCGGGGCTGCGGTGCATGCGATGCAGACGGGCAGTTTAGGCATTCATGACGGCACTGTCCGTTGTTTTTACATTTCACTAGCTTTCTGTAGGTCTGTATGTATGTATGTATGTATGTGTGGGGGTCTCGGCTGCCGTCATCATCGGCGGCACATCATCCGGTTAATTTTCGCCGTTTCTGCCATACACACATAATGTGGCACGCAGTGCATGTGTATTTGCATTTATGTATTTTTGCGTGAATATGCGTCTACCCACCTGGTTGGGCGTGCATGAATAATGATATGTTGAATGTTCATGAATAATAAAATAATAATCTATGTACAGCGAGCCCGCTTTATCGTTAAGAGAGGATTTGATGAAATGCGTACCGCGGCGGCGTTTCCTCCCCAAACAGACGCTTGGCAGATCATTTCAGTTCTTTAGAAGATCTTGGTTTGGGAAACCTGCTGTGGGATTCGAATTCATCGGGGCTTTTATTGCTGGGTCTGTTGCTCGAATGGTGAGTGTTTCCATATACGGCGCGGCAGCACCGTGCGCGGCCCCATATATGGCACACGTGACGTACTCGCGCGGTACGACAGTAGTGGCCGTGTCGATGTGAAATGCTTTTCTCTAAAATTGCTCCTGAGATTAAAGGGACTTGGACCTTATTAAAATATTTTATATAAAGCAACCTGAGCTTGATAACAAGCAAGTGACACGAGGGCAAAATAGTGTCGTACATCACGGGCGGGCCACATCATTCAGCACTCCTTTCCTTCTCCAGCGTTTTATTCGATGACACAGTCGTCCGTTGGTTAGGCGGGAAAAATGCATATGACTGCATAGAGCATCGAATAGTAGAGCTGGTCACTTTTGTTGACGACGCTGCTGACGGCGGCGGCGGCGGTGCCGTGTCAGTTGATGACTTTGTCTCTCGCTCATCGATTCGCTCGACGATGCTGACGGCGACGACTAGCATTTCGCACTCCCTTCCTGCAGCTACATGCTGCCCGCTCACGCACTCGCTCCTACCTGCCTGTTGCCTTTCTCGGCCGCAGGCGATCCAAAATCCTGGTTTGACATCGTTAATGATATGACATCATTGATAATATCATTGCAAATTGCAAAACTTATGTAAAAAATTATGGACGCCTTCAATTTAATGCGTTATTTTCATGAATGATGAACTACCGACGTACGTGTACAGCAGCAGATGACTACAGCAGCATGTACGTGTACAGCAGCAGATTACCGATGTACATGACAGCAGCAGGTTCCGCCCGCCGTTCAAAAGTCTTCAAAACGTTGCAGAGACAGTTGCTCGCGCAAACCTACTTCATCAAACATGATGTCGTTCACACATGCCCACACTTTGAAGTAGACATCCCTGACGGCACGAAATATGTCCTAAGTTGTATCTCGAAGGGTATTACAGCCTTCCAAATAAATTCTCGCGCTCACTGTGGTGCCGTGATACCGCGCTAACCGTGGCACCACACCACGGGTACCGCGCTAACCGTGGCCCAGTTTTACCAAGCCCAGTCTCACTAAGCCAATTACCCCTCAACATCTCGCTATTATGCAAGGTGCACGAGTGTATGAATCTAGTTCCAGGCCCTCTGGCAGTCGTACTGCAAGGACCAGTGTGGCTACCTAGGCTGGTAAATAAGGCAGGAAGCACTTCTTTGAGGTGCTTTACCAGGACGGCAAAAAGTGGAGCTGGTGGATGTTGTGCAGCTGCGTAGTATGCTTGCGCACCTAGGTCTGCAAGCCCCATGGGATCGGCGGGAGTAGCAGCGTTCGCGGCGGCTGTGTTACAACCGGAGTGCTGGACTTTGGACTCGGCCGCGGACGTCCTTGCGGCGCTGGATTTGGCTATGGTTGGAAATCGCTTGGTAGCCAAGTTGGCTTTGATCACTAGACAGGTAGTTTCTCGCCGTACCGCAGCAGCATGCTGATGTGCCGCGAGGAGCTTTGCTCTGGCGCTTAGTTGGTTGGGTGGTTCTACCTACCTACTTTCTGCCTCAGGGCTCTCATCTTAGCGTGCCGCTTTGTCGTCTTCCGGCCATCACCACCACCACCACCACCAGCTCCTAACCACAATGTGTATGTGCGTTCCCGCCGTCGCTCGTCTGACAGAGCCGACGTACGTATGATGTGTGAAACAGGGGGGTGTATCTTCACCCGTGGCAGCTACCCTGCGAAACCCTGCCTTCCCCGGTATTTCGGGGCACCCTCATCCAGTCACCCTAGTCAACTCCTCAATGGATCGCTCAGGTTCCGCACCCACCACCAGCATCCAACGGAATCTGCCGGGTCGACAGCGGCCCAACTTCATTCCTGGTCGGCTCGCAGGTTAATTTTATCCCAGGTCACCACCGTCCATCAACTAGGGGCGCAATACCTTCCACCATCGGAAGGATTTTCGACCCTGACAGGTCTCCATCCCGGGAACTCCCGGGGGCAATGGTCGGTACGTATGTATGTACTGTACACATCAGCCACCGGCGCGGACAGACATATGTAATGTAATGTAATGTAATGTAATGTTACAGAGTGGGAAGCTTCTGGGCCGCTTTATCACATTGTCAGTTCTAGATCATTTATCACCTTATAGCACCATCCACCACTACCACACTGTACTTCGCCATACGAACTGTAAGTCCAAGGCGGCGGATCCAGCCTTCGGGGACCCCTCCTCATCCATTCACCCGAACACCCGAAGAGACGGAGGGTTCGGCAATCGCCACCAATCCAGCGTGCGAATCTGGTCCATCAACTGTGACCTCAACTCCACATCTCAGCAGCTAGCCATAATCTCGCGCTCCCGACTAATTCGGGGGTCTCCCCAGGAATCGAACCCAGGACCTTAAACCGCTAATTGCAGTAGTGTCAACCCAGACCAGGACAGACATATATACATATATACCTAGTTCGACCTAACAATCCCGGGAGCAAGTGACGCTGTTCTCACCACGGAAAGGACTGCAACGGCCGTCACCTGATACAGACAAACATACGGGCACACGGAAGCAGGCAACAACACGGTCATGTAACGGACGGGTAGGCAGGCTTACATGTTCGCGGATATGTACTCATGTGCATGAATGTTCAGATGAGGGAAAGATTGGCGAAATATGGTCATGCGTGGTGCACATTCTCGCCGAGGTCGTCCTGACTACATCAAGCGGGCATGGCTTAGCACTGAACTTGCTTTTTCAAGAAGTGTAATTGCTTTATCAGCAATTCCGTGTTATCATAGCTGCAAGGAACAATTTTCACTTGTCATGTGCGTCCCCGGTAGGCAGGGCAACTCACCGCAGAATGCCGATTCCCCGCAGGAGCCGCAGTCAAAAGGGCACGAAGTACATGTCTCGCTGTAGCTGCCCACTGTCGAGTTGAATGTGCACTTGCCGTCACCACAGAAAGCGCTCCTACAGGTGCCGCAGTCGGAGCAGCCGGTAGTGCCCGTAATGCATCGCTCGCCCAGTGACGGCTGACAGACGGAGTTGAAATTGCAGGTGGCGCATGAGCCGCAGTCCACAAAGCAAGTGGCACAGTTCTCTCGAGCTGTGGCATTGCAGAAACCGTCGCCGCAGAACGCAAACGCTGATAACGGTGGTGGGCGAGGCAATGGTGGATTCGGAGAGGGCGGCTGTCTTGGTGATGGCGGTGGGGATGGTGGTGAGCGTGGCGATGGACGCGGAGATGGTGGTGAGCGTGGGGATGTGGATGGCGGTGGAGGGGATGATGGGCGTGGGGACGGTGGCAGGCGCAGGGCTGGTGATGGGCGTGGAGAGGGTTGGGAAGGCAAACTTCGTGGGGAAGGCGGTGGCGGCGGCGAGCTTGTGAGTGGTGGCGATGGACGGGTGGGAGGTGGCGGCCGTGGTGGAGGTGGGGACTTGGGGGGATTGGGGGGGGGTTGTCTTGGTGGTGGTGGAGAGGGGGTTCCGCCGGGGGGGGATGGTTGGGGTGGAAGGGGCTGTGGAGCGTCTGTCGGAGTCCAGCCAAAGCCAATGATGTTGTCACCGATACCGGACATGAACCCAACGCCGGCGTTGTACGAAATTCGGTAGTATCCTTTGTCGCCCTTATTGGTGCCCCAGCTGTTTTTTATGATCCAGTACGACCTGTGTCCAGCATCATCCAATCCATTCCGCATGAGGACACCGCAGGCGAGGTAGCTTCACTAATTTTTTACAGCGGTATAGGTGAAGGCTTGCTTATAAAATCTAAAGGCATACAAACTACGGCAGCACCGGTGATCCGGGTATATCGAAACCCTTGTACCGCCCGCCATTCATATCCATTATTACAAACAAAGGAGTACCGGGACCACGCGTGTGTTTTACAGTTGTGTTTCATTGCGCCGGGACGAGCAAACGAATGAACACACGCACACAGGGGCTACAAGCCGTGCGTCAAAAGCCGACTTTGCCAAGGGACGTAAAGAAGAGCGCTACACAAAGAGATGACACATAAGCGCATGTCGTAAACGCCATGTACGGCATACAAGCACGCCCAACCAAACATTTAAAGTGGGTTCGCATGCTTGCTTGGTTGGTGCCGAGTTGATGGGGACGCATGGCATAGCACTGGCACTAGCAGCAGCAGCAGCAGCAGCGTGCAAGCTGCCAGGACCGTTGTAATTAAGTTACAAATTACAAGTTCCACACAGGCGCATGGGGACCCATAGACGCCTGAGGACCCGGTGGACGGTTAATTGTTATCCCTTTGTGCGTTGTCGTAAAATGGACCTGCATGAAAAAATGTGCTCTAGTAGACAGGCTTGCATCCAGAAGGGTTGGGTGGCACATGCACGAGACTGCTGCCCCTGCTGCTCCTGCTGCTCCTGCTGTTGCTCCTGCTGCTGCTGCTGCTGCTGCTGCTACTGCTACTGCTACTGCTGCTGCACATTGCAAGCTACAGTTGAACGACGGATGCTGTATGCCGGGGATGGACGAACGATCAAAAAAGGTAGGGGAGGTCTAGGTTGCGGCGTCTTTTCTAATATTGTATCGAATTGGCGTGCCACCACCGAGCAAAGGATTAATTTGTTCAAGATGTTTGCATGTGTGTGCAACAATGTGCATGCGTTACACTAATGTGTATATCACCCACGCAACGTACCCTTCATCGCTGTAACCCATTACCAAAACCTGGTGGTAACCCAAGAATAAGCTTGCGCGGTTCCAAATGTACGGCCTGCAAAAATGTGCAGATGTACAGGGTTGTGCCATGTGGACGAATGTACCGCGTGGACGTACGAATATATGTCATCTTCATCCGTATGACCGTGTCTGTGCGCGGGAGTACTTTTGCGAGACGTAGGATGCATCGTCGGACGGTGACATACATACAAACATGCCACTATACCTATCATCATGTACCGTACAACACATGATGATAGGTATAGTGGCATGTTTGTATGTATGTGGTGGAGAGCGTAATGTGTAGGTGACGTGCGGGGTTGGCGTGGGTTGGTTCAGGTTAACTATGCGGGCGAATACTACTGGCATGCCTGGCCCGTGGTCGGCGTCCATATCAGTCCTCAGATGTGCAGCGCTAAAATACTTACGGACACTTGCGGACTAAAAGCCAAACCCCCTAAGATAAGATATACCTTAGGCGAGCGCTTTAAAAACTCTGAGGATGGTATGTGTACGGGAGTTACATTATCTGTCTGCTCCTCGCTGAACACATGCATGATACACTTGCCAAAGTCCTCCGTGTACGAATTACGCATTTCCAAACTTTGCCTTTTGCTGGCTTTACCCAGTCCCAGCACCCAGTTTACTTACGGTGACGATGCGGTCCAGCTGAGGAAGTCGGTGTACACGGCAAAGTACGATGTCACGGAGCCGTACATACGGATATGTTGCTTGGCCTGTCACAGTTCATCACAGTTGCACACGTACGGTTGATGATAAGCATCTAGGGCGCTTGCATTATTGCCTTCCCTTTATGTAGCATGGGGAGTACTTCCTTGACTGGCGAACGCAGCGACATGAACGACGTATTTACACGCACCATGTAAGTGGGGAGCGCACACGGGCGTGTAAGGAAGGGCCATCCATTACAGGCATGGCAACTAGCATAGGGCACCGCGCGGGTCACTTAGCATGGCTAAGATCAATATTAGTTGTGACGAGCGGCAAGCGAAAGGCGGCGCAGAAGCGGGAGTGCGAGAAAGATGGGCTATATTACTGCACGTGTCATGCGGGAGATTGATCTCAACCTCACGCCTAAGTTGAACCATCCAAAGCAAACAGCCAGCCGCAGTTGGAATTTTGCCTAAACAGGCACCAAAGCGCACACAAGCGTATGTAACCCGAAAGGATGCCACTGCATTATGTCCATCTTTCTTACCAACGTCAAATTTGAAAATGTTGTTTTCCAAAACATGCCGCCAGCGTATCGCAACGGCGGCGACCTGAGAGTGCATCCTGGAATGCCCAGGTACGGAAAGTTGACTTCGTATGGAATGTTTTTGTTGACGACCACAGTGGTCGCGTCCCGTGCGAACCAGCCATATTCGCATGAGGGGACGAACATGCCGTTGCAGAAAAAGAGCCTGGAAACGAAGAGGGCAAAACGATAACGCGGGTGCACGGGTAAACGGGGAGGCCGTCCAGCAGAGTGGGCACAAGGGGGGCAGCGGCGTGCATGAAAATCAGACCCACGCGTTGCGGTCAGGCGGTCAGACGCGCCCACGCAGCCGTACGTTGAGAACACTTATATTATATTCGTGGGCCAGGAAGCTTTCTCGTATTGACGCATGTCGCACACTGATGGAGCGATGGCGGAGGTACAGGATAAGACTGCCGTACTGAAAACTTACGTGGGTGACATGTGCAGCGCGGCAAGCAAAGCTTGCACCCTACAACGCTTCTGCTTCCCTGTCTTCTTGATGATGCGCGCACAGCCAAACACACGCGCGCGCTCGTAACCGCTTGACCGTAACCGCCATCCGGCCACCATCAACACACGGACGCAGTGAGCGGACAATGGCTCGATACCTGGACGCTGCTCTGCAACTGGAGCAGAGTGCTTCGGCGGTCTCCCCGCTGAGGTACGGTTAGGTGCCCCGGTCAGCATCAGACCCGAATCGATATGTAACAGACAGGATGAGCTCCCTGGGGAGCCTTATGGGCAAGCTTGCCCTCCGTGCCTGTAGTAGCTGGTACTTAGTACGGCGGCACACATGACGTCATAACGAAATATGCGTTAGAAAGCGCTCCACCAGCATCTATAGAGGCCTTTTCAACGGTCAGCTACTGCAATGCCCTGCAAAGATGAGCCCTCCAGGGCGCCTTGCCCTCCATGCCCATTTTCGATTTGATGGGCGTAGTGCATATATATATCACCAGCCAATTACTGCTGCACACCGACATTCACCACCATGCACAGCAAAACAGCAAGCTTACCATTGCTCGGAGAAGTCGTTGTTGTTAACCGTTGTAAGGCTAACGGCGCCAACCGCCGCCTCCGCCATGGCGGCCACAGCAAAAGACACACACGAGCCACAGCTGCCCTGATCCTTCACTGGGCTGATCAAATTGTACGACGTTCCGGTAACGTTACGGGAGTCCCAGATCGGAAACGACAAGGCTGCCAGGACGTCGCCGTACGCATAGCTCCCCATGGCCTCACTCGTCTGTGCTAGGGGGGTCTATGTTGGATCGGGCAGTTCGAGGAATGCCGGGTACAGGGTCGACGGTGAGGTAATGGATTTTGACAGTTGGTCACTCGCTGCCTAGGCTTTCCTCGCTCGGCACCGACCTAGGCCTTGTTTGCATTGTGTGGTAGGTAAGGTTGCGGTGGTTGGGGGAGCAATGAGGGGAAGGCATACACCTTTGTGTACGCAAAGGTTGGGCAAGCTCAGAGGGCTATTTCGGGGCGATGCACCCAACTCCAGCTATGCACCTATTAATGATGCAAAATTAGATGCAAAACTACATATGATATGGCGGCGCAACCAACCCACAACGTCATCAACACAGGAAATCACCACGTAAAGCAAGGGGCCTTAAGTAAGGGGAACCACTTAGGTACCAACAGGCATGCATGAACCCCGAACCCAAAGCACGTGCAATAGAGGTTATCACCTGGCTGTGAACCCTTATTTTTGGCGTCGCACACCGAATACAATGTCCGTCCAAGGCCCCCCTCGGCCTTTACGGACATCCCCCGCTCCGCATTCATCCGGAATTTACTTGTATGTTTACATAACTACTTACGGCTGCTGCTGCAAATGCTTGGCTCAGCGTGCTCTGGGGCAAACTGGCGAAGTCCCGTATATCGTGGCCCAGCTCCTGCAGCTTGGCAGACACCTGCAGGCGGGAAGTATACATGGGGCCCTCCGCCGGTGGATGCATGTGGTGGACTGTGGTGTGGCTAAGAGAGGTGTCCGGCTGGCTGACGCCCGGCTGGCTGAGATATAGCGGATCTGGCTAATAATATTTATGCATGGTAACGAACAAGTGTGTGTGTAAGTCGAAACCCCGCATGTCTGTGTGAAGAGGTTGTGATTACTTAGGTGCGGACCTCGTCTTCATCTATAACTATAGGTGGGACCTGCCTGCTGGGCTGCCACAATCGCGGCTTGCATGTTCTTGGCATTCCGGTTTGCCGAATCCCGGACCAACTCAAAGTCAACATCCGCCTGGTGAACACACATGTGGACACATAAGGAGCAAGAAAGCGGCAGAGCGAGGTGAAAGCAAAAACGAAAGCAAAGTGCAGACCTCAGTTAATGCCTGGTGGAGTGCCGACACCCGCCTCTCCACCCAGCGCTAGCTAGCAAGTACCACACTCGAGCTGTTGAGAAATAGTATGAAGAAAATAAGAGTAAGACAAACAAAGCAAAGAAGTGCTGGCTGGATGAGCTGGTGAGCCAGGTGCATATATCTACATTTCTTTATCATGTCTGAATGTCTGTATGTCTGTATGTATACGGTATGCGTACCATCACACAGCCAAGCAAGGCAATCCATTTCTCGCCGCGGCCCGGAAATCAAGAAGCACGCAGCAGCTTACACAGATTTCCTCGGCAGCATGCTGAATTGGAGTATAGTGCACTTCATCCATGTATGCGTGGATGCATACACACGAAGGTGTAATGTTGTGTTCCCCACAACGGCTGTACAACCGTTGTCGAACTCTGCACACCATCTAGATCGGGTGCAGGGGACACAAAGCTGACATGCTTTGTAGGGTTTAGGGTTTCGCCTTTGTATCCTTATGCCCTTTGCCCCCGGTTTTGAGCCCATAGCCTAATAACCAATCAACACCACATAAGATTCCAGCCAGTTAAAACCAAGAGCTTGCGGGCCGCAGTGAAACCATGAATTCCTAGGGCACGCGTTCATGCGTCCGTTCATGCATCCGTTCATGTATCCGTTCATGCATCGTATACCGACCGGCAATGTGAGCCCTGAGAGTGTCCGCCGGCCGACGTATATGCCGTCGCATTGGGCTCTGCTACCACTACTGCCAGTTTCGGTGCCGGCCAGAGGTGAGAACACAGCCACAATGGGTAGGAGCAGTAGTGCGCCGGAGGTGTTGAACGCGTTGCAGAAGCGTGTTCCATTACAGGCAACGACAAGGCTGGCTGGCGTCCCAGGAGGATTAATAATGGCCAGGGTCAGCGCATCGGAGACTTCCTGCCAGCGGTAGAAGACATATCCACGGACGCTAGGGCAGGTGACTAGGGCCAGGAAGAGGTCGGGGATTCGCACATGGCAACATACAGGCGGCGGGGAGTAGCTCAGACGGGCAGGTGTATGTTGGCTGGGATCACGAAGACGAGTTCCAGTGCTGTCTGACAGATAAAGCCGGTTTCATTCCTTTAACAGTTCACCTTCAGGATCCCAGAAAGAACGAAGAAGTCGAGCCATCCTTTCGCGCGCCGTGACTAGCTCCTCGGCTTGCGTTTAAAAGTTGTTTTGTATATGAGGTTTATTTTATAGTAGGAACTGTTTTGACTTGGGCTGCCAAGGATACAGAAGCACCGCCGACATAACAAATGTAATGTCAACGATAGATGATTTGTATCGTAGCAGCCTAGGACTCCGCTTCCTTTTGTAATGGAAAGACCGTTTTTAACTGTGAATACAAGTTTAGCACAATCACAAATTGCGGCTGGTCGGGCTCCATACCTGCGACGACGTGGTGCACTGCGCTCGAAGCGAGTACCAACAAAAGCAATGCATACCATTTCATGCTAATTTTCTTCCAGCTGCAGAGAAGATGGATAGGGAACCCCTAAGCAACACTCTGCCAATATCCACGAAGAAATAAATGCGTGTGTAGTGCAATGGATGCTCCTTTTTTGCTCATTATTCTTAGTGCGTAATACTTCGGCGCAATTGGGTTACTGAGGCTGTGCCGACCCTCGCAGGGCGGAAGCCGGCAAGAACGGCACAACCGAACATAAGAACGTTACAACCAATTGTATAAACAGCAACTCCAAAAAGTAATAATTTCCTATGTAGTATCAAAAAATTCCAGCTGCATAGACGGATATAGGCAAGGGTTACATCTAACCGTTGTGCAACGCCGCGCCACGGCAGATACAGTTTGAAGCAGTTCCTGGTTGTTGAAGTAAGGATTACGTTGTTTAACTATCAGTATGCTAACATGAAGACACAGGCTGTTAAACCACCCCGTTACATGGATATCCGAAATAAAATCTTTGATCGACATCTAGGGCGCGTACTTTCGTTTTTCTAATTATGTTGTCATAAGTATTTTCACTGGCATAAGTATATTTTACATTGTACGGTCAGTAAACTGGCATTAGCAGCTTCCAAGGGTTTGATTTTAGCAATTGCGTCCTCCCGGAACGTTGATGACATGTAACGGGACGCACGAAAACCCGACACACAGGAATTTCCCCTTCACGCCCCCTTCCTTCCCCTTTCCCCCCTCCCAGCCCTCCGCTGCCTCCCTCCTTTCCTAAAGTGTCCCCAGCCAAACAAGGCAATCTCCCTGTTCGCACCAACCCATGCAAAGTCCCTGAGGAACTCGGCCAACACATAAAAACCCAAGTAGTTGCTGACGTCTACCTGTCGGCGGGTAATACAGCAGCCTTACAGCAGGGTTGATGAGCAAGCTGGGTGACTGTGATTGGCAGCTAGGAGCCCCAGGCCTTTCCTCCAGGCTGGGAAACGCCTGGAAAGAGCGGAGTGCCTAACTCCACCTTTTCACCACACATATATTCACGCTCATTCACGTATCCCTTCCTTTCCTTTGTATGTTATCTGCGTTCCCATACAAGCATCCCATTGTTGGTACTATTCAAGTGGGCCGTTTAGAAGCAGTGATGTAACGGTGAATGTAACGGGGTGGGCTTTTTGTCTACCGTCCTTCCAGCACGGGTGCTTATATTCTTCTCAGGAATAGAGAACAATGAATGCGAAGAGCATGTGACTCCCAGTCATACAACTTTCCCCCAAACGCGTTCGAGAAGGTCATCTGCCCGCTTGGAAACCATGTTTCCGGGTGCGTGCGTGGGGTCCTAAAGTTGCGCCGGGATAAGGACGAAGATGGTGATTAAGCCAATCACTATTAAACCAAGGCTCCAACATCCACAAAATGAACGATGCTGGGATGGCTGCTTGCAGGAGTGAGGTCAAGGGGCACTGCCGGCCAGGCGACGGCCCAAGTCGGCACAGGCAAGTGACCAGGGCACGGGGTACCTGAAGCTTCTAATAAGCACAAGCAGTTTCCTGATGACGCGCGGTAACTCGCCTTTATTTATTTTGTAAATAATCGCGGCGACGGACAGAAGAAAAGCCTTCTTCCTTTTACTGAAACCAACAAGCATCAGCAACCATACTTTTTGGCATACGCAGAGGTCGTTTCTGTTCAAAGTTCTGCCCCTTCCGACATTCTCCTCGCGTTCAGATGTATCTGATGCATCTCATGCTGCTTGTTGCCTTTGTTACCGGTTTGCGCTCTTTTATGGATGGTTCGATGTCAGGTTTCTGGAGAGGGTATGGTCCAAACCTGGAGGCTCAGGCCACCTCCACCTGCTTCAACAGAGAAAGGGAGCGCTGCCTGCGTTTTCCAAAGTCGTGCGGCACAAGTACGATTGGCAGTACGGTCACCATGCACGGTCAGGACGCTGCTCCATAGGCATCCTAAAACCTAACACAAGCTTTTTATAAAAACGCAACGGGCTCTGTTGCAATGCAGAACTGAGCCCCACACACCACACAAAAGCTCATGTACGAACCCAATGCCGATTCTGTCGTTTACCTTGGTGGAAAGCGCACACGCGAGTTAGTTTTGACCAAGCCAAACTTAATGTAGGCATTTTGAAAAAGCCGCGATCTTTGGGTTGCTATTCGGTCTTCATTCAACAGCGCGGTAGAAGAACGAATGGCGCTAGGGCACTTTCATCAACAAATTTAAGATAGTTGCTTCACGTTGCGTCGCCGTATGCAAAACTATGAAAGGGGCATATCTACGGCGTAAGGTTATCCGTGTTTGCAAATCAGTGACAAATTCTACGTCGGCAATGCTTCATCATTGTAAGGTTTTAAAGCCAATACTAACATGGACAGAAACCGGGCTCAAGCCATTTAGCAAATCCGTCGAAACAGTTGCGTTGTTCTTCGGTGCCGCTGGTGCCGTAGACCGCCCGTGCGTTCGGCTTAGGATGGGCGAAATATTTCCCAAATGCGAGGAGCCTCCATTTCCGCATATTTTTAAACGATGTGTGTGCCGTACTATACGGCAGCTACTGCAGCAGCTATAACTTCTTGTACCGTATGCTAACTCTTGCTAACAACAATTACCGGCGCTTAATGTGCCTTAGGGTCCCCAGAGCCTCGCCCGGGTGTCGGGGAGGCAGCCATAGCTCTGTGCCTTCTCAAGACCCTCACAGTGTGGTCCACAGCATGGGCATGACCGTTCATTTCCGCAAGTGTGAGATTGTCTACTTTCACCCCAACCAAAACCTGCGTGCGTTACCTGGGAGGCTTGTGAAGATTGGCATGCTGCAAGCAGTGGGAAATACTGTGCAGTTTGAAGGGATGCCAGCCCATCACAGCCCATATCCTATTGGCTTTGACTGGTTTCGGAGTCGGTCAGTAGGTGCATGTGTAATCCGCTGGTCCGTTCAACGTCGAAGTTCATTACTCGGAGTTCATTACTCGGAGTTCATTACTTGCAATGAATTGAGGAAGGCCCGTGCCCACCCAGTCATGTTTTCGAGAGCCTGGGCAGTCCGGGTGTTGGGGATCTGGTGGTATTTGGGCTAATAATGAAGGCTTGCAGAAACTAATTTTCCGGTGCTTGCAGAAACTAATATTCCTGCTGTGAAAGTTCATCCGGCCTCCTGCCGGCCGATCAGTAAAATCTTTGCTCACCAGTAAAATCTTTAGGCGACACCCTCGTGTAGCAGATAGGCGTCCCTAGGCAGAACTTGTTAAGACCAGCCTCACCCTGCCTCACCTCCCAACCTACCGTTAATCCTACTTGCTGGCGGCAGATCGATGTTCATTTACGACAGGTAATAATGCCGTTTGCGTCTGAGAGCGTTCATGAAAAATTATCCACAAAACACGTGTAGTGCACCGCGGTTTTCATTTTGGTAGTGTCCCCAAAGTCAGGGCCTGCTTGTGCGTGTCAGCTTGCTGAAAGCCGACAGATAGCAGTCGGCTTTTGGAAATTCCGTCGCTCGTTCTAATACATGCCCAATCGCGCTTTCGTATGTCGAACATTCTCAACAACATCTATCCGTGCAAGGGCATCATTTTACGGCTTCTCCCATTCGGTTGTACCGACTGGCATCTTCAGGCATCAGGATCCCAAATCTCGATCGAATCTAATCAGCGTAGCAGGCTTCGCTAAAGGAGGAGCGAAGCGATGGATGGACAATCCTAAAGGCCCAACAGTTTTTTATAATTCGAACGTACGACTTCGCCCCGAAGGTCTTGCGCTTGCAGTAAATTCAACTTCTGGATCTCTGAAGCTGCATCAGCAAGCCCCAGAAGTCGCGTTTACCTCGCTCAGTAAGTTGCAGGCTTCTAGCCGCGTTTCGCCTTGACTAATAAATCGCGTGATAAGGCAGTACCACAATGACGTGATTCTACGTGATGAATGAGGAAAAGTATACTACGTACCACTACGTACCTTGCATAACACCCAGCGAGTTATTACAAAATAAACAGTGGAATGAGGAGGATAAGTTTTCCGTTGTCATGGAAATTTCGTAGATTTCCGAGTACTTTTAGCAAAGGCATCTTCCAGGCACGCGCGACCTACCTGCTGGCTACCAAACGTCCCAGGGTCAGACAAACAGAGTTTAGCTGCACCATTCAGGAAGTGGCTGATAGCAGGTCATCGTAAGGTTATTGAGCTGCTGTAATACATGAAGGAAGACCGACGAACCTGCGCGCGGGCTCATGTACGGCAGTACAAAGAGTGAAACCGTCCTCTTCGCCCAACAAAAATAACAATAAGAAGATTTAAAAAGGGCCTGAAATATACAATCACGCTTCATGTCTGATGCAGGCAAGCCGCAGTGTGCTTTAAACTGAAGCTGGCAGGTTAGGGTTGACGGAACATGGCAATACAAATGCCGTACATCATGGGGCCGCTGCCATGGATTATAAAAGCCATGAGCCTGCATTATGCGTTCATACTACATCTATTCATTGAAGACCGTTTGGCCTTATAACAATTTGTATTTGGGATTCATTTCTGAAACATCGTCCAAGAGTTCGCCTCTTCAGTAACATAGAGCTTCCTATTTGCCTTGTAATCCGCTTTTTATTATACGATTCGGGTGAGTCTATCGGTCCTTCTGCATCTGGAGAGCTTACTTGCGATTGCTTTCCTAGCAAAAGCTAAACCTGCACCTATACCGGCGGCACGTTACAAGAGTTGAGCATGTTATCCCATTGCTCTGACATTCGTTTTATAGAACAAGGCGACAAATCAAGTCACGAACAATGAAGCGAGCGGCTTTAATTCTCGCTATATTTTGCGTCTTCCGTTTGGCAGCAGCGCAGCAGCAGGGTAAGTGCGCTCAAGAGCGGATCGACGACCCGCGATGTTAACAACCAAAAATCATTACATTATGTTTGTTTTGATTGCCTGAGTGTGTGCCAGTCATACATCCGCAAGTTTAGCTGGTGTGAAAAACGGCCGCGCACCTGTACGCAACGGAGCTTGAAGCTTAACTTCAGCAGCAAATCGCTTTGATATGCTGTAATTACATTTTTCGTATGAATTTTTTTGGACCAAGACGTCATGGCTTGAAATTTCCCCTTTCTGTTAATCCCTTCCTTTCAGCATGCCCCAATGTCGGTGGTTACGCGTTTTACCGACTTCAAGAAGTTTCGGGCGCATATACTATTAAGACGGTGTCAGCAAAGAACCCTGTGGACATCGCGGCTTCCTGCAGCAGCACGCCGGCCTGCAACGCATTTGACACCACAGGAGCCCTCAAGATCGTTCCAATGGCGCCGATCTTCTCCGTTTTGGACCCCAGTGCTGCGGATGTGTCCGACTGCGATGGAATATATGTTGCACGCCGTACGCTGACTGGGCTGGTTTTGCCGGTGAGCTTTTTACGTTTGTATATAAGTTCCAGAATGTATATAAGTTCCAGATGGTGCGATTATTTGCCGATATGCGTTAATCCAAACCTGTTTCTGTTGGAGCAACCCGAAGTCGGAAGATCACGCACCTGTCTATCCTTGGATATAAGCTAAACATGTGTAGGGTACGGCCTGTACACCCTGACTTCACTGACCTTTTGTGAAAAAAACCTGATGCGCGCGATAAATACGCATATGCTTGGAGGTGACGTTCTCGTGCACGCTAAAAAAATGTCGACCATCGCGGTTATGATATGTAAACCCTCTCGAAATTCGAGCTAACAACGCCGCGGCGGCGGCTGGTACTCCCAAATGCGGTTTACATGATGACGCATCTTGACCCTTCAGGACGGCGTGAACGCAAATACGATGCGCGAGGCGGGTGCTAAGAAATTTGTGGAAATGCAGACCCTCAAAACTGTCACGTCAAAGGTGCGCCGCTGGTTCCGCGCTTTATTCGACGACGGTCGGACACCGTACTTAGAGGGATGGTTAATATTCGGTCGAATAGCTCTGTCCACAGCTTTAAAACACATTATTATCGCAGGATGGCTTCCACGTTTGGGAGTGAACATGGACCACGCACATGCTGCATTGAATAACGGGTTTCCATCCCACGATGGCAAAGATCCACCATCATCTTAGGGTGGCTATAGTATGTATCGCCTGAAGCCCTTTATATATCAACTGCAAGATCGATAGATAAGCGTTGATGTCGTTGAGACACGTCCGTGGTTTCCAGGTTCTCCTGCGTTTTCCTAACACTATCTGAACTACTAAGTACTGGTGTCCTGTATGAACGGCAAATACTGCAGGTGGCTGCGTCGCTGGCTGCGAAGGGCCTGAACCCACGCACGGCAAAAACTTTGCCGAAGGCAACAGTGCTCCAGGCCTTCAAAGATGCCAAAGTACGTAAACGTATGGCATAGTCGCCGGGTAGCAGTGATGAGCCATTTAAGTCCCGTTTCGTTTGGATTGCTGCTCTCCTGTATGGGCACAGAAACGGCACGTTTCCTGGCCAGGGAATGTTTCGTGATCTTTCGTGTCTTTTTGAGCAATTAAGTCCGAGGACAAGGCTATATTTTGGTCCGCATGATGGGTATCGTGTTTATTGCCACTGCACGGCTGATTATTCAGGTTCCCCTCGCCCTGTGGTTTTAGGTACCCCTCGCCCAGTCGAGCAGCACGGGTGGAAACTACACATACAACGACGTTTTGGCAGCCCTGACATATCCTGTTTGGGATTCCCGGACAGCCAACGACACGTCATATAACTATATTAGCTCTGTCAAGGATCAGGGCGGCTGTGGCTCGTGCGTCGCCTTCGCTGCAACTGCTGCAGCAGAGGCTGCTGTCGCTACCGGGAACAACACTTTGGTGAACACATATGATTTCTCTGAGCAGTGGTAAGTGGCGTTAAAGTCTCAGGACCCGGGGGGAGGGCAGTAGTACATGGCGTGGCACGCATGCATGCTTTGCACCACATAATGTGTGAACCTTTGGCGTGGCGTAGGTAGATAGATAGATAGATAGACTGGTGGATAGGTAGGTAGATAGATGGATGGATAGATTGCAAAACAATTGTTTCTGTAGCAGCTAGCCGCTCAAAAGGCCCCTACCTCAAGAGGCAGAGCGCTTCAGCGTGTATTTACAGATGATGTGTGTGCCGTACCGTACGACGGCTACTACAGTTTCACTTGGTAGGCCCACTATCGTGTTATTGGATCTCAAATGGTCCGGGCATAAGGAAAAAATCCGAATTTCTCGTTGAATAATAAAGACACGCCAGGCTAGGGCCGCCGGCGGTATACTAACTTCGTGTCATGGTCAGATGGTCTGATGACAACGTGATGACTATTGGAGCAAATCATGACTGCACTGTGCTAATACAGCTACCCTGGCAATCGAACACTTTGTTCCTTCTGATGTTTCGCCATTGCCGTCGACGTCATATGCATTGCAGGCTGTTTTTCTGCAACGGCTTGTACACCCCCTCTTGCTCCACGGGCTGGTATGCCAACCAGGCTGCCGACGTCATCGTTAAGAAAAATATGCCATACGAGAAAAACTATCCTTACATTCAATCGCCCAGTTGCACATTGATGTCGCCTCCTGAGCAGCGCGCTGGGGGCAACTTTTCCCGCTTTGTCTACCTAGACATTAGCATGGTGAGTGGTGCTTTGGGCGCCGCACGCCAACACGCATGAACCCTAAGTAATTCTTGCTGTAAAAATGCGCGTTTCGTTGTAGTCGTGTAGATGCATGCATGCCGCTTTCCTCCTGCTGTGCAATGGTTCGCTTGATCGAATCCGCTTATATGGCCATGGTACCCACCATTGACCTCGTTCGGATCAGGTATTGGATCAAACACTGGATCAAGCTTTTCCCTGCTGTGCAAACTTAGAAGCCATCCAAGCAGGGAGCGTGATGCAGTGGGGAAGAAAGCCCTTCACGGCAGTGCTGCCTGATGCTGCTGTCTATTAATCTATTGCGCAGGCAAAGGATCACATCCGTACGAGTGGCGCTGTCATGACGTACTTTGCTGTGTACAACGACTTCTTCTACTGGTCTGCCACCTTAACGTAGGTTTATGCTGCACAAATTCACAGCGGGTTGATTTCCGTCTGTAGGTTTCTTCTATCATCGATAAACATGGTCGTCGTATACTAGGATTATCTTAGTTTTTTGTGTGTACGGTAGTAATCAGAAAGTGCCTGAATGCGGGGTGCCTAGCTGCTAACTTCTTTTTGCGTTTGGCTCCTTGCGGCGTGTGTTGTACGCATGCACACTTGATGTCTACATACAGGCCGTACGTCTGGGACGGTGTGAGCCCTCTGGCTGGTTACCACCAGGTTGTGACCATCGGCTACAACGACACAGGGTAAGGATGAGTAAAATTTAGGAAAGGTTATTTTTCTTGTTGAAGGCACATACCAATAATTTCGATTTGCATTGAGCAGTACCGTAATGAATCATCGTACATCGCACGATGGGAATCGAAGCATGTTGGCGCGTGACCATGAGTGGTTCCGTGCTTTATCACTGGTACGTGATGCTATGACCTAATGGTAACCCATGTTATGGCATCAACAGTAGCTGTCTGCATTTTGAGTGTGTCTCATACCTAAAAATCTTGAAACCTGAAGACACTAAAACCCCCAACCCAGCTTCCGCCACAAAACCCCTACATGCGCGTGTCAATGTTTCCCACTGTGCAGGTCGTACTGGATTGCCAAGAACAGCTGGGGCACCGGTTGGGGCGATAATGGCTTCTTCCGCATCTCTTACAGTGCGAATGTCGGCTTCATGTCGGGATCTGGGGACAACATCATCGGCCTCCGTTGGGCACCCTCCTCTGTGCCCCCATCGCCTCCGCCGCCTGCCCCGGTTGTGTGCGGTGATGGAACCTGCTCTACGGGCGAGACGTGCTCCTCGTGTGCTGCGGATTGCGGAGCGTGCGTTGTGTGTGGAGACGGATTTTGCTCAGGTAGGCAGGTTGCTTTTCGCGGCTATGTGTGCAGAGGAAGAACAGCTGGCTGGCTGGCTGGCTATCGGGCTTGCTAGCTGGCTAGCTAGCTGGCTGGCTGGGTGGCTAGCTATCGGGCTGGCTGGCTGGCTGGCTGGCTATCGGGCTGGCTGGCTGGCTGGCTGGCTATCAGGCTGGCTGGCTGGCTGGCTGGCTATCGGGCTGGCTAGCTGGCTAGCTAGCTGGCTGGCTATCGGGCTGGCTGGCTGGCTGGCTGGCTATCGGGCTGGCTAGCTGGCTAGCTAGCTGGCTGGCTATCGGGCTGGCTGGCTGGCTGGCTGGCTATCGGGCTGGCTGGATGGCTATCGGGCTGACTGGCTGGCTGGCTGGCTATCAGGCTGGCTGGCTGGCTTACTACAGTAGTGCGTGACTGGTGTGACGTGGGCGTTGACATTTGTGCTGTCGTATACTCCTGGCCGCAATTTCCACACACTCGCAGGCGGTGAGACCTGCCTTACATGCCAGGCGGACTGCGGTACGCGCCTCAGCAACGGTACTTTGACATGCTGCGGGGACGGCGTGTGTAATGCTGCGGACGGAGAGACCTGCGCCAGCTGCCCAGGCGACTGTGGCGTCTGCTCCACTTGCAACCGGAATGGCATTTGCGAGCCGGCGCTGGGCGAGAAGTGCGCCAGCGGCACCAGTGGCTGCACGGATTGCGGTTCTTGCAGCAGTACCTATTGCGGTGATGGCAAGTGCACCAGCGCCAGGAAAGGTTACACTGAATCGTGTGGAACCTGCTCCCTGGACTGCGGTGGCTGTTCAGATCCGCTGTTCTGCGGTAAGTACGGTATCTTACGGGTAAGCGAACGGATCAACATGTACAGACATGTACGGACCCAACTAACAAACGGATTTCCACAGTCTTGGGACATTAGCCATCCTGCTTTCATTTACGACACAGTGCAGTACACCGCATGCATGTGAACCAGGTGTGAGTTTTAGAAATAACTATCAAAGGATGGAAATCCCGGGCCCTGCGAAAATGTTTGGACGTGTCTACAGATTAATAAGCCATCTTTGACTCGCTGCTGTCTGACTGCGTTCCGTTCCGCCATCCTCTTCTTTCACGCGCACATTCTTGCAGGAGACGGTATTTGCAGCAGCAGCCGCGGGGAGACGACTGGCACCTGCTCCCGTGACTGTAGCAAGACTATGAAGACTCGCGTGCTTCCTGGCGTTTCTGCGGCTGCCACTAGCAACGGTAATGCCGGCCGCCGAGCGCTGAGCAGCTGAGTATGCCATGGCTCCGCCAGCTTCCCTTTCGCTGCGAGAGTGAAGAGGAACGACTTGCAGTTGGCTACGGTTGCCGTGCGTACCAGTGTACTGCGGCACCGGGGAGCGAAATTAATTCGGCTTCATGCGAGTGATTTTAATACTCCAATTCATGCATCACGTGAGGCTCAGTCGGCCGGGCGAACTGGCAATAAGTATATGTATCATGGCAGCAGGTATGAAAAATTCATGCTATGGATTAATGAGACCGATCGGCCCTAGTGATTGATGTCATGTGCGTGACCCTCGCAGCCTGTTGCCCTTTGGGTTAATTTGCTGCCATTAGTCGATAATTAAATCCGGATGTTGAGTTTGTCTTAGCTAGTGGGTGGCGTCCGTGGGCATGGGTACTAGCCTGCTGCTGGTGCATGTCGCAATTAATCCTCCTGCATAATCGAACCGTGGCGGAAATAATATTAATTGTTAGGGGCAGCGATCGCGGGTATGCGTCCTTTTTTGGAAGAGTGTGGCGGAACATGTGGGGAAATAAATGCTGTAAAGGTTTGTGGTGATGCTGATGGCATGTGCGTAACGACTACTGGCTGCCGGTATGGAAGGGCTCCTTCGACCGACATGCGTGTGTAACTGCAACGCTAATCGAGCAATTTATTTAGTATATGAAGATGTTTAGGGTTGGTTTGTTGTGTAGTAAACGCGTGGTCGGATAGTCTGTTTTGTGTACATTTTCGCGTTTGCATGTCTGAACGGGTCAAGCAGGCAGGGACGAGGATGAACGGGCTTCGGCCGTTTTTGAGTCCGAGCGTCTTCCGGACGCACGTCTCATTCCATACTGGGAAAAATTGCCGCCGGTGTTCACGGCTTAGCGCTAGAGGATATAGACGGATATACGAGCGGGGGTTTTATGATGTACAGCGCGATTCAACTCGGCTCTCAACGGTTAGGTGCTTTTGTTTGCACCGTTGCTTTCTTACCAAGCAACCCACATTTTTCCTGTGTTGAACCACTGCGGACAAGCGCTATATCCTCGAGCGAACGTCGCTGTAAGATGTATATAGAATCGTTTCCCTGCTGCACTTTCGTGGCGCAACCTTACCGTTCCCGATTTTACTTCACGGGTCGCTGAAGGGTGCGCGTTGGTATGTGTGGATCTTCATTCTTAGCTGTGTGCATGGAATTAACACACATGCAGGCCTGCTTTTCATTCCTCGCATGCTTTCTATCGCGGTCTCCTTTCCCTGACAATGCTGATCTTATCTTGTCGGTCTCTGATGAATTTCGGACCTATGGTGCCAGCCTGAGCCCTTGGCTGGGTGTGAAGGGACTGCAGTCAGCTGATGACTTGCTGTAACTGGCGTTGACCTCTTAAGGGAAACTGACGTTCAAGTCTTGTGTAGTATCACCACAGAATGGTGATGTTGAAAGATACCGATTGAGATAAGTGAACAAATAGCAGTTGTAGAACCCACGTGGGCCTCACGCGGGTGAGTCCCCCAGTACGACTGGGGGGCGTATAGATTACGTTATCTGTAATTCATTCAAACATGACCTCGCTCGGTTGAACAGACGAACCAGGGACGCAGGTCCCAGCTTTATTCAGATAAAGCCCCAGGCCATACGCAGGCGACCTGCAGGCTGCAGGTGGAGTAGGAAAGCGTGCGGAAATGGGTGTCTGTCGAGTCATCTTCATCAGTCCTCCCACAGGCCTGCTGCAGCCCTCTGGTTGTCGTATCCTGGGTATATCACGGGATCTGCATCAACCGATCGGTTCTTATCTGAAAAGTCGTGATATAACACTGGTTCGCACCGCTTACTTGGGGCCTACCGGTACCCCGGTAGCCAAGGTGGTGGCCCCCATACTCTCCTGCTTCAAGACTTAACAGGTACCCAGCAACGGCCGGCAGAGAGTATTGATGGTGGGTGCTAACAAGGACACTTTAAATAGTCCTGCAGCTCCCCTAAAGGGGAAGCTGTACAATTGTTGTCGCTGTTGATTTCCCCGCCGCCATACACCTAGACAGCAGTCCCAGAAGCTCTTCCACTATAATGACTTTGTTAGTGCGTGGCAGGGAACTGACCAACCCGTATAGTCATACTGAATATGGACTGAAACCCTAAAACCCTAAGAGATGTAAACACGCGCCCTGCGCAGGGCATGCCCTGCACTGTGGTGTGGCCCAGAACAGTGTAACACCCCATTCATTCAGTATAAGGAGGTCTTCTTTCGGGTGCTTTCGATTCGATGCCCGGACTTCGATAGGTGCTGCCCAAGTCCAATGGCCGCGTCCACAGCGGCCAGCACTTCGGCCAGCACCCATTCTTCGACCTTTTGTTGGTGTGGCTGGCGCTTCTGTGTTAAGCCAGATGTACCACCGCCGACGTGAGCGATTGTGCAGCCCTGTAGTGGAGCTACCGTCGCGTCGATTCACTGCCATGTACAGGCCATGCGGTGCTGCTGACACAGCCATGTACTCGGAGAATGACTTGCCGAAAAACCATGCTCGTTAATCTTCGTGATAAGGTCCTCCGCACTGGTAACAGCAACACGCCGCCACTGAGACCATACACAAGGTTTTTGCCGTCCCACTTGACGATATCTAGGAGGACAGGCATGGCCGTTGCATCTTCACTGATGACCAGTGGGACGCATTGCTGCCTGAACTCACCAAGGACGTGAAGCACCTATGTGCCCAGGGGATCATGGGGATTCCGTGATGAAACCCTCTTGATCGTCGATTATACTTATGCAAAGCTTACACCTCCACTCTGGGGAAGGTTTTCACCCGTAAATTCATGTTTACCCGTAATCACGTGGTCTTCACATATAATTACCGGTCAATAGTAAACATGCTTATTTTTAAGTTGCCAAAGCATTCCTTTTATAAGGAAGAACATAGGTGACATTTTGTTGGTTGCCCGTGCTGGAAGTCATCCACAGGTTACATTACCCGTAATCACAAGGTCTTGACCCGTAATCCCCCAAGCCGTAATGCACAGCACCCGTAAAATTTCACGGGCTTAATTGCGACGAAGACGTGTTATGTGTGTGTGTGTGTGTGTTACATGGTTGGGGGTGTGTGACCCCATACCTGTAAGACTACCCATATGAGCCGAGGGCCCAAGGGTAATACTACAACACCTAAAAGCCACGGAGGAAAGGAAAACACCGCACATCAGCCCAGACTAGCGTCTAAAGGGGGTAATTGAGTTTCGGTGAGCCCACATACGTTCCAATATCCTCGCCAGACGTACTGGTTCCCATTGCATGGCCTCCAACATGCTCTGTTGATGATCGAATCCCTCTTCAGCACGAATATCATTATAGGCTGGGCATTCCAATAACACGTGTTTTTCATCCTCGATTCGGCTATTAGTACCACAACAGTGGCAAAACCGCTGCCCCCTGGGGACGTGGTACTTGCCCCTTCATGCTCTGTTTGCCTCCAAAGCCCAGCAACATAAACGGAACTGCATTACCTTACAATGTGCTAAACGAGGAATGAAAACCTTAGCATGTGTTGGCCACATGACGGCTGCGGCTCCCGAAAAGGGCAGCCCCATCCAGTGCTTATACTTCGCCATTTGCACTCCCGGTTGCTTCCCTTCTGATGGGTAGAGTACTCAACAACCAGTCAACACGCTCCTTTACCCCCACGACTTCTTGCGGTATTCCACTCCAAATGTTGCACGCCAAGAAGGAAAACAGTTGTAACATTGAGATTCCCCAACCCTCCCATTCTGGGTTGGTCAGGGCATCGGTTATCTCCTGCCGTAAAACGGCATGAGCAATGGATCCCACTTGCTTTTGAAGGCGGTTCCAGAAACGGAGGATCTGCTTCACCATGTAATATTGTAAGGGGAGTTCAGCCAGCTCCGCGTACAACAGCCTGTGGGATGGCCGTGCCGTCCCCACTACCTGCCTCATGAATAAAATCTGCAGCTGGACTGCGCTATCCTTCAAACAGGCTTCAAACATGCCCTCCGCAAGGTTGGCTTTATCCCGCTGTCTTCCCACCCTGTCCACGACCTCTGCCAGCGCAAAAGGGCCCCACGCCTGGCAGCCATACAACAGAATTGCTCGGACTTGGGTTGCAAAACACCGCATTAGTACATCGGGGGCAAACAGCTTCATTTTGTCCAACTTTGCACTTAAGGAAAACATAGCGGACCGACCTGCATGGCATAACTGCTGACGGCACGCACTAAAAGGCCGTTCTGGCCCATATACCAAGCCCAGATAGCGAGCGCTATCTTTGGCAGGTACTACCTGGCCTGATAGCCGTAACTGTTGACGTCTCTTGCTTCACTCCTTGCTGAGACTCAAACTCCCCCCCCACTTTCTCATTTACCTTCATCACCATGGACACCTTCTCGTACGCTTTTCTCAGAGCACCTAGCATGGGGCCGCTAATCCCCCTCTCCTGCAACCGAAGCCACAGGTGTTCACGAGGCACCCTATCAAAGGCCTTCTCAAAGTCAATCTGCATTATTATCAACGGCGGTTGTCCCGTGTTATGTGCACACACCATTTTAGGTGTCATGATCCACATGCAGAGGATGCAAGCCCAAATCAACGACCCCCTTCCACTTTTCGCAGTGCCTTCACCTGTCAGCCTCTACCCCAGTCTTAGTACTGAAACACCCATCTAGCATCGGTTGGTCAATGCAACGGCCGAGCTGTATATAGTGCATGCATACATCTGCACCAGGTACGCTGTCAGCTTCCATAGGTCCGCTTCTTTGCACTGACCCCCGCCATTTGGCACTGGCCCCTGTCACGAGGAGACCGTCCAGGCCAGGAACGTCTCCCCGGAGGAGGGCAACCACCATCACAACCCTTGAAGAGGCAACCATTTAACCGCTCTACAAGCAGTAGGGTACAGAATACGGGGGCCGTGCCAAATGGGCCAGTCACTCGAGGGCAATGGGGACCCCGCCTGTATTCAGGGGGGCATGATCAGGCGCATCTCAACTTATATCCCCAGATAGGCCCCCCACCCCAACACTCACGCTTGCATCCCTCCTACGCCCCCCAGCCCAAGCCCCTCCCCCACACCTTTTGTGCAGCCACGATGGACATGTGTGAGGCCAGCCGGTCTCCTATCCAGGACGTGAAGCCCCGGTCGAAGTGGTGGCATCCCAGGACCGAATCGGTGCTTCCTGCCACGGACTTCACCTTCTGCTCCAGGTCTGCAGCAAGCGCCTCGATGTCAGTGTCAGAGCCTTGCGGTAGCCTTTCCCTGGCCAGGGCCCTGAAGCCATACTTGCGTGTTTGCAGGCACGTCAGGCTGGTCGCGGTTAAGCATGCAGCCCACTGGTCCTGGCTGCAGAACATCCAGTTAACGTTAATGGACAAGCATGGCTCAGTGTTATAGGCTGCATGGACACATCCAGGCGGGACAACGGTGCCATCACCAGGGCCTAACTCATAGATGGCCCCCCCAAACTCTTTCACGAGGTCCTCCAAGGATGAGGGTGTGATGTTGTACATTGAGTCCAGCAGCAGCTTCCCTTGCCTCATGGAGCAGGCAGGGCTGCAGAGCAGCTGGGAAAACGACCCCGGTGCAACCCACACTATTTTCCGCCCCCATGCTACAATGATAACGCTTGGGGCCTGGAGCGGGTAATCCTCATGGGAGCAGGAGCGGGAGTGCCTGCAGCAGGGGCATCACGGTTTTGACACCAGGCGTTAGTTACAGATCGGCGTGGTGAAGTCCGACCTTGTTTGCAACAGGTGTGCAGTATCAATATTGTTAGTTGCGGTTGAGCAGTTTGTGAGGTGAAGGTAGACAAGCCTTAATACTACTTGTAGTCATTGATAGATCCGGAACGGACCCACCTGCTGCCCACCAGCATGTCGCAAGCCAGCTGGCAGCTGCCGTGGTACACGTGATGGGCACCAACGCCACCGCTGTCGGTGAAGGTGTCACTCCCAAACACCTCCGGTACTGAAGCCTGCACCGAGGACGTGAGGCGCTCCACCAGGTCGCACCTTGATGGATTCAGCGCCTCGGCATCAGTACACGCCCTGCAACAACAGCGCACGCAGTGTTGTTATGTTATCCGGAGCTTGCTTTGAATCATGGGGGCGTGACAAGCACCACATGGTCTCGCCAGCGCCATCTCGCATTGCCCTAGCAACCGGCAGGTTGTTCATGTAGCATATGTGCTCAGTCTCCACGGGCTCACCAAAGACTTCGATCATGTGGCGCCCGAGCGTGCTTTCGTGGACTTCTGATGACATGCAAGTATACAAGTACGGCGCCCATACTAGAATACCGCCAGCTCGCCATCAGTACTATCCCTGCGAGGTTCGCATGGATCTTCGTTTCTCTTCGCTGTTCAATCTGTTCTGTGTATCCCTGCTGGTCGCTTGTGGTGTGATCACTGCAGATGATTCGAACTCATCAGCTTCTTATCGGGACGGCAGAGCATCAGTATCAGCAGGTCGTTGATGGTCGTCACAGGTCGTCACAGTTCTGGGTCTGCCCCAGGGACTCGGTGATTGGAGGCCCGCTTGGACACAAGTATGTCTTGCTGCGCAATGCCACCCTGGGGACTTCCCTCAAGTTGCCGGGTGACGGCGGTAAACTGGACTTCATGTTTATGAAGCTGAAGGTGTACTCCGTCTACTGTGTCCCTGAGGGAGCGGTTCCTGGTGGGTGGGTGAAAGCTACGGTGCCGAGCCTAAAAGATGTGTACGGGGGGAGTGTCAAGGAAAGCCAGCTCTATTTCCTCCTGTCCTATCAGGGAAAGGAGCAGGAGTTGTGCAGACGGCTCCCCACCTTATCTGCGGACGAGGTCGAGAAGAGCATGGTAGTTTTCAACCCTTTCAACGGGCGGTGGCCACTCACCGTACGGCTCGGGTGTGATAAACACATCTGAGTCGAGCAAGACCCCACCACCCGAAAGGGTTGAAAACGACCATGCTCTTCTCGACCTCGTCCGCAGACAAGGTGGGGAGCCGTCTGCACAACTCCTGCTCCTTTCCCTCATAGGACAGGAGGAAATAGAGCTGGCTTTCCTTGATGCTCCCCCCGTACACATCTTTTAGGCTCGGCACCGTAGCTTTCACCCACCCACCAGGAACCGCTCCCTCAGGGACACAGTAGACGGAGTACACCTTCAGCTTCATAAACATGAAGTCCAGTTTACCGCCGTCACCCGGCAACTTGAGGGAAGTCCCCAGGGTGGCATTGCATGGCAAGACATACTTGTGTCCAAGCGGGCCTCTAATCACCGAGTCCCTGGGGCAGACCCAGAACTGCGACGACCTGCGACGACCATCGACGACCTGCTGATACTGATGCTCTGCCGTCCCGATAAGAAGCTGATGAGTTCGAATCATCTGCAGTGATCGCACCACAAGCGACCAGCAGGGATACACAGAACAGATTGAACAGCGAAGAGAAACGAAGATCCACGCGAACCTCGCAGGGATAGTACTGATGGCGAGTTGGCGGTATTCTAGTATGGGCGCCGTACTTGTATACTTGCATGTCATCAGCCAAGTCTTATCACGACCTGCCTCGCTCTCTATGTTCTTGTATTCCATTGTTATACCTGATACAGTTTACACTAGCCACGACTCTAGGATACAGGACGGACCAATAGCTTCCGCGCCGTCTTGACCTGGACAAGTGCAACTCTATAGTTCCATAAGCTGGAAAATGGAACAAGACTTTCCCGGAAGTATTGAACTCCGGTGTGCTTTAGGGGAATCCTATGATCAGCAGAGCCAAAACGTGATACCGCTTAGTTTTGAGCTGGGAGGTAACATGATATCAGCGAGCATTTTCAAGAAGCAGAATGCAACTTATTACTTCAAGGGAAAGGGTGAGCTCCATGGCCGGTGCTGCAGGCGTCAGGTCAGCAGGCGATGTTGTCTCGTTAACAATGCCCTACACAGACGGCAGTGAGGTCCAGGTAGCGCCTCCATTCTTTGATGTTACCGGGACAGCATTGAGAACAAGCTTTCTGAGGAAGTTCTCCACGCACGAGGATGTCAATGCTGCAGTCAAGCGGTTCAGGGGGAGCCTGCCCTGTGGCATGCTATCCTATGAGGAGGACAGCACTGCCCTGATTTGGTCAATTTCAGGCAGAGTGCAGCGTCATCAGCAGCCAGAATCACCACAGAAGATTGGGGCCTCGCGGATTACCGAGCAATCGACACATGAAGGGTGGGGGAGTACTTGTAAATACATAGCTTGCTCGCTTGTGTCATTCAGTCCAGACAGTGCCACCCTCGATGCTGCAGGGCTGCAAACACACGCTTCGATTGCAGCCTTTTATGGGGCCACTCAGGGCAGGCTGCCTCATCGGCTTCTGTGGGCCCTGGCACCTTGTCTGCCACCGCAGGCAGCAGTGGTGGCAGGCGGGACGTCAGCACCAGCCTGGCGACCCTGCTCAACCCGAATGCTACCACAGCCGACCGTGCTGTGGTGTGTGGGATCATGGAGCAGGAAAACTGCAAGGCCTTCAAGGAGCTGAAGTGTCAATGTATGTTCCCCACCCTGTTGGCTTGGACTTTGGTGCACCTAGTAAATTTCCACTTGGGTGACACTTGCTGGGTTGTACTGGATTCCAGGCCCTAGCTACCCTGGCTTGTACTGCTCAAGACTAGAACTGGAAGTCTGTGCCAAGCACTGACTAATGCTGGGGCATGGCCAAACCGGACCCCGCCAGGCTTCGAGGGCCTATGGCCACACGACATCAGCACAGGAAGCTTCACCTGCTGGACAAGGAGGACAATGGGGTGCTTCCAATTGGGAGCATGCACGGGCTGGCCTACACAGACCTGATCACCAGTGAGCCTGTGTCCTGTTATTGGGTGCTGAATGTCAGATTCGACTTACATGTTCTACATGTTCCAAGAGCCCACACACCGCATTTTCCCCTTTAGCCCCTTGGGGGGTGGCGCTTGAACGTTCGACTCCATAGGCCCACTGGCCCTGAGCCTTGTTGCTTGGTACGCTGCTCCACCAATGAGGCCAAATGATGTCTTGGCCACACCGTGGTGCCACCCCCCCTCCCCTGCATCTCTCCTGCCAACCACCCAAAAGGGTTCATCTGCTACATGCTCCTGACTACCGAGTACAATGGAGACCTGCCCTTTTCTGGGGCACCGACACCAGACGGGGAGTTGGTGGTGATGGTGTGGATGTGGCTAGACCTGGTGTCCGTGGGTGCACATGAGGCCGCACTCTCTGCCCACACAGACCTGCTGACCAGCCAGGTTGTGCAGGGTTGCCAGAGGAGCAAGGCCCCCTGGCTCGTTCCGGGCATTGGGCAGGTGGCACCCGACCAGAAGTACCTGCTGCAGCATCTCTGGAGCAGTGTCCGCATGTGAGTGGTTGGGTGAATGGAGCATGGCGGGGATGCAGAGGCCAGCCACCACACATGCACGGGACCAACTGAAGGGCCTTCTGAAGACAACTGATCAAACTGCCAGACCGGAATCATGATGATCTAGGTGCTAGTGGATAAGGCCCAGCTCCTCCCCTCACCAAACCACAGGAATCTGACACATGCCAAGGGGAACCAACACGGAGAAAAGAAGGGGGTCAACCATAGCACTAAGGACGGTCAGGACAGGAATGCAATGATGCAGAAGCTCGCCATGAAGGTGAACGTGGCATCCAAGATGCTAACCAGCCTTTCTGTTGTGGGTGGGAGTGAGGGTGCTGGCGCCAGTCTGTCGGACCTGCGTGGGCTCCAGGCACTTTACATGCAGAAATGGTCAGACACTGGGGCAGCAGTGACCACAGCGGCCGCCGGGACAGCTCAGGGTGGTGTGGCAGCAGCTACAGGTGCAAGGCAAGGCGCAAGCAGGGCGACCCGCACCAGACTGCCTCAAATGCCGAGGCAGGCATGCACCTCTGGTTCTCCCTGGAGGCGGGTTTCTTCCTCCACCCCAACCGTGAAGGCAATTACCCCATCGACACCCTGGCCAACATGGCTGGCGTGACAAGCCAGTGTGCAAGCAGCCTGCTGACCCTCAAGGACCGCCAAAGCCTGTACCTGACTTATACTGACAAGCTGTCTGCCTTTGGCAGCCACGCCTCTCCAGTTGTGCCAATCGGCCTGTTTATGGCCATGGGTGCATAAATGTTCACCCGTATCCTTGTGCTCAAATTACGGGACGTGTAACATGTCACAGACCCATAATTTCTGTCAAATGACGGGTGGATTGACCCAAATTTATAGGTAAAATGACCCCCGTTTTCCCAGAGTGCTCATGGCGCCACAACCGCTGGACATGTTCACACCAATGCACATTATGTAGGTTTGCCTCTAGTTCTCCCAGCTGAAACCACACCAAGTGCTCCCTGTCCTTGAATGTCTTGCTGAGGGATGGCCCGTTCAGATTGAGAGACATGAAATCGTGCACAAGTGGACCGGCCATGTTCAGAATTAACGGGCAACTGAGATCCAATGGTTAACAAGTCACGGCATGTGCAGACACATGCAAGCCTACACTACTCATGCATATTGACACTGCATCATACCTCGTTGTGATGTTTCGAGCAGCCGGACGAGTTCACTGCGTGATGTGTACACCTGTAGCCTCTCTCTATCAGCCTGGAGAAGGGATGCCTGCCTCTTAATCTCCCTGTCCAGCACCAGCTGATCTGCCTGCTCGGTGATCAATGCGGATGTGACTGCCTTGAGCCGCTCAAACAGCTCAATGTGCCCTGCAAACTCCAGTCCCTCGGCAAAACAGAAGGGGACAATGACACCTAGTTCGACCATGACTCACCGTGTCACAGCAACTCGCAGTGCAGCAGCATTGGCTGAACACTTCAATTGGTGATTTGGGCCTGACACATGGCACACAGCTGTTCAGCTGAGGAGGAGAAACTACTGACAACAGACCAGATGGAGTCAATTTTGCCATAGTATGCCAGAAGCTGGTTCTCCTGGAAGAATGTGCCTGTGGTGCCATGTCAGGATTCCCATGTGGGTCAACATTTGTCAGGCGGACCAGATATCGACAGGTGCATGATGAGCTTTCAGACCCTATTAAGTGGATCAGTCGGCACACAGAATTCCCTCAGGGTATCCAACACGTTATCCTTGCTTTTGCCTGACCCACATGAACTTATCAGACCGCCATGCCGGGTACCAAATGTAGCAGCTGACCACTGAAAAGGTCTCTCGGGTTGCTGGCGGTCGCACTCTGCACATATTTATAGCACCGTACTGTGTACCGGCTGCTACACCAAGCCACCGCTTACTCTGTGTCACCTCCCATGTCCATGATGGCAGCCTCAATGTCCCGCGGCCCCAGTACACCCGCTTGGGAACAGCCGTACAGGCAGGTGTAAAAATCGTTTCGCATTCCAGGGCATGACATCCCACCAATAACACGGTGCCAATGCTTGGCTGGTTTCTGTAGGAAGGCGGGGTGCACTGGATGACCCCCTGGTGTGGGTAACGGACCAGGCAACAGTGCTGTGCTTTGAAGCCAGCACTGCACCACTAGGTCCAAAAACATGGCCTGCATACCGGCATGAAGGCTGCTAAGGATGTATAGTTAGCTCTGCAGCTAGATCCATGGAAGCCACAAAGCGGCTGAGCACAACACTGTGGATACAGAACCGTGCATGGTGCTGGGTGGCCACAGCAACACAAGTTAACCGTGTGCTGGTGTCCACAGACTCTGCGATCAAGCTGACTGGCACTCAATCCAGCAGATGCGGCCGGGCTCACAGGCTTAAAAACAGACTTCGGTACCAGTTTGTCCTGATACCATCAGATGCTTTTTACAGCTCCCAGGCATCCATCGTGTGTCAGATTGGCCTGCTGCAGATACCTAATTAGCCGAATAAAGTCCTCATGTGCCGCTAGCTATTGTATTATAATGCTTGCTAATGGGTCGGTGTGCTGAGCCTCTACACACAAGGATGTCATGTCCTTGGCAATACAAACAGCTTGCTTCAGAGTATGGCCAGCATGCTTGGTTCATTTCACGCACTGCAATCGTACCCTCCAGGCACAACTTGGTTCTAATACCCATCAGCCACTGCTACCTAAGTGGGCTGCCACGCTGCAGCTGCACTGGCCACCACTGTATGAGCAGTATGGGGGGCACAACCATACGGGCCACCAGTGTGTGTGTGGATCCAGATGTGGCCCCACCGCAATGCGGGCCTGCTCCAGCACCTGTGCAGCCTGCAGCCACACCACTTGTAGGGTTGTTCCTGACATTAGAATGCTTTCCGTTCTAATCTAAATTCTTATCAGATTCTAATTAGAAATTAGGATCTAATATTAGAAGACGCTCGACAACTTTTCAGGGAGGGGTCCGTTGAACCTGAAATTTTGTATAGGCCATCACAGATGTAAACGCACGCATTTCCAATTAAATTTACTCCGGTCGGGTGCCTGGGGAGGGTACCTACCAGCCAAACCCACGCCAGACTTGCTACGGAAACAACCAAGAACGCCGCCAAACCTGTCCTTTTAAGTCCCTACTTGCACAGAATCACCACATAACTGCCGGGGGAGTGTTTGCTCGCTAAGGGGAATGCAAAAACACAGAGAGGAAGGGCTAATCTGGTGCCTGCTAGCCAAACCCACGCCAGACCGCTGCGGAAACAACCAAGAACGCCGCCAAACCTGTCCATTTACGTCCCTATTTGCACAAAATCACCACATCACTGCCGGGGAGTGCTTGCTCGCTAAGGGGAATGCAAAAACGGCCGCAGAACGTTGAAAGAAGTCCAATAAGCTGCAAGACCCTTCTTCTTTGCGGAGGTCAGAGCTTCTGCATACGCTTTTGCATCAAGTTCCTTGTTGCCATACTTGTACATTGGCCCTGATGCTTCCGCCTTCCGATGAGGAAGGGGTGGCTTTGATGGCCCCGCACCTCTATCTGACATTTTCGTGTAAAATGCACGCAGTAGAACCGCTGATGCACCTTAAAGCTACGGCTTTCCGGCCGTTCTAATGTCCGTACGACATTAGGATGTTCTAATACGTTCTAAACGGGGTCTTCTAAAATTCTTATTAGATTCTAATTATATTTTTTCTAATATTAGTTCTAATGTTCTAATACCGGCACAACCCTAACCACTTGTGGGAGCCTACTGCAGGAACAGGCATTGCCTCCCACACCGGCATTAGCGCACGTGGCAGCACTCACAACCAGAGTTCAGAGTTTTATATCCGTCTGAGAAAGAAACATAATTATGATGACCTTGATTGATTTGTTCATGGCTTACATGGCAAGCAAGGTGCATCGCGCGGTAACCCTCCTTAACATTGCTCTGTTTTATAATGTTTCAATATTTCCTTTTCATTCCAGTAAGGCAACCCATGGATTACAGGGCAGACGAGATTGTACGCTTTTCGCTCGGATAGCCCTCTGCATGCCTCTTGCTTAATTCCAAGCTGTTTATAATTTATCAAGTAAGATTACACAGATATTGCACTAAATGTTTAAGGTAACTGTTAAGACCAGCAAAGCGGCGGAACCCCGTTGGGTCCTATTAGGTGGTGTTTCCACTTGGATTAAAAGTCACGGGTTAAGGTATTTTCAATCTGCGCCAATCCGTGTCTGGATTAAGGAACGGATTGAGGTACAGCATTTGCCATTCCGTGCATAAAATACAAAACGAGTATTGCCAGACATTTAAAAGACTATCGAGTATCAACATGAAGGCCTTGCAGCACCTTTTGAACCTTGCAGCACCTTGTGTGGTGCGTAATGCCGAACAAAAAGCTTCTACAAAACTAGGAACACTTACAGCCTTTATAAAGGATAACCTTCCAACCTATTAATCGGAGTTTTTATGAGGCGTCGTAAGAAGTGTTAATCCGAGATTGTCAATTTGATGCGTGCAGGTGGTGGCCACCAGGTAGCAATTTTTTCCCACCAAGTTTGAGCTTGAAGAATGCTTGAAGAATGCTTGAAGATGCTCATTTCATAGCATAATCTATATTTAATCCGCGAAGCGCGCGAATACAGGCGGAAATCGCTAACTAATTGCGCTAACCTTAATCCGCGATTTTTAATCCAAGTGGAAACATCCCCTTACTGCTGTAACCATTTTCCAGTATTTGAGTGTCAGTCATAGTTACCATTTAGAACAGAGTGTCAGTCATTTCCAACAGAAACTATTATTTCGTCATCAACTTTGAAACTTAAATTGGAGCAGTCGAGAGGAAGCGGTATGCGGATTCGTTGATGCACGCTACACCGGAGCACACATGGACATTTTCTTGTAAGTCCTAAAGATAATAGTCGAGATCTAACCTGTGAATTCTGCAGGCAAACCACGCAAGCGGTCATTTCAACAATCCACTCATAAGGCCGTGAGATCATGAATACTATGCAGGAGACATTTTTGCTCTTCGTGAGTCTGGATCCCACTGTAACAACCACACACCCAGCTAGATATCTGCTTGGTGTGTGTGTAAGCCCCAGAAAGCATGTGAGCTGCAGAAGAGCGCTGTGAGTGCAGTAGGCATAAGTACGGTAAATATTGAGGGTTTCTTAACGTACGACATAGGTTTATAAAACGCAGGGGCCCACTGTTTGCGGTAGCCTACGTGGCCAAAATTACTTCAAATATCCTAAACGTTTCTGAGGAGAATAATTTAAGCTTTGCTGCGCCTTAAGTAAGACAGTACCTCACTCGCAGCTCTAGGGCAATTCCACCCGCCGAGCTGTGCGAGGCACGCTTAGGTAAGTTTCAGTCAAAGGTGGCTTCTATGTTCTCATATGCATACCTGCGCACAGAGCTTCACCTCTGGATCCCGTCGTCGCCATACATGGATGCCACCTTCAGGATTTGACAGAAGCCATGGCGCCCAGAGTTATGTCAACGCTTAGGAATATAGCTTTATTTATTCCTGCAATGCTCTACCTTTGGGGACTCGTAAGCAGCCAAGGTAGGTACCCAAGTGGCATCACCGCTGTATTGCAGTCCAGTTTATTGCCGCTGTGTGTTCCCTAGCGCTTATAAGCATGGCGGTCGGGTATAAGTTCAGGCCTGCACGTTCACCAACAGCCACAATGTCTGTCGGCCAAGGCAATTACCCTCCATGCCCTCAATTGTTATCTTCGTTGCCTTCGTTACCTTCAGTACCTTCGTTACCTTCGTTACCTTTGTTACCTTCGTTACCGCTGTCACCTTCATTACCGTCATTTCTTACCTCCGACCGCATTATTGTTGCGGATAGTACAGCTGCGTAAGCAGCACCGCACAACCTGCTGCCTCCTCCCCTCTGGATGACACTCCTTTGCCCCCCACTACAGGGATATGCGCTTCTCTCCCGGGTGGTAATCCGTCCCTGTAGATGTATGACCCTTCACACATTCCCTCCAGGTGCTGTCGCAACTTACTCCACGGAATCGTTTCCTGCTGATCACCGCCCATATCATTCTTCCACATCAACTCTCCATTTTCTCATTTCTCGCCCTATCAACCTTGCTCGCCTCCTTGGCGACGTCTTCCTCAACAGGAACCACCTGCCCAGCAGTTGACGGCTACGATTTCTACCAGCTGCAAGAAATCCCGGCAGCTTACATTTTGTCACCTAGCAGCTCCGCGTCCGCGAGTGCGACCCCCGCCAGCCTCGCAGCGGATTGCAGGAGGACCCCGCGATGCAACGCCTTCACTGCCGCTGGTGATCTGCTGATTGCCCCCATGCAACCCGCGTTCTCCATCATGGATGGTAGCGCTGCTGACGTGAAGCCATGTGACGGCACCTACGTCTCCAAGCGAACTCTTTCAGGCCTGTGCCTGCCCGTGAGTCGCTAGGATGTTATGCCCGCTGTTTGTTTATCAGCTGCCCGGTGCCTAAACATGGCTATGTCCCAAACACGCGCCGCTCTCAATCACGCTCCTTCCTCAAGCATACCCGCACGCGCACATGGCCCTTCCCCATGCATGCCAATATGTAATCACCGCCGCATTTATCCACTAACACGCCACGTGCCTGTGTACGTATACAAAAAGACGCCATTCGCTCTGCAACAGTGAGGAAGGTGATGCTAACCCTAACTTTTTATCGGGCAGAATCGCAATTTTTCAGTATTAGCGCTTCATGTTGATGTAGGCGTTTTTTGTGCCCTTCTGACGCCACCCCGCACAGGACGGCGAAAATGTGGACACTATGCGCCTGGCGGCTGCAAAGAAGACCCTGGACATGATGGCAGCCGCGGCGGCCGCGAGCAAGGTATGCAGCTATGCACGCGTAGGAGTGTATGTATGTCTTGATCAAGTCTGAATGCGCTAGGTACGCGTGAGTACAGCTGTCGTAAATATATGCCTGTGTCATTGTTTGAGTGCTTTTACGTCCTTGAAAAAGAGTCCCTGTATGTAATTGAGGTGCCACGGGCACATAAATGTCCACTGCCCGGCATACCATAGCAGGCTGTGCGTTGGAGTATGTATGGTGAGCAACTGCGGGTAACTGTGTGGCTTCGACTGTAGGTTTAGGTGTGTATGTATGCCATGCTGGTTGACGGCTAGCTTACAGCTTGTGGGTAAAAACTGTAAACCCTGTTTCTAACTATGCTAAGGCGTGCACATACATTCAAACAGACATACTCTTTTGCACAATGAACCTTACCCTGTCAGGTTTCGGCAAAGCTGAAAGGAAAGAAGTTCGACCCTCGTAACGCGGAGAGTTTGTCTCGGGACGACATCAGCAAGGCGTTCACTGATGCAAAGGTTCGTGCATGGAGTGGGTTCGTTATGTGCCTTCTCGTCTTCATAAGCGCTGTCGCTTTTTGCATGGATCCCGCAATAATTAAATGTTCTGCTTGGCCATATCCGTAAGTGTGGTTCTTGGAAAGGCATTATTCCCAACCCTAAACCCTAAACCCTGGAGAAGTAATAAATCGGTACCACCCAAGAAGATCCGCGCATTATTAGCGTGTTTGATCGAGGTTTGAAGCTACCACTACGACCTGCCATGACCACTTCCCAACTCATTACAACTGTTAGGAACCACTGTATGTAACCACTGCTTGTAACCACCAACTGTACACCTAACTAATGCCATGGCCGGTTGGCGGGTTGGCTAACCGATACACCATGTATCTGCTGCAGACCCCTCTGGCCCAATCTAGCTCCACGATGGGCAGCTACACCTACACGGACGTCGTTAAAGCGGTGGCATATCCGGCATGGGATTCCCGTGTGAATGGATCGTATAATTATGTCTCTCCAGTAAAAGATCAAGGTAGCTGCGGCTCATGTGTGGCCTTCGCCACCACAGGCTTAGCTGAGACGGCAGTGGCGGTGGCTGGCAACATGTCTGCAGCCAACATCGACCTGTCGGAGCACTGGTACGTATGTGCCACAGCAGCTGCTAATCCTGCTAATGCTGCCCCTGCTGATAATGCTTTCGCTGCTGATGATATCTCCCTGCTGCTGTGGCTAACCCGCGAATAATGCTGTCCCTGCTGCTGTTACCACTGCAGCTGCATGCACTGCTGCTGCAACTACAAGTGCTGATGCTGCTGTTAATGCTTCTAGCTGCCGATGTGACTAAAAGTTGCGCTGCTGTTGATCTGGATACACTGCTGTTGACAACCGGCAAAGATGATTGTCGATGGTTGGGGTTGCATGACCCCATACCTGTAAGACTACCCATACGAGCCGAAGGCCCAACGGCAATATCTATACACCTAAAAGCCACGGAGAACAGGAATTACCACGGGGTAACTGAGTTTCAGTGAGCCCACATACGTTCCAACATCCTCACCAGACGTACTGGTTCCCATTGCATGGCCTCCGACATGCTCTGTTGATGATTGAATCCCTCTTCAGCATGGATGTCATTATAAGCTGGGCATTCCAATAACACGTGTTTTTCATCCTCGATTCGGCTATTAGTACCACAACAGCGGCGAAACCGCTGCCCCCTGGGGACATGGTACTTGCCCCTTCGTGCTCTGTTTGCCTCCAGAGCCCAGCAACATAAATGGAACTGCATTAGCTTACGATGTGCTAAACGAGGAATGAAAACCTTAGCATGTGTTGGCCACATGACGGCTGCGGCTCCCGAAAAGGGCAGCCCCATCCAGTGCTTATACTTTGCACTCCCCATCTGATGGGTACTCCTCTGGCAGGGCAGTCGGACGCGTATGGTCCCAGCCGCTCATCAAACGCTCTCTTAGTGCAGTTATCATCGCTCCTTCGGGTAGAGGCCTACTCAACAACCAGTCGACATGCTCCTTTACCCCCATGACTTCTTGCGGTATTCCGCTCCAAATATTGCACTCCACGAAGGAAAACAGTCGCAACATTGAAGTTCCCCAACCCTCCCATTCCGGGTTGGTCAGGGCATCGCTATCTCCTGCCGTAAAACTGCATGAGCAATGGGCCCCACTTGCTTTTGAAGGCGGTTCCAGAAACGGAGAATCTGTTTCACCATGTAATACTGTAAGGGGAGTCCAGCCAGCTTCGCATACAACAGCCTGTGGGATGGCCGTGCCGTCCCCACTACCTGCCTCATGAATAAAATCTGCAGCTGGACTGCGCTATCCTTCAAATGTCCTTCAAACGGGCTTCGAACATGCCCTCCGCAAGGTTGGCTTTGTCCCGCCGCCTTCAAGCCCTGTCCACGACCTCTGCCAGCGCAAAAGGGCCCTACACCTGGCAGCCATACAACAGAAATGCTCGATCTTGGGTTGCAAAGCACCGCATTCACACGTCGGCCGTAGATAAAGGACACCCTTGCTTCACGCCTTGCTTAGACTCAAACTCTCCCCCCACTTTCTCATTTACCTTAATCACCATGGACACCTTCTCGTACGCTTTTCTCAGAGCATTTAGCATGGGGCCGCTAATCCCCCTCTTCTGCAATCGAAGCCACATGTGCTCGTGAGGCACCCTACCAAATACCTTCTCAAAGTCAATCTGTACTATTATCAACGGCGGCTGCCCCGTGATCCGATGCCGCCTGACCAGGTGTTGCTTGACAAAGAGGTGATGAGCGGTGCCAACACCCCCCCTGAAACCCGCTTGGCATGGGTGCCGCAGGTTCCTCAACACGTACCAGACGGTCAAGAATCACTGACGCATAGCATTTCACAAGTGCTCCTCCAACTGCAATGCCCCGATAACTTCCTGCCACCAATGGTCACCCTTCTTCAAAATTGGGGATACCACCGTTTTGGTAAACTGCTGTGGAAAGTCGACTTTCCACAACTGGTGACGTCACCAGTTGCCCTGATGTGCTCTAATAACAAAACGTCCAGCGCTGGAACGATACAGTTCACCTCCGTTCCCTGCCTGCCCTGCTCATCCACCCGTGGGAGGCGTGCATAACGGTAACGTTCCGATGGTGCCCATGAGCCCTCTCGTTTGGTAACCTACCGACAGCACGCGCTACCTCCTCCAAGGTGAAAGGCTCATCCAGGATGCTAGCTGCCCGTGCCCTCCTGTCCATGACAGTCCGACATGCTTGCCAAGCACCCTCTCCCAAAGGGGCCCCAGAAATAATATATAGTTAAGGAGCCGATGTGCACCTTCAACACCCGTATCCCCAACTCCTGGGTTTAACAAGGTGGCAAAGTGATCCCGAAATACATGCAAGTCGTCAATTGCACAACGCTCCCTGAGTTGAGATTTATGTGTGTTTGTATGCAACTGCTGCTGCTACACCCGCAGGCTCTTCTTTTGCAACGGCGTGGACACAGCAGCATCCTGCGATAACGGCTGGTATGCAACGTCAGCCACAAAGGCCCTTGCAGTCAAGACCATACCATACGAGGCTAATTATCCGTACAACCCAAGCGTGCCGACCTGCACACTTCATTCTGCACCGGAGAGGCGAGCTGGCGGTATTTTCAAAAAGGCCTACATCACAGATCTCACCGTGGTACGTTCGTACCTCCGTACTTCCGTACTTCATACTTCCGTACTTCCGTGGACAGAGTGTCTGACAGTGTATGTGTAGCAGCGCGGCGCAAAGGCTTACCCGAGATATCAAGGATTCCCATCTCAGGATATATGTGCGGGCTTTATTTTGAAGCTGTCCGCTGCGACACAGTAGCGCCTGGAATGCCCCAACCCAGACCCCGGTTCCGGTTTCGATATGTCGGACTGCATTCTGGTGGATATGGTCCTCCACACGTTCATCATGCAGTTTTCCTAGTAAACCTCTCCACATGATTCTACTGGCACCAATTAGGCAAAGACATAGGTTGTTGTTGTTGTTACATGGTCGTGGGTGCGTTCCCTGTACCTGCAAACCACCCCAGTACGAGCCGAGGGCTCAAGGGCTGCCAAATCGCCTATAAGCACCATCCTACCTCGCACTTCCAACGAAACAAGTGATGAAGGATACTAACGACCAAAGGGAACGATAGAGTTGCGGTGGGACCATATGCGTTCCAGCATCCTTGCCAGGCGTTCAGGTTCCCACTTCATAGCGTCCTTCATATGTTCGAAGCGTGGAAAGCCCATATCAGATCTGATTTTGTCGTACACCGGACAGTCCAGCAAAATGTGTTTCTCATCCTCGATGTGGCTATCAGTGCCGCAGCAAGGGCATACTCGCTCCTCCCTAGGTATATAACGCCGTCCCTTACGCGCTCTGTTAGCCTCCAGTGCCCAACAGCAAAGCCTAAACTGCATAAGCTTGCGATTCGCCGAATGCGGGATAAACATTGTGATATGCGGGAGCACCTCCTTCCTGCCCGCTTGCTCGGCCGCCAGACCCATCCAATGCTTATACTTCGCCATGTGGATTCCTGGTTGCTTGCCGTCTGACGGATACACGTCAGGCTGGACATCTAAACGCGTATGCTTCCAACCACTCACTAATCGGTCCTTGAACTCCAAAATCACACCTTCTGGCATTGGCCTGTTCATCAGCCACTCCACTCGTTCGTCTACCTCGTGTAGCCCTTGCGGGGCCTCTTTCCATACGTCGTGCCCCAAAAAACATAGAAAACGGAGGAGTAGTGTCCCCCATCCGGCCCCTTCGGGGTTGGAGAGGGACTCTGCGACCTCCTGTCGCAAAACTTGGTGTGCCACAGACCCACGCTGTAAACGGACATGGTTCCAAAACCTCACAACCTGCTTGAGAACGTGGTAGTGTAGGGGTAGCTGCGACAGCTCTGCAAACAGGAGGCGGTGTGTTGGTCCGGCAGCTCCTACAATTTGCCGCATGAAAGATATCTGAAGCTGCACTGCTCTGTCCTTTAGGCATGCCTCGAAGGGCCCCTCTGCAAGGTTATTCGCATCACTCCGCTTCCTGAGCCTGTCCAAGACTTCAGCTAAGACATAGGTGATATCCCCCCCCTACACCTGTACGTACACACTCATGGTTTGGTCATACATACGCAAAGTTTGGACGAATATGCACCCACCATAAACCTCGTTCGGTATTGGATCAAAAATTGGATCAAGTTTTTCCCTGCTGTAGTTGTAAGAGGGATCAGCTCCCCTGGCATCTCCCAACTGAGTACTCTTTGCCTGGTATTACAGTAGTACTGATACACAGTTCGGCACACATAACAACTACAAATGCGCGCTAAGCGCTCCACCAGCATCTCGAGAGGCTTTTCAGCGGCCAGCTACTACACCTACTGTGCAAACTTAGTAGTCATCCAAGCAGGGAGCGTGATGCAGCAGGGAAGAAAGCCCTTCACGGCTGTGCTGCCTGATGCTGTCTGTTAATGTATTGCGCAGGCGAAGAATCACATCCGTACGAGTGGCGCTGTAATTACGTACTTTGCTGTATACAACGACTTCTTCTACTGGCCTGTCAGCTCAAAGTAAGTTCATGCTGCACAAATTCACAGCAGGTTGACTCCCGTCTGTAGGTTTTTTCTATCATCGATAAACAAGGTCGTAGGTAGGACCGAGAAATAAGTAGATCTTATATAAGTCGAATGGCCTAAAGGTTGCGCCGTACATGGTACGTATAATAGATAGTCTAAATGGTGTATGAATACTCACACATTTACAGACGACGACGGTAATAGTTTGTCATCATGCAGCCCGACTCCTGGAATATCTAGTTTTTTTTGTGTGTACGGTAGTAAATATAAAAATGCCTGAATGAGGGGTGCCTAGCTCCTAACTCCTTTTTTGAACTTGCCTCCTTGTGGCATGTGCTGAACGCATGAACGACTGATAACTACATAACTACATGGTCTGGTCTGGTGGCGCCTTTGTGTATATGAAGGTTCCGGGTTTGATTCCTGGTCAGACCCCCGACATTGTTCGGGAGGTCTAGGTTTACTAACGCTGCTGAGGTGTGGAGATGAGGTCTAGTTGATGGACTAAGTTTCGCATGCTGAGATGGTGGTGGTGGCTGATCTGTCTCTCCGGATGTTGGGTGACTGGATGAGGAGGGGTCTAGTTGGCAGGACCCAACCCGCCGTCGGTCGTACGGTGTAATCAACTTTCAATATATAGTCCATGGCCTCCCGGCTTTGACGGACCCCCCCGCACTCGTGCGGCACTTGTAACTTGTAACTTGTACATACAGGCCGTACGTCTGGGACGGTGTGAGCCCTCTGGCTGGTTACCAACAGGTTGTGACCATCGGCTACAACGACACAGGGTAAGGATGAGTAAAATTTAGGAAAGGCTATTTTGCTGAGGCTGCATACCAATAATATAGATTTGCATTGAGCAGTACTGTACTGACTCATCGTACATCGAACGATGGGAATTGAAGCATGTTCGCGTGTGACCATGACGCGGTTCCGTGCTTTATCACTGGTACGTGATGCTATGACCTAATGGTATGCCATGTTAAAACGACCTCAACAGTAGCAGTCTGCATTTTGAATGTGTGTGTGGTTGTTACAGTGGGCTCATACCTAAAAATCTTGAAACCTGAAGACACTAAAACCCTCAACCCAGCTTCCGCCGCAAAGCCCCTACATGTGCGTGTCCATGTTTCCCACTGTGCAGGTCGTACTGGATTGCCAAGAACAGCTGGGGCACCGGTTGGGGCGATAATGGCTTCTTCCGCATCTCTTACAGTGCGAATGTCGGCTTCATGTCGGGGTCTGGGGACAACATCATCGGCCTCCGTTGGGCACCCTCATCTGTGCCCCCACCGCCTCCGCCGCCTGCCCCGGTTGTGTGCGGTGATGGAACCTGCTCTACGGGCGAGACGTGCTCCTCGTGTGCTGCGGATTGCGGAGCGTGCGTTGTGTGTGGAGATGGATTTTGCTCAGGTAGGCAGGTTGCTTTTCGCGGCTATGTGTGCAGAGGAAGAACAGCTGGCTGGCTGGCTGGCTGGCTTTATTACTACAGTAATGCGTGGCTGGTGTGACGCGAGCGTCGACATTTGTGCTGTCGTATCCTACTGGCCGCATTTTCCACACACCCGCAGGCGGTGAGACCTGCCTTACATGCCAGGCGGACTGCGGCACGCGCCTCAGCAACGGTACTTTGACGTGCTGCGGGGACGGCGTGTGCAATGCCGGGGGCGGAGAGACCTGCGCCAGTTGCCCAGGCGACTGTGGCAGATGCAGTACTTGCAACCGGAATGGCATTTGCGAGCCGGCGCTGGGCGAGAAGTGCTACAGTAGCAGCACCAGTGGCTGCACGGATTGCGGCTTTTGCAGCAGTGCCTATTGCGGTGATGGCAAGTGCACCGGCTCACGCCGGGGCTACTCTGAGACGTGCTATACATGCCCGACCGACTGCGGGCGCTGCAGAGACACAACATTCTGCGGTAAATACGGCTCCGTACAGTGTCGTACAAGCAGCCATGACTTTCCAAATTCTCAAACCGAAAGGAAAGGTTGTTGTTATTACGTACTGTGGAACCAGTGATGCAGCAGATAAACGAATGCATTCCCTAATTAGGAAACCTGCACATGCTTACCGCTGTGTAACCTATAATCTTCAATTGCTGCATAAGCGTCTTGCAGGTGATGTACAGTCATAACTTGCCTTTCCTTTCATGTATAGCGTGGCCATAACTGAGAAATACATCCACACACATACACTTATTACTATTTCTGTACCCCTGTGATGTGATGTCAGGTGATGGGAGGTGCAATGGCGTGGAGAATGGCACCACGTGCTCCAGAGACTGCCTGCTATGGCGTGTACCGTCTGTGACGATTGGAACTCCAAGCAACGGTAACGGAAACAACGGTAACGGCAACGGCAAAGGCCGGCGCCAGTTGCGCTGGACTGTGAAGCCGTAGGGTGCGCATGATAAATAAATAAATGATAATCCGGTAATAGCTGCAAGTACGGCTGTCGATGATGCATGCATGGAAGTTAGCTGCCATGGATGTGCACGAGTATGTGTGTATGATGTGTAGTACGGGTGCTTCAATGTTGTACATGTTATACGTCTGCCAGCTACTGTGTGGTCGCGACAGCGATCGCTGGTATGGTTCAGTCATGATCTCTATAGGGGGGGATGAGTGAAGAGCAAAGGCGAACCTTATGTACAAAACAACTCATCATAGGAATCTCATTATTCGTCTTCATTCCATCTTTAAACGGAGTAAAGCGCGATTAATATCCTGTCAATTAATGGCTTGATTCAACTCCTCACCACAAACTTCATCGCATGACTTTCGTGGCCTGATCATGCAGCGCTGAATGGCCTGATCAGGCAGCGCTGGATACACAGCACCCGTGAAGTGCCACTTTGAGATACTATTGGATAAAAATCTTTTTTGTTGCCCGGCGAATACAGTATGTAATCATTAGTTGGTGTGACAATTGGATGGATGGAGACCTTAGCTTGCATATCTAGCTGAAACCGGTCAAGAATATAAATGGATGGGCAAAGGCCTGAGACCGGAATCCATTCATTCTTGTTTGAGCTTACATAAGCTTCGCATCTAATCTGGTTGCACATTTTTCGATTGATCATGCCATGGGGCAGGCTTGAGCCTGCAGGCCCTCGAGGTCTTACATACTCCTTTGCGACCTAGATGTATATATATGCCCATCCAGGTGTGTAGGGCGGCCTTTGCATCAGCAGTGCGCGTGTACATATTCGTGTGTATATGATTGTGTAGAAGCGGCAGAGGTGTCACGTTGTGGAATGTTCACATCTCTATGGTTCAGTTAGATGCATGCATGGCTCATCTTTTGGTTGGTGTAGTAGTGGGATTCACCCTCCATGGAAGCCCTGGTGTAACATGTGTGTACAGAATGTGCCGCGACCACCTACTACTCGCAGTCCCGCAATCAGTTTGTTGTGCTGTCTTTCCATTTCCATTGCTACACAGCTGAAAGATGAATGACGGGTTACTTGGATGATGGACGAGAGCCCCTCGTGCTCAAAGGGGCCCAAATCTGCAGATGCCCGGCCGGGTGTACAACGGCCCGATCCGCGACCTGCAGCACGGGCTGCTTGTCCGCACTCTTAACGTATCGTGGCAGTGGAGCAAAATGGCTGAAAGGAGGGGTTTCGGAGCGGGAAAATTCGGCGGGCGGGAAGTAGGGGACCCGGAAGAAGGCCGTGTAGGGGAAGGAGAGAGATGGGGAAATGAAGGCAGGCTGACGTACCCCCCCACTGCAGCAGACAGCCCTATAAAAGTCCGCGTTTCGCATGGTGTGTGCCGTGTAAGAGGAGAGAGAACATCCTATACTGGTTGCCTCTCCCTCCCCCTCCTTCGGCACCTCCTCACTCCCGCACTCACACATCAGTGTCCGACCGAAACATACACATCCACACGCCAAGCACGCACATACGTACATACGTACATATACACATCCACAAACGCTTTACGCATCTTAGTGCCCCACAAGGGGACGTCCCCGTGATGCCGCTCTTGCAAACTACGCTCACATACACCTACCATGTGCAAATAGAGACTCTGGAGCTAAAGCTAAGGGGTACGACTCACTCTCTAACCATATCAAGGTACGACACCCCGTGGGCACGCAAACCCAAAGGGCGGGCAAAGCTGTCCACGGCCCTGCCCCCGTCCCTCTCTCTCTCCCTCTCCCCGACCCCCCTTCCCCCCAGAAGCTCCTAACGAACTGTGGAACGGAATTAAGCATAAGGATGATGACCTCCGCCATCCACATCAACACAAGATGGACATTTACCATCTCTTAACACACAGTTTCACACAACCTTACAAGACCTTCATTTCACCGCCAAGACCAGAACCAACGCCAACACAACCGCCAACAATTCATATGATCTTCCCTTCAGACAATCAAATGAAAAAGATAATCAATAATTTTCTCATGAGTCCTTCCTTCCATTAATTCAATCCCAATCCACCCATTCCAGTGGCATTTGTTCCGCCACCAGAGGGGGGGGGGGAGGAAAACACAGCAGAAAAACGACGTTGGAATACTAACGACCCCAAGCACACCGAACCCACATGCGAGTGTGTGTCGTGCACTCCTGGACGCACACCTCCTGTCAACGGATTGTGGGACCTCGCTACCTCCCCAAGTCATCAGGACGCAGGCCGGCTCTGTCCACAGAGCGGCTGAGACACACAACACACGATGTGCGGAGGAGGAGGAGGAGGAGGAGGAGAGAAGCGCGGCCCGAGGAGGGTGTAGGCGCGGATGGAGAGGGAGATGGAGCAACAGACGAGATAGCAGAGGAGGAGAAATGGAGGAAACGTTACGTAACGTAACGCCAACACCGGGCGACTATCGTATTTCATAGAGGGTGATGTGAGGCGATGTTGAGATGCGAGGGGATGGACGTGATTTGCGGATGGGGGGAGAGGAGGCAACGAGTGGTGGCATCCATCGGGGGGAAACCACAACCGCAATCTCAAATGAAAGCAGCATCGTTCGTACTTTCGTACTTGCCGTTCAACGAGCCGCTCCGTCACCACCACCACCACCACCACCACCACCACCACCACCAGCGGCAGCGGCGGCGGCAGTGCCAGCGGACGCGGCGCTGTCGTGATGGTGGTGTGTACGAACAGGAATTGCAGACACCAGGCCTGCCCCTGCGAGTGGCCCATTCACGTCATCGCTGCTGTACGGCATCTGCCCCGTACCAGACCGTGTCCCCGCCGACCGTACGGCATACCGCAGAACAGTCGCTGCCGTGGGATGTACGGCCACACCTCCGCTCCTGGCCGTTGCCATAGCTGCCGCCGCCGGCGTGGCCTGTGGTGCCGTACTTGCCAGGACAGCCTCTACACCAGATTCCCCAAGCAACGCCGCAACGTAGTACAGACACTGTACGACAGATAGCGGGCAAGCTTGCAGCTTGCCGCCAGGGACCCCAGCTGCGCCTTGCAGGATAGCTGTGGCTCGCGCCGCAGCCCCGGCCAATCCACTGCCGCCAGCCGGCGGCGCCAGTGCCGCCACAAAGCCGGTGGTGAACGGCAGGGTGGCGGAAACGGACGACGCCCCCACGCCTCCAAATCCCCGGGTCTCAAGCCACGCCATTACGGCATGTACGGCACGCAGCGCTCCCGGAATATCCCGCGAGTCGGCCGACGGCGCCAGACGCATAGTAGCCTACGGCGGCATCACGGTTGCGGTTATTGGTTAGCAAAACCTGCCTACGTCTTTTGATTTTATGTCGAAAACAAAAGATTACAAAGCAAAACAACAAAATTGCATCATGTAGGGATCGCGGGAGTTTAGGTTTCTTTAGCTTCTTAACGATTATTGAGAGGTGAGGGATTAGAACTGCAGCAACATGCGAACAGAAACACGCGTAAAAAAACGTACGTGGTCGAAACGAATCTTTAAAGCGCCCAAACCCCCAAATCGCAAAGCCGTACCTGCCAAGCGATCATGCTGAAGGCTCCAGGGCCGCTGCCCGGCAGGGCAGCGAAGACGGCACCGCCGCCGCCGCCGCCGCCACCACTGCCGGCAGATCCCGGCGGCGGCGGCGGCGTCATGACCGCCGCAAGGTACGCCGCCAGCGCGTCCGCTTCGTGATGGAGCCGCTCCGCCAGCAGACCCCGACGGAGCCATTCCGCGACAGAAAGAGTCGGCAGCGGCGGCGGCGGCGGCACCGACTCTGCCGCCGCCGCAGCGGCGGCAGCGGAAGACTGACCCGCCGGCGTGTCGGCGGAGGAGGAAGGCGCCCCGGGCCGGCGTTGATAATCCGCGGCGGCGGTCGGCGCGGGCGCCAGACCCGCAACAATTTCCGCATGGCTCCGAAAGCCCGCCTCTGCGAGCTCCGAATCCAAGGCCTTCCAGTCGAGGAACGCCTACGGGCGTGCAGTGTACGGCGTACGACAAGGTAGTTGTGGCGGTTATAGGGGAAAAAACTATGAAACATGCTGGAAAATACAAAAATATACGATATATCCATGGGGGGGGGCCTCCTCAGGCTTTTACGGACGCGCCCCCGGCTATTGTGTGGAGAGCTTGAAACTTGTGACGTCATGGTGGAACAAAGCGAAAAAAGCGGGGCACCACATATTCAAGCTTGGGCGGTTGAATTTGAATTGTTACAGAGTGGGAGGCTTCTGGGCCATTTGACCAATTCATATGAATTACGTGTGCTGATAGTACAAAGACGAAGCTCTCTTGCTAGAAACACGCTGTGTAGGTAGTTAGGTAGTTAGGTAGTAGGTAGTTAGGTAGGCAGGTAGGTAGTTAGGTAGGTAGTTAGGTAGGTAGTAGGTAGGTAGGTAGGTAGGTAGGCAGTAGGTAGGTAGGTAGGTATGGCAGCGAGCTATGTGTGTGTACTTACCTTCCCCCCCTACTGCCGTTCCCCTCCCCCAGCCCCGCCCACCCTCCACGCAACCCGTACCTGCAAGTCATGCCATAGCGCGACGATTAGCTCGTCCAACCACCTGTATACGGCACCCGGATACCGGACAGACCATAACTTGACGGCTGGTCAGCGGGCATGGCTGATCAGATACAATGCGCGCAACAGCCGCTATCTGCTTTACACGAAGCAAGTTAGTTCAGTGCAGTGCAACAAACACACACACAGCTCGAGAGAGACCCGATTGCAAATTCCAAAGCGAGGTTCCCATGTATGGCCGTGTCACCGGCTTGTCTACGGCACGTTTTCCACACCACGGGCCACAGCGCGGGCACAGCACGCGCCGCAACGCCGCCCATGCGGGATCATGGGATTCACGTACAAATGTTAACCGTAACAGAAAACCGATTCAATGGAAAAACTAAAAACTGACTTGAGCAGGTCGTCTTTGGTCTCACTAAGACATTAATAGCAAAGATTTATCGATTTTTTCGGTTTGCCGGTATCTCAGGTTTAAGCGCCAGCATAAGCCCCACCTGGCGCATAGCCGCTTGGCACCCAGTTCCGTTACGTCCAGCCCTTCCAAAACCACCTGCCGATCCGCATCCTGGTTTTGGAGCACCAACGGAAACCCGTCGTCGTCGTCGCCGTCGTCAACGTCAACACCGCGGCCGGCAGCGACGGCAGCTGACGCCATACTGTTAAACGCCGTGGGGGGTTCTGCGGTGACGTCGCCGGCGTCAACGTCAGCATGCGCCGTCAACGCCGCATCGCCGTCTGATTCGGCCACGGGGCCGGGACCAACGCGATGTACGGATGGTTTGACGGATTGCCGTACGGACATGTATTCACGCCGCATGCCATATAATGCCCTTTCATTCCCCGTGCACAAGCGCAACTGGCTTTTGCCGATACCTAGCGCTCCAAGAAGCCGCCTGGGATCCCGGCCGTCGCCCCTGCCGCTGCCACGATTTCGCGCCGTCAACAGCGGCGCGAAAGGGCCGTATGATTGGGCTGTGGGCGGCGGCGGCGGCGGCGGCGGCGTCACACGCGACTGTCTTCGCCGTCGACGCCACCACCACCGCTGCAGTCGATGCGTTACACGACCAATCGTGCGGAGTCCAACGACGCCACTGCCGACTGCGGCAGCGGCGGCGGTGGCGGCGGCGGCGGCGGGGCGGCCGCCGACGGCCCTGTTGCGACCCACTCGGGTGTTCATCATTCGACATACCACGCGTTTCAGCACGGCCATCGTCAACGCCACTTTATTGTCAGGCAATCCTGGCGAGGCTGCAGAAGACGCTGCCAACGCTGCCGTCGTCGCGCCCAACGCTGCCGTCGCCGCTGCCGTCGTCGCTGCCGTCGTCGCTGTCTTCTTCGCCGTCGCGGCCGCGGCAGCATGTGGGGGCAGTAGCAGTCCGCTAGGGTTACCGCTGAAGGTAGCGTCGTAGCGAAGGTCAGCGAAGTGTGCCGCGGCGGCATCGCCACCGCGACAGGTTCCCGGCCGGCTTTGTACGAGCGGTGCCAACGCCGTACACACGACCACGCCCGACTCCCTCGGCGCCGCCGTCGCGGCAATCGCAGGCTCCCACCATTCTCCGTAAACGCCGTCGACGGCACCCACTATGACTCCCAACGCCTTACCGTACCGCCCGTGCCGCCTTGTACGACATCGTCCAACTCCAGTCAGCGGCAAGCCAGCATGCTCTCCTCGTCTCGAGTGCGATGTGGCGGCGCGCCCGGTAGCTTTCCGGATGAGAGAGGGTAATCCGTGAAGACTGCAGCGGCGGCGGCCGGATTGCACGGCAGCCCCGAAACCGTACGGCAGTGCCAAGGTCGGTGCACGTGCTGTCGCCGTGGTCACCTGCGTCAGCTCTAGAAAGGTACGGTCGTGGTTGTCGCCGTTGCTGCCGCCGCTGGTACACAGCTCAACGCCTTCCCCTAGAGGCCCAGCCTCACGCCGCTGGGATGGCACCTCGCCGCCGCCGCCGCCCCCGTCGCCACTGCCAAAGAAGAAACCCAACCATCCCGTTGACGTCGAAGTGGTCGACCCGGCGGCGGCGGCGGCGGTGCCACCGCCGCCACCACCGACGCTTCCGGGCCCTTGCTGCTGCTGCTGCTGCGGCGGCGGCGGCGGCAAGAGCGCAGGCGGGAGATCTTCCTCTTGTGCGCGCGATTGCGCCAGACGCAGCGCGTCCGCAGCCTCTTGACGTACAATCTCACCGGCGTCCACGATGCCGCTGCCGCCGCCGCCAAGTGCCAGCGACGCCATCTCCGCCACGACGTCGGATTTCAATCCCGCCGCCGCCGCCGACTCGCCGCCGCCGGCAACGTCCATCGCCGTCGCATCCTGCACCAGCTGCTGCGGCGGCGGCGGCGGATGCTGCTGTTGTTGATGAGCAGTCCAATGATGCTTTCCGCCGCCGCCAGGTGTACGGCGGCCCTTATGCCTTCCTCTCCTGAACCGGCCCGGCGAGCTGCGTGGCCCGCCGCCGCCGCCAGCTCCGCCGCCGCCGCCGCTGCCGTCAGAGGATCCGTCCCACTCGTCATCCGCGTACGCACCACCCTCCGCCGCCTCAAGCCGTGCCTGCCGCTCCGCGATTTCCCGCAGGTGGCGCCTGTGAGCCTCACGCGCGGCTATGACCCGTGGGTCATCATAGTTGTCCTGTTCCAAGTTTTTCAGGTTGAAAATGCACGTATGTAATACACAAACAGGGGCTTCAGAAATCAAAGGCAATTTAACAATCGCCAAGGTTGGGGATAAGTACGGCATACCCGTACGATAGGCCGAAGGAAAAAAACACATGGAAGCTGTCTCCGCCGAGGGGGGGGAGGGGACTCGGAAGTCGCAAAGGGGGTGAAAAGTAGAGAATGGGCTCTCGGAGGTTGGGTGAATCCGCATGGGGCGGAGAGGAACCACACGGAAATGTAACAGGACTGTATCTGTTACGGGTCAAGTACACGGCCCCGTAAGCAAGGCCTCCCAGGTCCAATACAAAATCGACACATGGCAATCTGGATGCACAGCATCTCCCCAAAGTACAATTTTATACAGGACAGGAGCAAACGCCCTCAGGGAGAGGTCAGGCTGGCAAAAGGATGACAGAGAGGGAGGGAAAGCGCGGGAGGAAAGGGGAGGGCAGGGGAGAGCCAGGCGGCGTTAGTCTGAAGCGTACGGTGGCTTCTATGCATTCTCCTCAGCCCTAAAAACCCGTTATTCTTTTCCCAACCTCTTCAACCCTTAAAAAAACCCCTCCTGCCCGCCCCCAGAAACACCCCCCCACCCACCCACCCACACATACATACATACACACACACGTGGCCGCACCTCCAAGTGTTCGGGATACTCCGCCAGCCCCATCACGGCCGCCTCGTCCAGAGCAGCATGAAAACTAACGCCTGAACGAGAGCACACACATACATACACACATACACATACATACATACACATGAGGTTGGGGTGCGCTCAATAAGTAAAAAACCAGAGATTCACAAGCACAGATGAAAAAAGGGCAAAGCGGCGCAAGGATTGCGAAGGATAGGAAGAAGCTCGATATGGCTACGTCCCAAAGCCGGGTGGTACACCTCCTCCGCGGCGTACACTAGCTAGTAACAACACATCAACAAAGAACACCACAAGCGGAATAAGGAGGTAAAGGATGGCAACAACAACAACAACAATCATAACAAAAACAATTTCAACCTTCTGGTATGCACACGTAGGTATGCACACCCCCGCTAGCTAGCTAGCTAGGTAGGGTAATGCGGAGGTTTTTGCACACACGTCCGAGAACACGTGCATGAGCCGAGACGGGCTGCCCTCCTCCCCATGCCTCCCGCAGGAGCACTCGGCCCGTCGTCGTCGGCCGATGCGACCCCCGTGCTCCTAGGTCCCCACCCACCTGACCCACCACCACCACCTACCTTCGAGCGCACCCCGCCCGCTGGCCCCGTTCTGAGGGTGGGGAGGGGGCAACGTAATGAGCGGTGGCTCCGAAGGCTGCTGCTGCTGCTGCGGCTGCTGCTGCTGAGCCGCTGCAGCCCAGCTAGGTGTGGGCGGCAAGGTGGCGGACAGCTGCCGGTGCAACAGCTGTAACTGCCGCTCGCGCTCCTCCGCTTCCTGACAGCCACAGCAGTAGCAGGAATAACAGCAGCAGTAGCAGTAGCAGTAGCAGCGGTGGCAAGGAAGGAGGTGGCGAAGGGGGATGGTAAAAAGCAGGTAGACGAAATAGGATTGAATCGTAGGTATTGACGAACGAGAGTCACGACTAGGGTGAGGAGGGTGGTGAGGAGGGTGGTGAGGAGGGTGAGGAGGGTGGGGAGGCGGAGGAGGAGAGGGAGGAGGACGGCGAGGGGCGGACGCGGAGGAGGCACGAACAGCAAAGCAAGGAGCAGGGGAGGAACGGGAAAGGGGCTTCCATTTTGTCGGCAAGGACGGGTTCATGAAACCAAACCAGCAGTACACTAGCAGGAAGGGCGCAGTTGTGTTCGTGTCCGTGTTCGTGACAGGGTTGGGGCGACTACGAGGTGGTGGCAAAATCGGCAACGGCCTTGCTTGACAACATACTTATTTGATGTCGCACATATCACCCACCCTCTGTTGCTCTCGAAGGACTTCCGAGTCGGCCCGCATCACGAACACGGAAGCGCGAAGCTTCAAGAAGCCATCCCAGCCGGACACTGCCACAAGCTCCTGTGATATGCAGGAAAGTGCGGGGGTATGCGGGGATACGAATGTGCTTTTGGGGACAGGAGGTGGGAAATAAAGCATACGCAGCAAGAAGGGCCACGTGCCGGGGTTCGAATCCCGGCCGGGACATGGACATGGAATGGAATAAAAAACATATATAACTTGTCCTGAATTCAGAGAATACAATATGCGGAAATTGCGTGACGTATATTCTTCCAGTTGCCTAATGTTTATTTCTACTTTCCTGGCTTCCGCAACCCCAGCTCCCTCCTTTTCGCCCCCATACCAAAACCCCAAGCCACCCAAGCCGATTCCTGCCCTCAGCAGCTCAGGTCGTTGAACTGACAGCGACCCCCCTCCCCCCGGCAGTGGATTTCTTTATATCTTTTTGCATACGACTGCATACGACTGGTAGCCCCGCTCCTCCCTCCCCCCGCTCCTCCAAACGCTCCCCCCTCCCCCCCCTCCTCTAAACGCTCCCCCCTCCCCCCGCTCCCTCCAAACGCCCCCCCCTCCCCCCCTCTCCTGCAACACCTGCAACACCGTATACACAGCCGCCATCACTGCCTGGGTAATTCGTAGCGGCGCTGTGTCCGGAGCCACACCCGCATCCGGGGGTTCGCGGGGAACAAGCAGGGAGCCAGGCAGGGGCCCAGAGGCGGCGGCTCCGAAACCACTGACCGTCCCGCCGCCGCCGGAAGCTGAGGTCCTGGTTCTATTCAAGGGGCCCCCAGGGTTTACAAGGGCCTGGTACAGGAGGACAAGAGAGGAGAAGGAAAATGGATTTTAAAAAGATATTTGAACAAGTCATAGTGGCTTTCTTATCCAAAAGGGGGATAGACCTGGACTAGGCGAGGGGGCGCGGGCTGGGGGGGTCGCGGAGGTGGTGATGGCTGGTGGGAATGGGTGTAGGGTTTACACAACTTCCGTACATGAGTGCGGGCGGGGAGCCCGGTGTCGTATGCAAGTGTACCCAAAGCTGTTGCGTCACACCCGTGCCAACCGCCAACCACCACCACCCGGGGGTTAACACCATTCCAGAACGGCGACCATCACCACCACCGTCACCACCACCACCACTACCATAACCGCAACCACCACCACCGCCCATGTCGCCACTGCCGCGCCTCGCCTCGCGCGCCTCCGGTCTTCGGCAGCACACCACAAACTCAGAGCGCCTCCGGTTGCTCCAAAACCACGCGACCCGCCGCCTTCCTTCCCTCGCCTTCGGCCGTAACCGTCCACAATCTCCCTAAAAACACACACGCACCAACCCCCCACCTGCCGCTCCTTACCCCTTCCGACAACACTTGCCGAGCGATCGCAACGTCCAAATCGTACGGTGGTACGGCAGGCTTCGTAACGGATTTAGGTTCCGGGGGCACAACCACCTGCGAGCAAGTACGAACGCGGAGTGGACTGAGGCACGGAGGCATGTGGGCCATGTGTATGGTGGCGGGCACCAGAAGGGGCCCACTAGCGCACACGACGACGCACAGCACCAACTTGCATCCTTATACACACCGGAACACCCGCGTTCTTAGCGCTCAAAACAACACCATTCGTACGGCAACACATGCACACACCCTACACCCCATCCACCACCCAACAACATACATCGATTACATACACGCACACACACACACACTACAAGACACGCACAAGCCTTCACACATTCCAAGCATAAAAGGAGGCCACCCACTCACATGCAGCATGGCACCCTCCCTGCCGGGAAGTGGCGGCGGAGGCACCAGGTTTAGCACCACAAGCGCCGCAGCGCCGCCGCCACGTCGTACATGTGCACGCGCCAGCGCCAGCCACGCAGCCCGCTGCAAGGGCCGCAGCCGCGCGGACTTGATGGCGAATCGGAGCGCGGCATCAACCTGAGGACGAGCCGCCCAGAGGGGTGGTATCATCATAAATCATGTGATGCCGTAAACAAAAGAAGAGTGTGGGACATCATGTTTAGGGGGCATAAAGGGTGTGATATTATTTATATGCAGCAAAAAGCAAAAGGCCAGCAGCCGGCATCCAACGCACCAACTGCGGCCAACAGCAATCTCCTCCTCCTCCTCCTCCGCCTCCCCCTGTTCCTTCCCCCCTCCCCCTCCTCCTCCCCTTCTCCCCCTCCTTGGGAGTTGGGCAGTGGATGCTTTTTGCATCGCCAGTTAATTCTTTTACTCACACTACCCAAATCCCTCCCCCTCCTCCGAATCACCCAAGTCCCTACTCCCCTGCTGCCCCCGACCCCGCCCCACCTGGTCCATGTTGAGGCAGTCAGTCGCCAGACCCGCCAGCAGCACGGGATCCTCGGGGAACTCCTCCACTGCACGCGACAGCGTCGAAAGCGCATCGTTGTACAATCCACATTCACGCTGTACGGCAGCAACGTACAGCGCCGCGGTAGGGTAGGTAGCCGCCAGCCTGGCCGTGCGGAGAGGAGGTGGGGAGACGTGGTCTTTTTGTTCGTGCTACGACTCGATCTCGTGTGTTGGCCCGAGATTTCAGCCCTCTTTCCCCCTTCCCAACCCATTCAACTGGCCTACCAGCCAGCTATCTCCTATCACCCTTTTACCTTAGGTGTCACAAAACCATACAAACTTAAAAACTACCGCGGCCCTGTAAACTCCCCTCCACATCACTCGAGTCCCTACCTCCCTGTACATCTCGCGCAACGTCGCGAGTTGGAGCGAGACTTCAACCAAGTAACATAAGTAACATAAGGCTCTTGTGTCTTAGGGGTTTGGTTTCCCAAAAAGGTTCCCCCCCAAAGACATACCAAATTGGTAAGCAACAGCACCTCTGAGGCGCAGGAATTATAATACAAACAAACCCCCCTAAAACCCTAAAAGTAAACAACTAAAAGCAAGCAGACAGACAAACAGGCCAACAGCCCTACCTCGCGAAAAACTCCATCGCGGTTCCCCAGCGCTGCCTCTTGGCAAAGTAGTGCAGCAAGGTGTGCAGTACCAGGTCGCCGTGTTCGGGCGATACACCGCCAGCCTACCCAAAGGACAAAAAGGGTAAGGAAGGGGGGGAGGGCAGCGCGGGGCCCAAACCCGGGATGTGTAAAGAGGGGCAGCCGGCGGCGGCGGCGGCAGCAGCAGCAGGAGGGAACCCGGACAACGGAAACTCGCGCCGACCGGGAGGAGTGATCGGCACCCAGCGCACAAGTGCACACGTAACTCGCGAATGGGGAATTCTTCTTTCTGAATTCTGGATTCGATGAACTCTTCCTGGACTTAAAGGTTCCAAAGAAATACGAACCCACATGCAACACCTCCTCTCTTTCTCCAGACCCAGCTCCAACAAGTCCCTCATGTCCCTCTCCACCCCCCCCCCCATACCTCCTCCAGCAGTCTTTCCTTGGCATCACAAGAGCAGCCAGCGCACAAAAGCACACGTGAAACCCTTCCGAGCAAAAACCTATCTATGGAAGCCGTGCGCTGTGCTCTACCTGATCGATGGTCAGCGCCTCCAGCGCCTCCGGCAGCACCCCGTCCTCGTACAGTCCCGTCACAGCCGCCAGCAGCCGCGATTCGTCCGCTAGGGTGGGGAGTGGGGGGTACCTGGGGGGGGGGGAAGACGAACCACAAACGAGTGAAGCTGCTGCTGGGGGGGGGGGGCGCGGTAGCCCCATGACCAGGAAGGTGGGTGGGAACGTGAGCCTCCTCCTATCGTAGGATGGAAAAGTGGACGACGAACTACAGTCGAGTGGTGCAGCAGCAGCAGCAGCAGCAGCAGCAGATGATGATGATACCAGAGGTATAGGCGGATACTACTCCGCAGGATTTTAGAAGTTGCATACAGATATACATAATGCATCAGGAAATTACCGACCAGTAGTGACAGATGGACGAAGGAAATGTACCAACCCCCTAACCACCCCTCATTTTGCCATCCATTCGAGCTCGTGCTGCCCCCTGACTTTCACCTGCTCCGCCAATCAAGGATCAAAAGACCGGAGCTGCGAAGGGAGTGGCATGCAGGTGGTAGTGGAGCTATACATGAAATACACAATTAAAACAAAAAAAACACGACTGTTTCCCCCCCCCCTTTCGCCACCTGCTCCAGAGAGGAGCTGAGAGGGCGGATCAGCACTAACTACCTACAGGCAGGTGCCGAAATGCCTGGCTGCCTCGCACTTCCGCGATTGCCAATCCTTCTTGCTTCGCGTCGCTCCGAGGACAGTACGACAGTCCCCCCCCCGAAAACACAATATCAATAGCGCCCCATTGCAAATTCTTCCATCAGCAAGCTTCTTAGCAAAGCTACATTGGATAAAAGGATATAAAAAGCTAGGAAATTTCGAGGCAGGGAGCCAGAAACGCTGCAATCCCTTTAAAGTCTAATAAGCATACAATATCGCCCCCTAATAAAAGACTCTTGGACAGGCAGTGGACGCGATGTCGCCGTCGCCAGGCGAACCGCTACCCCGCCATCAAAGGCGCGTCTCCTGTTTGACCGTTTTGACCAAACCAACCTTCAGGACAAGGACAACGAACCCGCGGGGACGAATTACCCTCCAGTTTACAAACAGGGCACCCACCGAGCAACTGGCACCTCCGAGTACGACACCAGCTCGGCGTCGTACAGCTCGGCCCGCAGGAAGCTCGCTACCTGCCGGACGGCGTGGGGTGTGATGTGCACGAGGAGAGGTGTTGTGGCGGCTGGGCAAACGGGGTAGGGCAGGGCGTGTGCTTGTGTGCCGGTCGCCTCGAGCCGGGGAAGACCTTGCCCGTGGAATATTACTGTGCACTCCACAAACCAACAAGATTTGCGCATTTTCTATTTTGCAAATTAGCTTTCCTTGCAGATTAATTAAGAACAATTCCTTTTGCAAATTAGCCAAGCTGGGCATAACTCTTCCTTTGATTCAACTGATGCGTTGCGCTGCATCGTCGCGTGGCGCATCGCAGCACTACTGAGTGAGTGCGGCGTCCGTCTGACGTCATGCCAGACGTTGTCATACAACAATCCAAACGCAAGCTGCGCCGATACGCAGCTCCCACACGACTCGGCGCTCCCAATGCTAACAAGGAGATCCTTCTCTGCATTTCTTAGCATCTATTTGAACAAAACCTGACTTCCAACCTATATACACACATACATACACACACACACCACATGTCGCTGTAGTACTTCGGAGCTGTCGCTTTGGTACGGAGTTATTCGGCAGTGTACCACCATCGCCGTTTTCCCCTCATCGCGGCTCCGAGGATTATTAAACACACACACACACACACGGCTAGAGCGGCTCTCCCCCTCTTCCCCCCCGGCCTTTTCGTCCACACACACACACACACGCACCCCCCGCACCACGCAGTTCCTCCAGAGCTCCGCTGTTACGTCGTGCACGTTGCCCTCGCAGTCCAGCGCCCCGCACACAACTCCGCCCGGAATACACAGCTCGCAGCGCACGTCCAGGCGGGTGAGCGGGTCGTAGCAGCAGTAGAAGCCGCGCTCTATTCGTACCTCGGATGAGCTGAACAGACCCTGCGCGTGTTGTGGAATTTTTTATACATGAAAAAGGAGCTGTGAAGGTGGAAAAGGTGGGTTGCTTGGTGTCGTGGGACGCGGCTGGTAAGGGCAGGCCTCACGCCCCGCGCTGTGAGTTTTAGGGCGGGGGAAAGGGGGGAAAGGAAAGGTGGACGTGCAATGAGCCTTGCTTCGCGGGGAGGAGGGGGGAGGAGCCTGTCGCCTTGCCCGCTCCCCTGAAAGATGCGGATGATGCACGACTTTCCAACCCCGCCTGCTCGCCTGAAGAAAGGTTGGTGGCTCCACGAGGGCCGTGAGCGTGGCGAAATAAGCAGCGACAGCAGCGGATGATGAGGCATCCACGCCGAGGCAGCAGTGATAGTAACCCTTCGCCTCGCCGCTAGATCCTGTGAGCGCGTTTTTTGGAGCTTTCTGCAGCCAGCAAAGGTCTGGTGGCCCTAAGCCAGAGGCACTCGCCAGGACTACAAGAGACTCGTCTCGGGCTACAATCGCCTCTCCGAAAACCGTCTCCACATGCTCCGGACGTCCTTTAATGGACTCCATGATCAGCGGCTCGATTCAGAGGGGAAACTGCGATGCACGGACCGTCTTAACGGAACGCTGTTCTGATCATATTAACTGCCTCCTATGGGTCTGGGATATACAGTGACCGGAAACATTGTATCAAAACTTCGCTGACCTACAGTGACCTTACATGACTCCCAGTCACTTTCGCATGTTTGCGACATTGGGACACCGGTCGCCGTACGATATGATGGCCCCTCCTTTCTGGATACATATGCCAGGCAACACTTTTTAGTTTGTTTTCATATATCGGCCTTCAGCTTACTGCCAGGGCTCCTTGCGAAAATGCTGTACTTTCGATAGGCAAATTGCAACGTCTGCAAACAAATAACAAGCAACCATAAGAGTCGACATGGCGGAAAAGAGGATTTTTGCAGCCATAAAGGAAATTAAGGTTTGTCGGCGTTACTGCTTTGACGAGAATTGTTTAAAGCCGTTCCGCCGAGCTGCCAACCGACATTACCTGCGAACAGGTCGAAATTGAGGCGTCGCACAAACGACGGCAACAACGCCAGTATGAACTGCTTCAAGAATATCTCCGAGCACGAGAGCCGCTGCTGCAGCGACGGTATGCGCGATGACCGAAACCAGGGCTTTTTGTTCCGCATTCGCCCGCCACCGCGTGTAAATCCTTGCCCGCGCCATGAGACACCCTTGGCACATTGCTTCTACATGCGTGTTTGCCGAAACTTCAATTGGCATGCCGGAAAGGGCGCTGCTGACGTCCATCTAGCTGGTTGCTTTACCCATAAGGGCGACGAGGACGAGTTTTTGTCTTGGCAAAAATTATCCAGAAAAACCTAGCCCAAATTACAGCTCACTCTTTTCAAGGGTTTGACCAAAGTTCTGTTGCTCCCAACTGAAACGCCATGGCACGTCACTGCACGTCATCAACTTCTTTCCACTCGCTGCCGCCAGCAGGGTAGCCGACAGTCACTGCAAGTGTGTCTTTGCCACCTTGACCCTGCCATTTCGCTTTTGCTGCTGTTTTGCTGCTGCTGCAGCTGCTGCTGCACCCTCCCCATCTTCTCATGGCACCTTTCACACGCCTCAATCCGCACTTGCAAGCGTTATTACGACGCTTTCTCTCCTCTCCCCCTTCCCCCATCACCAACCTTGCGCGACGCTCAATGGCCGCGATCCCAACGATGCATCTGTACGGAAGGTTTGAGATCGTCACCGGTCGATCCGAGCCGACAGATGAAGAGCTGAAGGTGCGGTTGGTCCGTGCGATGCATTATGGTGCATTTTTGTCGTACATTCGTATTTTGTTGCCGTGGTCTATCGTACAGTTTAAAAGAGCTCATCAAGGCGGGTTGTCTGGAGGGTTAGGGCCGCCGGGTTGGGTTTCCTGCATATATGTCGATGCCCATGTTCGAGCTGATGAGAGCGGCTGATGGGGCCCTGATGATGTGCCCCGGGAATGTGAGGACAGGACTAAGGATACAGAAAATTTGAAAAAAGGCCAAAGAAGGATTATCACGGCGTGATTCTGAAGCAAGGGAAACAAAAACATCATTCCAAAAGGCAGCCAAATTATATGATTTTGTGAAAAGAGAGTAAACTTGGAGAGGGATGGCACACAGCACGAGCAGACAGACCATAAATGTGGGGGCGGGTGATGACCCACGACTCGCGGGACAGTGTGTTGAAGTACGCGCACGTCTCCAAAGTCTGAATGTGAACCAGGTTGGCTTGTCGTGGTGATTCCTGTTCTTGTCTGGTCGGAGACAGGATCAGAGACGGGCGCGTGGAGTATGTCCCCCCTGTTAATACATACATACATACATACACACAAAAATACACAATACACAAATACCCATCACAGCACGCCGTCATTAGGGATGAAAGAAACGACATACTGCATGTGCATAGCAGTTTGGGACGGGCGAAACACACGCTTTACGCTTTTCCCCCCCTTAGGACGTTTGCTCCCCGGCCAAAGTTCTTAACCAGTCAGCGCTAGATCATGTTGGCAAACTGAGCTCACCACCACCACCACCAGCATCACCTGCAGTCGCACTTAACTTGGAAGTTATTGAAACGTCAGATAGTTCGTTCGTTTGTTCATATTCAGTAATATCCTGGGCCCACTTACCACGGCCACACTTGTAGGGCTTCAAGCCCCAAGGCGCGGCGGCCGTGGCGGCGGCGGCGGCGGCGGCGGCGTCTGTTGTAGCGGCGTCTGCTACACCAGACGTGAAGACCACCGCTGCCGGCAGTGGTGGCGGCGGCGCCGGCAAGTGCTCTTCGTCGCGCGGTGTGCCGTTCTTCTGGCTCAATGCGTTATGCAACGAGGTACGAGGCGAATTTTTTTGGCTTTTTTCATTTTTTGTGCCGTGTATTAACTATTGACTCTTAACCACTCCTCCAGATGTTTTAATAATGAACTGCCGAGAGCTGTGTGTGTACGACATGGGGTATACACCTCCCGCTGTGTGTACGACAATGACCAGGAGAAGCTGGCGCCGCTCATCACTCCTCGAGACCGATGTGCACTGGAGTACGTGGAGGACATCCGCTACGTGACGGGGCCTATGGGCCTGATGCTGGAGTTCCACTTCGCGACTAACCCATACTTCCATAACAAGGTACCGGAAATAAACCATTTTTGTATGTAATAAACTAAAAATTGAAATAACAGAGATGACGTCCACATTTTCATGTCCTCTCTGTAGTACCCCGCCTCGATCCCCATGTCCGGATGTTTTTGTATACCTGTCTCTCCCTCGGCCCCCGATAGCCCCCGCGACCCTAACCTCCGGTGGCGTCTGCATTGCTCTGCACGCGTCCGGTGTGTGTGTGTGACTCTGTGTGTGTGACTCTGTGTGTGTGACGCTGTGTGTGTGACGCTGTGTGTGCAAAATGCACAGGTTCTTCGCAAGGGCACTTACATCAAGTCCAAAGCTGAAGATGCGGATCCTGCTGGGCCTGCCGCCGCCGCAGCGCCCGTCGGAGAACGGGGCCTGGATGAGCTAATGAGGGGTGTGGAAAGCTGGCGAGATGAGGGCACGGTGATCGACTGGAAGCCGGAGCGCAGCTTGTTCATGCGGATTGAGCGGGTGGGGGGAAAGAAGGAGAAGGCGGCTGCGGCTTCCGCTGCTAAGACGGCGGCGGCATCGGGGGAGAAGAAGAAAAAGAGTAAGAAGGCGGAGGCGGGGGCGATGGAAACGAAGGCGGGCGGTGCTGGTGGGGGCAAGAAGGGCAAGAAGGTGAGTTCGGGGGGGGGGACATGGGGTATGAGGGCGCAACGGCTCTAGCAAAGCGTAGCTAGCGTGTAATGGGGGAGACTTGTAATGAGGGGGACTTGATACTCACACCATAACAAGTTATAAGTTACAAGTGCCGCACGAGTGCGGGGGTGTCCGTCGAGGCCATAGACTATATATATTGATAGTTGATTCCATCGTACAACCGACGGTGGTTTTTGGTCCTCCTCATCCAGTCACCCGACATCCGTAGAGACTGGTAATCCATCGCCACCAATTCAGCATGCGAAACTCAGTCCACCAACTAAACCTCATCCACACCTCAGCAGAGCAATTCGTAAACCTACTGCTCCCATTGATCGGGACGAACAATGTCGGGGGTCTGCCCAGGAATCAAACCCAGAACCTTCTGCTGGTCGGGTTCAAATCTGAACAAAAGAGCAAAGAAGTACACATATACCAATATTGCACTAGTCGAGAATCGAACTCGGGTCTGGTCCGTGGCAAGGACCTATGCTACCACTATACCACTAGTGCGATTGATCTTCTCGGGGCCAACGGATGAACTATTGGGATGCAGTTAAAAACTATATCCAAAGGTGCGCGTCCGTGCCAGCGGCACGGCCTCTGTGGCGCTAACGTTGCGCTCAGGTGCATGGAATCCGTCTCTTCGTCTGGGTTTAGGAGCTTGTCTGAGTTAAAGAACACAGACAGGTGTATGACCTATAGGACAGGTCCACAGATTCATAACCACCATTCATTGCCACCAAGGAACGCACGCGGCAATGGCGGTCATCGTTTCCCCTATTTTACGTCGTTGTCGTTGTACTCTTACTTCCTTGTCGTGTTATCAACTGCTCGTGTGAACCTCCCAAGTCCTGAGCTGTTGGCGAATGTTCCCCGTGCGAAATTTACCTATGTAACAACATTTTTTTAGTAAAGGACAGATCGCCAGGTACCGCAGCACACACACACGCACACACACATGCACGATAATTTCGAAACGCTACGCAATGTAATTCTTTATTAAGGTAAAGACCTGCGACATGAGGGTTTGTAACCATTTTGCTGTAACCATCGTTCACTGCAGGCTGCTGCTGCTGCTGCTGCCGGGACCAGCGGCTCGTCGTCGGTTCCATCTCGCGCTAAGCGCCATCACGGCAAGCACGCGGGCCCTGCCCCCGACTTGCCCGACCCGGGGGATGCAGAGGTGGACGAGCAAGAAGAGGAGGAGCAAGAGGAGGAGGTGGAAGAAGGAGCACAAGGGGAGGAGGAGGAAAGTGGCGGGCGGGAGGCTGAGGAGCTAGGTACCACATCCCAGCCTGCTGGCAGCGTCAGGTGCGGAATAGCTTTGAATAGGTAGTCGAGGCGTGCTTGTTTTCTAAGGAGGGGGTTGTCGTTGGTTTAGAACTTCCTTGCCCTTTTTAGTTGTACCTCTTTTTTATTTTCACACGTATTAGTTTCCTTTACATCTCCTTCCCACGTATTAGTTTCCTTTACATCTCCTTCCCTGAGTCCTTTTTTTTGGGGCCACCGTTGTATTGTCAATGATGGCCCTGTCTGTCCTTGAACCAGGTGGGAACGAAGAGACAGAGCCAATTATTATTTATTTATTTGTTACTCATTTAATATAATTCAATTTAAACAAAGAAACTATTTAATATTTATGTAAACAATGTAAATGCTTATGTAAACAGTTAGATTATCAATGAAATATTACGAAAATAAAATATTAATTACTATTTATATGCAAGCTTCCCCCACCATAACCGCGCGCAGAGGGCCTTGCCAACACCTCCTCCCCCTCCCCTCCCCCCCCCACACAATCACACACAGGCGGCGGTCCTGTCCGTCATTCTTCCGGTTCTTCTTACCCCTCTCAAATGGCGAGTTGCGGCAGCGGAAGGAGGTGAGAGGCGGTGGGGTGATGGGGGGCCTTACGCGGCTGAAAAGGCCTTTGGAGGTGCCGGGAATGAGCTTTAGCGTATACGTGTACTTTAGCGTTGTGTTTTGTACCGTACGACAGCTGCTACACCACCACGTTTCCGTTCGTTTAGCTCCCCTTCTCTCGCGCACTCTCTCCATCCCTTCCTCGCCAACCTTGCCTTTTTGTAATGTGGTTTTACTCCCCTTTAGCCTCCTCGTTAAGTTTTGTGCAGTTACGTATGGTAAAAAACTTAAAACTCATCAAAATTGATTTACTGCACTTTTATCATGATTTTACTATCAGTTTACTCCACTTTTTTAAAAATTTAGTTTACTTATGTTCCCGCTTTTCTCCGCCGTTGCCTTTCTTTTAATTCAACTTAGCTGGATCCCACCCTGGAGGAGGACGAGCAAGAGGAGGACGAGCAAGAGGAGGACGAGCAAGAGGAGGCAGGAGATGGTGGCGATGGCGGCCGGAATGAGACCGCCACCGCGCGCAAGGCCCAGCTTCAGCAGCAGCGGCGGGCGCTGGATGCCCAGGTACTTGACGTCATTATCAAGCGGGTCATACCTCGAGCGGCTCACCTGTACCTGTCGGGCGGCGGCCGTACAGCCACTCCGCCGGCGCCGGCGCCCACAACGACTTCTCCTAGAAAGGTGCGTCTGCGTGTATGTGCGTCTATCTGTCTGTCTGTCTGTATGTGCGTGAGGTTCATCGCGCATTAAGGAACGGAAAGGACACCGTATGAAATTGAAGCAAGCGATAATTCGTCTTTTTCCATGATACTTTACGGCTATTCATGATGACATTTTGTGTGGTGATCACTTGTGCAGCATGTGCACTTGAGCTGACTTGGGTTTGCTGCCTTTGGCCTTTTTGACGTTTCCTTCGCGCAACGGCCGGCCTGGTCAGATGAAGTACTGGGCGGGTATCGATGGATTGTGAGGAGCTTGCTTTTTAATATTTCCTTTCCATCTGCCCCACACCATCTCCTTCTGGTAAAGTCTCACTGGGTTTCTCAGGCCTTCGTCTTGGGGCCCCCGTGCCCTCCCCCCCTTCCCCCCATCAACACCATTCGTCTGTGGTTCGCATTTCCACGGCGGCCCCCCCTCCCTCCCTAGACATTCTTTGATTCTTTACGGATTGGCAATTCTATTCCGCTTTTTTAGTCCTGGCGGCTTAGGTAGGTAGTTTTTCCGACACATCATCTTCACTTCGTCATCCCGAGGTCACGGTCGCCACGGACGCCTTTCGGTCAGTTCTCTTGCCCTGGCAGCAGCTTCAATCGTGTGTGGTTCGTCTCCCCCCCCCCCTTTAGTCACACCGGTGTACCCCCTGGGGTTCTGGTTGACCCGTAACACCAAACAAAAAGACACTTTACGAAATTTGTATTATACGGCGTCTCACTACTCCCTCGCTTGCTATGAATGCGCACCAAAATAATGTTAACGTGTCAATTTCACGAAAACGGGTCGGGTCGGATCGGGGAGAGTTGACTCGAAAGGGTCGACAAAAACACGTACATGTCTGCGCCGGTCGGGGGGCTATGGATGCTTTCCGCAGGCTGAGGCCCGAGCGCCTGCTGGTGGTGAGGGGGAGGAGGAGGAGGAGGAGGGCTTCCAGCTTGTGAGCGGCAGCCCGGCGGGTGACGTGGCGTCACTTGCTCTAGGTGCTCAGAAGGCGTTGCACGTGCTGCTGGTGAGTGGTAACGGGGGGGGTAGTGGAGGGGGTGTGAGTGGAGGGGGTGTTAGTGGAGGGGGTGGTGGCTAGGGCTATGTATGTTGTTACAGGGTGGTTAACTTCGCCAGCGGCCCCCTTTCCCGAGGCAGTCCCTGCTCTCCCCTGCTAGAGGGGCACCCTAATCCGTCACCCCATCCGACTTTAGAATGTATTCGTTGGGTTCGGCAACTCACCACCAGCATCCAACCAAATCTAGCGGATCAACGGCGCCTCAACTTAGTTCCTGGTCAGCTCGCAAGTTGATATTATCACGTCCTACATCGTCCGTATGATGGGGGGCCACCTCCCATTTCAACACTCCTCAAACACCCGAGGAGCCGGCAGGCGGATTTGAACCCGGGTCGGCCGGGAGCAGAAGTCAGGCCTTAACCTCTGCCAGCCGCCTGCCAGTAAATGTGTATGCATGGTATGCTATGTGTATGCATGGTGTGAGTATGCATGGTGTGAGTAAGTGGCGGTTACCACGTGTCTTGTGTGTGCGTATGTATGTGCGTATCGTTGTGCGTAAAGTTGTGGAGACACTTCTAGCCCGCTGGGGGCGTTGTCCTCCCCACCCGTACCAAACGCCACACTGAACAGTAATGTGCTCTCATGCCGTGCTCGTCCTCCTATCGAACTGCTCGTCCTCCTATCGAACTGCTCGTCCTCCTATCGAACTGCTCGTCCTCCTATCGAACTGCTCGTCCTCCTATCGAACTGCTCGTCCTCCTATCGAACTGCTCGTCCTCCTATCGAACTGCTCGTCCTCCTATCAAACTGCTACTCCCGCCGTCCCGTCCCCCCCCCCCAGGTACAGCAGCGGCAGTTGGACGAGCTGGCCGCGGAACTGAAGCGCGGCGAGTGGGAGGCGTGGGTGGCCCAGATGGGGCAGGTGGGGCAGCTGACCGCCCGTAGGAGGACATTGCTGGTGGGCCCCGCGGGTGAGTGGGGGGGGGAGGGCGTGTGTGTGTGTGTGTGTTGTGGCGTCATGTTTTCGTTTTGGTACACGGCTGTGGTCTGCACGGCGGCGGCATGTACTGCTACTGCTACTCAGTGCTGCCACTGCTACTGCCACTGCTACGACTACTGCTACTCTCTACAGCTGCTGCTGCTACTGCTACTGCTGCCAATGCTAATAAGGCTAAAGGTACTTACGCTCGAATTCTGGTGGCCTCTTCCTCTTCCTCGTTGTCAATTTGTACGACGTGATGATACACACACGCACTCCACGAACCATATCCGCAGGCAACCCGGGAAAGAAAATGTCCATTCCCGCCTTCTGGCTGCGGGCCCTACGTGCCGTACCGTACGGCTCCTTGTTGGTCCAGCACCGGGACGAACGTGCACTGTCGTACCTTGCGGATGTACGACTGGTTTGGGACACGAGCCGCATGCCCACCCCCGAGGACCCGTACCGCAAACTGGACTGTGAGTCCCCCCCCCCCCTCACTGGCGGCTTAGCCGTGAGCGGGGGGTTGGGTTTGGGGGTTTGGGGCGTTCGCAGCTGGTTAAGAGGGATGTGTGTATGTATGTGTGTATGTATGTGTGTTAACCCTACCTCGGTTGCGTTACCCGTTGCCCGGATAGATAGACGGGTGTAACGAGGAGTGCCCCATACACATACACACGAGCCAGCGGAGGCCCAGGAGCCCCCTTGAGAGCTGCACAAGCTAGGTTAGGAACATAGTACAACACATCGTACAACAGATTGCACAATAAATTAGGGACATAGTACAACACATATAAGAATTTAATCTGTTATATGTCTTGATGTGATGATGAAGCCCGTATGTATGTCCGACTGTAGGGGAGCTGGAGTTTCTGCCCAACCCCTATTTTGGCAACGCTGTGCTGCGGAAAAGCTTCACGATGCATGCTCTGGGGGGTAGCCTAAACAGGATGTGTGTGTTGTCTAGCAAGGTATGTTCTTGTTCCTTTTTGGTTAGGTTGGGAGCCGTTGCCGTTCCCCTTTGCCGTTGCCGTTGCCCTTTGCCACTGCCGTTCCCCTTTGCCGTTGCCGTTGCCCTTTGCCGTTGCCGTTGCCCTTTGCCACTGCCGTTCCCCTTTGCCGTTGCCGTTGCCCTTTGCCACTGCCGTTCCCCTTTGCCGTTGCCGTTGCCCTTTGCCGTTGCCGTTACCCTTTGCCACTGCCGTTGCCCTTTGCCGTTGCCGTTACCCTTTGCCGTTGCCGTTGCCCTTTGCCGTTGCCGTTGCCCTTTGCCGTTGCCGTTGCCCTTTGCCGTTGCCGTTGCCCTTTGCCACTGCTGTTGCCCTTTGCCACTGCCGTTGCCCTTTGCCGTTGCCGTTGCCCTTTGCCACTGCCGTTGCCCTTTGCCGTTGCCGTTCCCCTTTGCCGTTGCCGTTGCCCTTTGCCACTGCCGTTGCCCTTTGCCGTTGCCGTTCCCCTTTGCCGTTGCCGTTGCCCCTTTGCCGTTGCCGTTGCCCTTTGCCACTGCCGTTGCCCTTTGCCGTTGCCGTTCCCCTTTGCCGTTGCCGTTCCCCTTTGCCGTTGCCGTTCCCCTTTGCCGTTGCCGTTGCCCTTTGCCACTGCTGTTGCCCTTTGCCACTGCCGTTGCCCTTTGCCGTTGCCGTTGCCCTTTGCCACTGCCGTTCCCCTTTGCCGTTGCCGTTGCCCTTTGCCGTTGCCGTTGCCCTTTGCCGTTGCCGTTGCCGGGATGAGAGGGCGGATAGGGAAAAGTAGGGAGAAGGGGAGACGGGGATGGAGGAGATGGAAGGGGGGGGGACGCAAGGATGAGCGTGGAAGTCTTTTATGCCACTTCCCGGGGGGCAGTAAATGAACATTCCCAACGACCATCAACCGCCTGCCACAATCTTGTACGAAAAACATCGCGACACGCCACGTCACGTTGTGCCACGCCGTATGTCGTACTCTACGCAACCAACCCCCTTTCATCCCCATTTTACAAATACAAATACACCACCGCGCTTCGCCACGCGCACAAAACACCATGTACGGTGACGTACCGCCGTACTGCAGTCCGACACAATCGACTGGCATCCGGGTCGAGACCTGACGGTCAAACTTCCCTCGCGCGGAGAGCGCCAGAAGGGGGAGGAGGGGGCGGAGGGGGAGGGGGCCGAGGGCGAAGGGGGGGAGGCGGGGGGCCCCCGGCGGCCTCCTACCGGCCGAGCCGCCCGCCCCCGCAAGGTGCCGTCCTTCTTCGCAATCTTCGACGACACGCCTGGTGAGCTTACCGGTTGCGAATGCTTGGTGTGCGTGTAGTTGTGTGCGTGTGTGTGCGTGTGTGTATGTACGTGCCTTTTCCAAAGCCCCTCTTCCCCTCAGTTTCCCCTCAGCCTTACCGGATTCCCTACTTTCCCTTCCCCGGGGATTAACCTCCTCCTCCTCATCATCATCATCCTTTCATGTCGGCTTTGGACGCCGGTAGTTAATGCTTGGTTGTCGGCGGTTGTTGGCGGTTGTCGGCGGTTGTTGGCGATTGTTGGCGGTCGTCGGCGGTTGTTGGCAGTTGTCTCTTTTTTGCTTCATGTTATCCTTCCCACCCCTTTCCTCCCCTTCCCTCGCCATCTCCTGACCCTCCCCGTACCCCTGTACGGCATGTAGGTGCGCTTGCGCGAGCCTTCGCCCTCCCTGGAGGCCAATCCGCCCGGGCATTGCACGAAGCCAACCAGGTTCGTACACTACCAGCGTGTCTGTACGACAGATGGGCACTTTTTCATTTGTTGGGAGGTATTTGAACTTGTGCTGTACACGTGCACAACCCCCGTCTTGTTTGATTTACAAGTTAATATTATTTCGTGAAAATCCGCAGCTGCTACTGCCGCTGCGGTTGGTCCAGATTTTAAAGTTTGTACTTGTACATTTGAAATTCAACGATGATTGAGGGTATATACTGTATAGATAATCGCAATGAAAGTAATGAAGGTTGTTGATAATGGCGAGGCAAGTCGTGGGACCGTTAAACTACTGGCTCCCCTCCCCCCCATTAGGGGGATTTCTCGGCCTCTCGCCAACCTCTTGTCGTACCGCCACACATCCCCTCGAAGAACTCCCCACCGCATTCACTCCCCCCCCCTCGTCACCGCACACGAAGACCCCGCATGTTGCATGTCCAGGGAGGCCCACAGGGAGGTGTTTTGCCTCTCCCCCCTTCCTTCCCCCCCTCTCCCGCGATGACCACTGCCCAAGTCACCACTGGTTGGTAATTTCCTGATGCAGTATGTATATCTGTAAGCAACTTCTAAAATCCTGCGGAGTAGTATCCGCCTATACCTCTGGTATCATCATCATCACCATCATCATCATCAGCTGCTGCTGCATCACTCGTCTGTGGTTCGTCGTCCACTTTTCCATCCACAGCTCCCACATCTCCCTCCGTGTCCCCCGTGTCCCCCGCCAACGCCGGGGCGCCATCAGGCCCAGGAGGCGTTTCTTGGGGAGCTTATCAACCTGCTGGTGCCCTTCGCCGGGTCGTTAGCGGAGCAGGTGCGTGCGTTTGTATGTCTGTGTGTGTTCGTGTGTGTGTTCTCGTGTATGTGCGAGAGAGGAAAAGGCTGTTCACGCGACAGCTCCTGCGTTGCGTATGTGTGTGTATGTATATATGCATGTATGTGTGTGTGTCCGATGTCACGTCACCTTCCGCTGAGGAAACTGAAGTACGGCGTTTAGTTGTACAGGTAAGCAATGGAACAGAGGAATATACGGTAGAGTACGGCCTACACCTCACAGCCATCCTGATGTACCCACTGTCGGTTACATGTCTTGTCGTACATGCTTTTTTACTTCATTTAGTACATGACTTGCGGTGCCACGAATTGTGCCGTGTATGTACGTACAGTCAGTTGTGGATGTCGACGACCTAGGAGATGGAGATGATGATGATGACGAAGACGACGAGGAGGAGGACGACGACGAAGAAGAAGACGAGGTGTGTGTGTGTGTGTGTGTGCGTGCGTGTATTTCAGCTGCTCGCAATATTTCCGAGAGAGGTCATTTTGGTGATTAGCTGTGCGGTCGACTCTCGGCGGCCGCCGTACCGGTGGTGTTCCCTGAGCTGACCTGCGGGGGGCTGTGTGTGTGTGGGGGGGGGTGTTGGGGGTCTGTTCGCCGTCTGTTGACATGAAGGGCCGTACGGTCCTGGGGGGGCTTTACGGGGTGGTTAACGGTTAATGTACGGATATACGGGAATGTACGGCTTTCGTTTCAAGCTAGCTTCACGTTCGGGAAGCTTTTGTCTTTTCGTTTCCGTACGTTCGAGAAAACCCTTAACCTCACCTTCTGGGTCGAGCAGGTACGACAAGTACGACGGAAACATTTGCGACGGAAACAAAAGGTCGTTTAAACCCTGTTGTCATTGCCGTAACTGCAGGAAGAGCAGGACGACGGTGAGGACGGCGATGATGATGGAGCCGCGGGGAGGGCTGTGGCTCGGAGGGCTGTGGCGAAGGGCGCAGCGCGCGGCCGGCGGGGCGGTGCCGGCGGCGGCGATGGTGCCAATAATGGACTGCTGCAACGTCTGTTTGGCGGCGGCGGCGGCGGCTGCTCTCGCGGGGGACTGGTGCTGGGTGCTTTCGTATTCATCATGGTACTAGCCCAGGTACGGCAGTAGGTACGGCAGTAGGTACGGCAGTGTGGCAGGTGGGGGCTACACGTATGTCTGATTGCATGAATCGTCTGAATCGGAAATTGGAATGGGGGCTTCCGATCGCGGAGGAACTAGAGAAAGGAACAGAAAGGGGGAGATGGGGAGTTAGGGGGATGCTTAGCCTGGACGTGGCTGTAAAACCTGTCAACAATTAAGTGTATGTCGTACGCCGTACCCTGCAGGTTTTGGTGTTCCTGGACACATTGGATGTCGTACGACGCCGCGTCAGCCGCTGGGGGCCCTAGTAATGTGCCGTTCGAATCCCCCGGGCTTATGTTTCTGGAGACGGGGGCCGCTGGTTGTGTTAGTTGTGGTGGTTGTGTTAGTTGTGTTGTGGTGGTTACCGGGAAATAGGAAGCTGCCTTACATAAGTACTTACATGAATACCTACATACCTACATACTTATAGCCGAGAGGGGCCCCCTGCTTCCGTACGTCCGCCGGCCCCCCTCCTCTGTTCGTCGTTGCAAATGGCGAGTCAGCCGTCAGCCGGGCAGTGGACGAGGGGCCCCCAGCTCTACCCTCGCGCCGCACATGCCGCCTCTTCACAGTTGGCGCTGTATATGTGTGTGTGTGTGTGTCGGTGGGTATGCCGTACCGTATGGTGTGGGATTGCTTGTCGTACATGCCCACTCGAGTCCCTGCTGTGGTGTTGGCTCCCGCAGCTAAGAATGGCTCGATGTTGATGCCATGATGTGCTTCATGTTCTTCATGTTCTTCATAAGCCGCCTTCGCGTTCGTGAGTAGGGTAGATACCCTGCAGGTCTGCTGCGTGTTGCGTTTTGTTGTGCCTGTCTATCTGTCTGCAGACACCAGCTAGTTTCGCTACGTACGGCTATTGCTGCTACACATGTGTATGCGTGTATGTATGTGTGTATATATGTATGATGTTGTTACAGGGTGGTATAGCTTCACCAGCGGCCCCCTTTCCCTTGGAGGCAGTTCCCTGCTCTCCCCTGCGAGAGGGCCACCCTAATCCATTCACCCCATCCGACTTCAGAATGTATGTGTGTATATGTGTATGTATGTGTGTATGTGTGTATATGTGTCTCCGCCGTTATTACCATCTTCGAGGGGGGGTCAGCAAGTTTCACTCCCTCTTCGCTCCTCGTATGTGGATGCGGACGGATGAATGGATGGATGGACGCGCACGATCTACTCGCGCGTCATCGCTGATGTGTGTTATTAGGTAGACCAGCTTAGCTTGTGCAGGCGGATGGGGCTTTTGCTTCCGGGCCAACATGCAGCGTCTCGTCGGCGCCGCCGGTTTGCTGTCGCATCAAGTTCTCTCATGCACAGCATACAACATGTGGGCGAGCTGAATTACTGCCCTGCTGGGGCTCATACCTCCACGAATATCGCTGCTCTAAAACCACCTTTTGCCGTTTTTATAGACTTCGAAAAAAATTTAGATAAATATTTAGAATGTTTTGTGAAAAAGGGAAGCGCCAGCTAGCTATAGATGGTGCGCGGTCCACTGCCTACATCTGACGTGGAATGGTATCCGAAGTAGGATGACGAGTCGTCTCTCAATCGCGAGGAAGATGGCCATCAACCTATCAGCAGTCAGCAGGCCTCATCACCTTTCCCTTCACGTCCACCTTCACGTTCACCTTCATCTTCACCTTCAACTTGGGGGGGGGCCAATCAATGAGCCAGATGAAAGCAGCCAGTCAAGGCCTTCTCGCTACATCTGTATGTACGTATGTATGTATGTACGTATGTAGGTAGCGTGGATGGAGTGTACTTCAGTCATATCTTCTGTTGCGCTTTCATACATTTCCTCTCGAGTATTTATTGCGCTTTTTCATCATTTTCATCTATCAGCTCTTGCTGTACTTTATGTACCAGTATCTGTACATTAAAAAGCTAAAACCAAAGCTCCGGCTAAAACAGTTTTTACCTGCAGCCGCAAGCTCCATGATGCCGGTGCTGTGTGGCTGGCTGTAATAATTAGTAGTAGTGCGGGGACGTAATAATAACGGCGACAACTGCCGCTGCAGGGGCAGCCCGCGGGGAAAGTACGAATGATAAAGCAAGCTGCTGCACGTGTTTAAGGGCGCCGTGAAATGCCCAGGAACATGTCCACTGATGGCAAGTCGGTGTTGGTTTTTGTTTTGCTTGTGTCGATGTGGCCGCGTTATTCTTTGATTGTCCAGTATCATCGCTCAATCG